ATAATCATCAAACGCAGATCCTGGGGGAATGTTTATTAAACTAATATCTTCTTGGCTATAAATATTTTCAATACGTTCAATTGCTTTCCTTTTGTATAACCCAATTTCCACGTACGAATAAAACCTTAATTTTTCATACAACTTAGGATTATTTAGCCACTGTTTATCGTATTTTACAAGAGTGTATCCAAATTCTTTGAGATTATTCGCAAAAAAATATAACTCGTGGAGTCTAGAAAAGCTATAATGTTTTAAAATATGCATTGCGGTAGTCTCATTACATTTTTCAATAAGGTGATCATCTATTAAAGAAGATCTGCTCAGAGAGAAATTATAATAGAGTTCTTTTCGATCAGTCGGAGAAAAATTAACTTTTGCCATTACTGGTTTCGTTATAAGTTTTGAGGTTTTCGTGACAATTTCTGTTGTAATTATTCCCTGAAGAATTGGAATTGCAAGTTGCAACGATTCTTTAATAGCAAAACGGCTTGTACTTTGTCGAAGAAAATCTTTCGAAAATTCACTGCCAATACTTATTCCAAAACTGATAAAGTTTGTTAGAAGTGAAATAACAATTAATGCATCTGTTGTATAGCAAAAGACCTTAAACACCAAGTCGTCTACGTTTGAAATGTTTGCAAAATTATGGAATGGAAGCAAGTGTTTAGTATGTCCCAAATCCATTTTCTGAGATGCGAAATAAGCGTGCTGATGTATTACTGTATTGTCAATGGACAAAATTAGACCTTTACTTCTGTTATTAAAATTCCATGATTTATTATCGCAGAATTTTCTAAGACTTGTAAATTTCGGAATGTTTTTATCAAAATTTTGTATGATCAACCAGAAAGTCATGAAGAAAAGAAGAAAGTTTACCATATTGATATTGGCATTCATATTTGTGACCTTCTTTTTTTAAAAATTGGTGAGAGATGAGTGTGCCACAGATGCTGATGTTAATATGAATAAAAGGATCTGAAAAATTTTTAAATAGTAAAATTTAAGGTTATATATAATAAAATCGTATTCCTTTCGTCAAGACGAATCGATTGATATATATAAAGTATACATTTGAGGTCAATTTAAAGAATTAATGAAAGTAATAAAATCAAAAATTCACATTTTGGCTATAAAATTTTGTGATTTTTTAAATTGAAGTTTATACACGGAGAGAAATCTGCTGCGATTTGCGCATGAGCAAGTCCATAGGAATATAGCATGGACACTTCCAAGCAAAAACTATAAGATTCCATCTGAATATCAGGTGAGACTCATACAATAATACCTCGCTCACTTAGGATTTTTGCTTGAAAGCGTCTGTTACTATATTCCTAAGGACATGCTCATGCGTAAATCGCACCAGATTTCTCTCCGTGTATATACAATAATTGTATTCCTTACGTCAAGGCGAATCGATCGATATATATAAAGTATACATTTGAGGTAAATTTTAAGAATTAATGAAAGTTAAAAAATCAAAAATTCACATTTTGGCAATAAAATTTTGCTTTCTCTACGAGGAAGCAAATTTTTTTGCTGATCGTAAAGAGGAAGCAAAATGTTCATGTAATGAACATCTGAATTTACAACTTGTTTCTATTTATTTATTTACATGAGTCATTTTACGTGTAATGTCCTGAGTTAAAAAATTGATTTCTCGAAAAAAAGTGAAACTTGGGGAAATTGTTGTTCTACGGGATATTTTGAGCGAAAATAAGTGAAAACAGCCAATTGCAAAATTTTTGTCTCCGATTTTTAAGTTATTTACATTTTTTAATAGGTATATGCATATACTTTTACCCCTAAAATATTTTTCAAAAATATTATTTATTTTGGAAATTAGGGGGGGGGGGTGAAAGTTTTGGGTAATGAAATTTTCTTTTTGCTATTACTCGAAAACGAATAAAGATAATTGAATGAACTTTGTTTTAAATTAAAGCTTAAAGTCTACATTTTCATGTCTAATGAAAGCGCTTGTTGTACAATTAAAACTTTCAATTGTTATTAACAATTTTTTTAAACAATTGCAATTTAGAATGTGTTCTCAATGTCAGACAAAAATAAGACTAGGCTGATTTGATGCGCAAAACTCTAACGAGTAAATTAAAAAAAAGAAAAATGAGTAACCTCCAATATTTAAAAAGTTATGAATATTATTCTGACGCCGCGCAGGCAGCGGCGAACTCGTTGACTCGCTGACGCGCGAGATTAGCTCGCCGCTCGCACTTCCAAATAATTTACTATTTTTATAAGTATTTATATATTTGTAACACATCATCCCCCACCCCCCAAACTTATATATTTAATTTATATATTTAATATATATAAATTTAAGATTTTTCAAATCTTGGTAAATAGTCAATGGAAATCATATAGATATTGTCTTGACAAGCTTGACAGATATGTATGAAGTTGGTAACAAAAAATGAAGCTAGTCTTATTTTTGTCTGACACTGAGAACACATTCTAAATTGCAATAGTTTAAAAAAATTGTTAATAACAATTGAAAGTTTTAATTGTACAACAAGCGCTTTGATTAGACATGAAAATATAGACTTTAAGCTTTAATTTAAAACAAATTTCACTCAATTATCTTTATTCGTTTCCGAGTAATAGTAAAAAAAAAATTCATTACCCAAAACTTTCACCCCCCCCCCTCCCTCATTTCCAACATAAATAATATTTTTGAAAAATATTTTAGGAGTAAAAGTATATGCATATACCTATTAAAAAATGTAAATAACTTAAAAATCGGAGACAAAAATTTTGCAATTGGCTGATAATTGTTAATGCCCATCAGGACATTAGAAAATATTTTTTTCTTTTTCTCCGTTTATCGCGGATGATTTTATGTATAAACCTTGATCCAAAGGAAACTAATAATGTTATTATATATAATAAAATATAATATATAAATATAACGAAAAATTTTATTATATTTAAGTTTTAATAATTAATTTTTTTAATCTTTGCTGAAGTCTGATTTTTTGTATTTGTGAATATTGGTTGAATATTGGGCCAAAATTGAATTTCGAGCCTTGGCATTGGTCTCTACACTCCCAGCCTTGGACCAATATTGGTAAAAATAACTGGTCCAATATTTAGCCAATATTCAGTCTTGGCAATTTCCCACTGGGTCAAAGATCTTATATCGGCGCGCGCGGCGAGGCGGTCGATTTATGTTTAATTATACAAAATCAAGCTCAAAATTCAAAAATTTTGAAAAACGAAATTTACTATTGGAAAAAGTACGAAAAAACCTTCAAAAAACATACCTGCCAACATTTTGTTTATTGCATTTATATACAGCAAAAATTCAAATACTAGGCAGTGTCAGGGAAAACTGATAAAATTGACCCCCTCTATCTCCCCCAAAATTTCAAAAAAGTCAAAAAATTTTTTGGGGATATTTTACTATCAGGTAGGAGAACAATTTCCCCAAGTTTCACATTTTTTCAAGAAATCAATTTTTTAACTCAGGACATTACATGTAAAATGCCTCATATATACTTTTGTATATTTCAATATTAGTCAATAACACCATCCAACAAAATTCAACTTTTTATTTTACCCACAACAAAATCCAACATTTTCGGAAACTACACGGAGAGAAATCTGGTGCGATTTACGCATGAGCATGTCCTTAGGAATATAGTAACAGACGCTTTCAAGCAAAAATCCTAAGTGAGCGAGGTATTATTGTATGAGTCTCACCTGATATTCAGATGGAATCTTATGGTTTTTGCTTGGAAGTGTCCATGCTATATTCCTATGGACTTGCTCATGCGCAAATCGCAGCAGATTTCTCTCCGTGTAGGACCAAAAAAAAAAAAATTACCCGTGTCTGGCTGACAGATCAAGTCTTTTGTGGTTTTTAGGGGTGAATATACCCCTAAATGAAAAATGACAATATACCTATCTTTTAAAAATTATTAATTTTTTATAAATCTTGGTATCAGGGGGTTTTCGGGGTCGCTGATTCTTAATCTTATGTCAGATTTCAAAATTTAAAATGGCGGATCCAATATGGCGATCAAATTTTTAAAAAGTTATTAATTTTTTATTTGATATCCGCCATTTTAAATTTTGAAATCTGACATCAGATTAATATACTAATCAGCGACCCCGAAAACCCCCAGATACCAAGTTTTATAAAAAATAAATAATTTTTAAAAGCTATCTTGTAATTTTTTATTTAGGGGTTGTTTTCACCCCTAAAAACTACAAACGACTTGATCTATCAAAACGTCAAGACACGGGTATTTTTTTTGGATCCTAGTTTCTGAAAATATTGAATTTTTTTGTGGATCTAAAATCGTGTCGTACGGTGTAATAGTAAAATAATAATAATTATTACAAAATATTTAAAAACTATTATAATTCTTACCTTCCACGAAGAAGTAGAATTTTCTTACTAACAAAAAATGTAGTTTGAAGGCCTTAGGTTTTTGATAAATATATTTGCGCGTTTTCTTTGTAATCTACAAAAAAAATAAAAATAAAATTTTATGTCTTACTCTTTTTATTTTAAAAACTTGTATGGCACACATAAAAATAAATATTAAAAATTTATGTATTTTAAAATTCAAATGAAAATAATGTTTTATTATTTTTTATCATTAATATTTTTATCTACATTTTATATTGTTTAGAATATTTTCAAACATAAAACCCAAAAAAATAAAAAAAATTTGAACTAGAATAATTATGAAAAATATTCTTTAGAATTGATCTAGATTAACACTAATCAGTTATAGTACCACAATGATATTAAATTTTAAGTTTGCATTTATTCGTGATTTGTGTAATCTAATGTTTGATACTTAAATTGATAGTATTATTTTTTTTACAACTACATTTTGAAAATTCGCGACACTACTATAATAATTTTATTTTTTCATTTCATTCAAATAAACGAAATTTTTTTGCAACTTCTTTAAGTACAAATTTTATTACAAAATATTGTTTTAAATATATCTAAAAAGAAATGATCAAGAATATAATTTTTTTAAACATATTTAATTTATGCAAAAAAGTACATATGCGCAGTAATGTACATTTTAAAGACGGTTTAATGCCGTTTTTGAAACAAAGATACATTGTCAAAATATTGTAACATTGAAGAAAATTATTATACTTTAAAAAAATTATAGAATATTTTCCTATAAATAATTTTTGCCGGCATTGAGTACATTCCAACTGAAAGAGTACAACATAAATGTTACAAAAATATACACACAAACGTGCGAAAATTAATCAGAATATTATTTTTAACTTCTATTGTAATTGTAAGCCTCTTATTATATTTAATATTTGCAATGCAATCGCTCAAAAAGCTCAGACATATCTTTACCATTAATTTTATCTTCATAATATGAAACTTTATTTGCTACTGTAGCCAACCAGTCTTTATGGATTATAATTTTATGACTAGGGGACTTCATAATTAAACAATGAATATTAGTTTGCTGAATAAAAGTAAATTTTTCCTCAATAAATCTGAACTTAGTTGAAGGAAGAATTATGTAATGCTTGGAATGTGCATCAATGTTTTTCACATCAATGGCTAAAAATGGATCATTCAGTATTATTTTAAAAAATTGCAAAGAGACAGGTATATGGGATTCATTTTCTTCAGATAAAATTTGAGAATAATAATCCCATTCACTACTGTCTTCATTGCAATACAGAAATGCATTAGTTGAAATCATTTTATGCTTTAAATTAACGAAAGTGGTTTTCTGAATGTCATTCGTTCTTTTGCAATACAGTATTATTTGCTTGTTTTCTGCTTTTTTAAATGAATCGTACTGTCGAATTGCTAAGCTATACATAGCTTTTTTTATTCTCCAAACATCAGGAGTATCAATATCTGTGTTTGCATTAGGATTAGACAAAAAAATTCTTATCGCATAATAATCGTCAAAGGAAATAGTGTCGAATAGTTGATTAGCCATATAATCATCAAACGCAGATCCTGGAGGAATGTTTATTAAACTAATATCTTCTTGGCTATAAATATTTTCAATACGTTCAATTGCTTTCCTTTCGTATAACCCAATTTCCACGTACGAATAAAACCTTAATTTTTCATACAACTCAGGATTATTTAGCCACTGTTTATCGTATTTTGCAGGAGTGTATCTCAATTCTTTGAGATCATTCGCAAAAACAGTTAACTCTCGGAGTCTAGAAAAGCTATAATGTTTTAAAATGTGCATTGCGGTAGTCTCATTACATTTTTCAATAAGGTGATCATCTATTAAAGAAGATCTGCTCAGAGAGAATTTAAAGTAGAGTTCTTTTCTTTCAGTCGGAGAAAAATTAACTTTTGCTATTACTGGTTTCGTTATAAGTTTTGAGGTTTTCGTGACAATTTCTGTTGTAATTATTACCTGAAGAATTGGAATTGCAAGTTGCAACGGTTCCTTAATAGCAAAACGGCTTGTACTTTGTCGAAGAAAATCTTTCGAAAATTCACTGCCAATACTTATTCCAAAACTGATAAAGTTTGTTAGAAGTGAAATAACAATTAGTGCATCTGTTGTATAGTAAAAGGCCTTTAATACCAAGTCGTCTACGTTTGAAATGTTTGCAAAATTTCGGAATAGATGGAAGTGTTTAGTATGTCCCAAATCCATTTCCTGTGATGAGAAATCCGCGTGCTGATGTATTACTGTATTGTCAATGGACAAAATTAGACCTTTACTTCTGTTATTAAAATTCCATGATTTATTATCGCAGAATTTTCTAAGATTTGTAAATTTCGGAATGTTTTTATCAAAATTTTTTATGATCAACCAGAAAGACATGAAAAAAAGAAGAAAAGTTACCATATTGATATTGGCATTCATATTTGTGACCTTCTTTTTTTAAAAATTGGTGAGAGATGAGTGTGCCACAGATGCTGATGTTAATATGAATAAAAGGATCTGAAAAATTTTTAAATAGTAAAATTTAAGGTTATATATAATAAAATCGTATTCCTTTCGTCAAGACGAATCGATTGATATATATAAAGTATACATTTGAGGTCAATTTAAAGAATTAATGAAAGTAATAAAATCAAAAATTCACATTTTGGCTATAAAATTTTGTGATTTTTTAAATTGAAGTTTATACACGGAGAGAAATCTGCTGCGATTTGCGCATGAGCAAGTCCATAGGAATATAGCATGGACACTTCCAAGCAAAAACTATAAGATTCCATCTGAATATCAGGTGAGACTCATACAATAATACCTCGCTCACTTAGGATTTTTGCTTGAAAGCGTCTGTTACTATATTCCTAAGGACATGCTCATGCGTAAATCGCACCAGATTTCTCTCCGTGTATATACAATAATTGTATTCCTTACGTCAAGACGAATCGATCGATATATATAAAGTATACATTTGAGGTAAATTTTAAGAATTAATGAATGTTAAAAAATCAAAAATTCACATTTTGGCAATAAAATTTTGCTTTCTCTACAAGGAAGCAAATTTTTTTGCTGATCGTAAAGAGGAAGCAAAATGTTCATGTAATGAACATCTGAATTTACAACTTGTTTCTATTTATTTATTTACATGAGTCATTTTACGTGTAATGTCCTGAGTTAAAAAATTGATTTCTCGAAAAAAAGTGAAACTTGGGGAAATTGTTGTTCTACGGGATATTTTGAGCGAAAATAAGTGAAAACAGCCAATTGCAAAATTTTTGTCTCCGATTTTTAAGTTATTTACATTTTTTAATAGGTATATGCATATACTTTTACCCCCTAAAATATTTTTCAAAAATATTATTTATTTTGGAAATGAGGAGGGGGGGGGGGCTGAAAGTTTTGGGTAATGAAATTTTCTTTTTGCTATTACTCGGAAACGAATAAAGATAATTGAGTGAACTTTGTTTTAAATTAAAGCTTAAAGTCTATATTTTCATGTCTAATGAATGCGCTTGTTGTAAAATTAAACTTTCAATTGTTATTAACAATTTTTTTAAACAATTGCAATTTAGAATGTGTTCTCAATGTCAGACAAAAATAAGACTAGGCTGATTTGATGCGCAAAACTCTAACGAGTAAATTAAAAAAAAGAAAAATGAGTAACCTCCAATATTTAAAAAGTTATGAATATTATTCTGACGCCGCGCAGGCAGCGGCGAACTCGTTGACTCGCTGACGCGCGAGATTAGCTCGCCGCTCGCACTTCCAAATAATTTACTATTTTTATAAGTATTTATATATTTGTAACACATCATCCCCCACCCCCCAAACTTATACATTTAATTTATAATTTATATATTTTATATTTAATTTATATATTTAATATATATAAATTTAAGATTTTTCAAATCTTGGTAAATAGTCAATGGAAATCATATAGATATTGTCTTGACAAGCTTGACAGGTATGTATGAAGTTGGTAACAAAAAATGAAGCTAGTCTTATTTTTGTCTGACATTGAGAACACATTCTAAATTGCAATTGTTTAAAAAAATTGTTAATAACAATTAAAAGTTTTAATTGTACAACAAGCGCTTTGATTAGGCATGAAAATATAGACTTTAAGCTTTAATTTAAAACAAAGTTCACTCAATTATCTTTATTCGTTTTCGAGTAATAGTAAAAAGAAAATTTCATTACCCAAAACTTTCACCCCCCCCCCCTCCCACATTTCCAAAATAAATAATATTTTTATTAGTTTTCCCCGACACCGCCTACTATTCGAATTTTTTCGGTCTATAAATGCAATAGAAAAAATGTTAGCAGGTATGTTTTTTTGAATGTTTTTTCATGCTCTTTCCAATGGTGAATTTCGTTTCTCAAAATTTTTTAATTTTGACCTTGATTTCCTATAATTATACATAAGTTTGCTATTTTCACTAAAATCGGTACTGATAATTGTTAATGCCCATCAGGACGTTAGAAAATATTTTTTTCTTTTTCTCCGTTTATTGCGGATGATTTTATATATAACCCTTGATCCGAAGGGAAATAATAATGTTATTATATATAATAAAATATAATATATAAATATAACAAAAAATTTTATTATATTCTAGTTTTAATAATTAATTTTTTTAATCTTGGCTGAAGTTTGATTTTTTGTATTTTTGAATATTGGTTGAATATTAGGCCAATATTGAAATTCGAGCTTTGGCATTGGTCTCTATACACTCCCAGCCTTGGACCAATATTGGTAAAAATAACTGGTCCAATATTTAGCCAATATTCAGTCTTGGCAATTTCCCACTGGGTCAAAAATCTTATATCGGCGCGCACGGCGAGGCGGTCGATTTATGTTTAATTATACAAAATCAAGCTCAAAATTCAAAAATTTTGAAAAACGAAATTTACTATTGGAAAAAGTACGAAAAAACCTTCAAAAAACATACCTGCCAACATTTTGTTTATTGCATTTATATACTGCAAAAATTCAAATAGTTGGCGGTGTAAGGGAAAACTGACAAAATTGACCCACTCTATCTCCCACAAAATTTCAAAAAAGTCAAAAAATTTTTTGGGGATATTTTACTATCAGGTAGGAGAACAATTTCCCCAAGTTTCACATTTTTTCGAGAAATCAATTTTTTAACTCAGAACATTACATGTAAAATGCCTTATATATACATACTTATATATATTTCAATATTAGTCAATAACACCATCCAACAAAATTCAACTTTTTATTTTACCACAACAAAATCCAACATTTTCGGAAACTAGGACCAAAAAAAAAAGAAAAAATTATCCGTGTCTGGCCGACAGATCAAGTCGTTTGTGGTTTTTACGGGCGAAAACTACCCCTAAATGAAAAATGACAAGATATCTTTTAAAAATTATTAATTTTTTATAAAACTTGGTATCAGGGGGTTTTCGGGGTCGCTGATTCTTAATCTTATGTCAGATTTCAAAATTTAAAATAGCGGATTCAACATGGCGATCAAATTTTTAAAAAGTTATTAATTTTTTATTTGATATCCGCCATTTTGAATTTTGAAAATCTGACATCAGATTAATATACTAATCAGCGACCCCGAAAACCCCCAGATACCAAGTTTTATAAAAAATAAATAATTTTTAAAAGCTATCTTGTAATTTTTTATTTAGGGGTTGTTTTCACCCCTAAAAACTACAAACGACTTGATCTATCAAAACGACAAGACACGGGTATTTTTTTGGATCCTAGTTTCTGAAAATGTTGGATTTTTTTGTTGATCTAAAATCGTGTCGTACGGTGTTATAGTAAAATAATAATAATTATTAAAAAATGTTTAAAATTTATTATAATTCTTACCTTCCACAAAGAAGTAGAATTTTCTTACTAACAAAAAATGTAGTTAGAAGGCCTTAGGTTTTTGATAAATATATTTGCGCGTATTCTTTGTAATCTACAAAAAAAATAAAAATAAAATTTTATGTCTTACTCTTTGTATTTTAAAAACTTGTATGGCACACATAAAAATAAATATTAAAAATTTATGTATTTTAAAATTCAAATGAAAATAATGTTTTATTATTTTTTATCATTAATATTTTTATCTACATTTTATATTGTTTAGAATATTTTCAAACATAAAACCCAAAAAAATAAAAAAAATTTTAACTAGAATAATTATGAAAAATATTCTTTAGAATTGATCTAGATTAACACTAATCAGTTATAGTACCACAATGATATTAAATTTTAAGTTTGCATTTATTCGTGATTTGTGTAATCTAATGTTTGATATTTAAATTGATAGTATTATTTTTTTTACAACTACATTTTGAAAATTCGTGACACTACTATAATAATCTTATTTTTTCATTTCATTCAAATCAACGAAATTTTTTTGCAACTTCTTTAAGTACAAATTTTATTACAAAATATTGTTTTAAATATATCTAAAAAGAAATGATCAAGAATATAATTTTTTTAAACATATTTAATTTATGCAAAAAAGTACATATGCGCAGTAATGTACATTTTAAAGACGGTTTAATGCCGTTTTTGAAACAAAGATACATTGTCAAAATATTGTAACATTGAAGAAAATTATTATACTTTAAAAAAATTATAGAATATTTTCCTATAAATAATTTTTGCCGGCATTGAGTACATTCCAACTGAAAGAGTACAACATAAATGTTACAAAAATATACACACAAACGTGCGAAAATTAATCAGAATATTATTTTTAACTTCTATTGTAATTGTAAGCCTTTTATTATATTTAATATTTGCAATGCAATCGCTCAGAAAGCTCAGACATATCTTTACCATTAATTTTATCTTCATAATATGAAACTTTATTTGCTACTTCAGCTAACCAGTCATTTTGGGTTATTTTATTATAGGACTGCATAATTAACAAATGTATATTAGTCTGATGAATAGAAGTAAATTTTTCCTGAATTAATTTAAACTTAGTTGCAGGAAGAATTATGTAATGCTTGGAATGTGCATCAATGTTTTTCACATCAATGACTAAAAATGGATCATTCAGTATTATTTTAAAAAATTGCAAAGAGACAGGTATATGGAATTCATTTCTTTCAGATAAAATTTGAGAATAATAATCCCATTCACTACTGTCTTCATTGCAATAAAGAAATGCATTAGTTGACTTCATTCTCTGACTTGCTTTAACGAAAGTGGTTTTTTGAATGGCATTCGTTCTTTTGCAATACAGTATTATTTGCTTGTTTTCTGCTTTTTTAAATGAATCGAACTGTCGAATTGCTAAGCTATACATAGCTTTTTTTATTCTCCAAACATCAGGAGTATCAATATCTGTGTTTGCATTAGGATTAGACAAAAAAATTCTTATCGCATAATAATCGTCAAACGAAATAGTGTCGAATAGTTGATTAGCCATATAATCATCAAACGCAGATCCTGGGGGAATGTTTATTAAACTAATATCTTCTTGGCTATAAATATTTTCAATACGTTCAATTGCTTTCCTTTTGAATAACCCAATTTCCACATACGAATAAAACCTTAATTTTTCATACAACTTAGGATTATTTAGCCACTGTTTATCGTATTTTTCAAGAGTGTATCCAAATTCTTTGAGATCATTCGCAAAAAAATGTAACTGTTGGATTCTAGAAAAGCTATAATGTTTTAAAATATGCATTGCGGTAGTCTCATTACATTTTTTAATAAGCTGCTTATCTATTAAAGAAGATCTGCCCAGAGAGAAATTATAATAGAGTTCTTTTCGATCAGTCGGAGAAAAATTAACTTTTGCCATTACTGGTTTCGTTATAAGTTTTGAGGTTTTTGTGACAATTTCTGTTGTAATTATTCCCTGAAGAATTGGAATTGCAAGTTGCAACGGTTCCTTAATAACAAAACGGCTTGTACTTTGTCGAAGAAAATCTTTCGAAAATTCACTGCCAATACTTATTCCAAAACTGATAAAGTTTGTTAGAAGTGAAATAACAATTAATGCATCTGTTGTATAGCAAAAGACCTTAAACACCAAGTCGTCTACGTTTGAAATGTTTGCAAAATTATGGAATGGAAGCAAGTGTTTAGTATGTCCCAAATCCATTTTCTGAGATGCGAAATAAGCGTGCTGATGTATTACTGTATTGTCAATGGACAAAATTAGACCTTTACTTCTGTTATTAAAATTCCATGACTTATTATCGCAGAATTTTCTAAGACTTGTAAATTTCGGAATGTTTTTATCAAAATTTTGTATGATCAACCAGAAAGTCATAAAGAAAAGAAGAAAGTTTACCATATTGATATTGGCATTCATATTTGTGACCTTCTTATTTTAAAAATTGGTGAGAGATGAGGGAGCCACAGATGCTGATGTTAATATGAATAAAAGGATCTGAAAAATTTTTAAATAGTAAAATTTAAGGTTATATATAATAAAATCGTATTCCTTACGTCAAGACGAATCGATTGATATATATATATATATATAAAGTATTCATTTGAGGTAAATTTAAAGAATTAATGAAAGTTAAAAAATCAAAAATTCACATTTTGGCAATAAAATTTTGCTTTCTCCACGAAAACAGCCAATTGCAAAATTTTTGTCTTTGATTTTTAAGTTATTTACATTTTTTAATAGGTATATGGATATAATTTTACCCCCTAAAATATTTTTCAAAAATATTTTTTATTTTGGAAATTAGGGGGGGGGGTGAAAATTTTGGGTAATGAAATTTTTTTTGCTATTACTCGAAAACGAATAAAGATAATGAGTGAACTTTGTTTTAAATTAAAGCTTAAAGTCTATATTTTCATGTCTAATCAAAGCGCTTGTTGTAAAATTAAAACTTTCAATTGTTATTAACAATTTTTTTAAACAATTGCAATTTAGAATGTGTTCTCAATGTCAGACAAAAATAATACTAGGCTGATTTGATGCGCAAAACTCTAACGAGTAAATTAAAAAAAAGAAAAATGAGTAACCTCTAATATTTAAAAAGTTATGAATATTTTTCTGACGCTGCGCAGGCAGCGGCGAACTCGTTGACTCGCTGACGCGCGAGATTAGCTCGCCGCTCGCACTTCCAAATAATTGACTATTTTTATAAGTATTTATATATTTGTAACACATCATCCCCCACCCCCTATCTTATATATTTAATTTATAATTTATATATTACATATTTAATTTATATATTTAATACATATAAATTGAAGAATTTTCAAATCTTGGTAAATAGTCAATGGAAATCATGTAGATATTGTCTTGACAAGCTTGACAGATATGTATAAAGTTGGTAACAAAAAATGAAGCTAGTCTTATTTTTGTCTAACATTGAGAACACATTCTAAATTGCAATTGTTTAAAAAAATTGTTAATAACAATTGAAGGTTTTAATTTTACAACAAGCGCTTTGATTAGACATGAAAATATAGACTTTAAGCTTTAATTTAAAACAAAGTTCACTCAATTATCTTTATTCGTTTCCGAGTAATAGCAAAAAGAAAATTTCATTACCCAAAACTTTCACCACCCCCCCTCCCTCATTTCCAACATAAATAATATTTTTGAAAAATATTTTAGGGGTAAAAGTATATGCATATAACTATTAAAAAATGTAAATAACTTAAAAATCGGAGACAAATTTTTGCAATTGGCTGTTTTCACATATTTTCGCTCAAAATATCCCTAAAAAATTGTTTGACGTTTTTGAATTTTTGGAGGAGATAGAGGGGGGGTCAATTTTATCAGTTTTCTTCGACACCGCCTACTATTTGAATTTTTTCGGTCTATAAATGCAATAGAAAAAATGTTAGCAGGTATGTTTTTTGAAGGTTTTTTCATGCTCTTTCCAATGGTGAATTTCGTTTCTCAAAATTTTTGAATTTTGACCTTGATTTCCTATAATTATACATAAGTTTGCTATTTTCACTAAAATCGGTGCTGATAATTGTTAATGCCCATCAGGACGTTAGAAAATATTTTATTCTTTTTCTCCGTTTATTGCGGATGATTTTATATATAACCCTTGATCCGAAGGGAAATAATAATGTTATTATATATAATAAAATATAATATATAAATATAACAAAAAATTTTATTATATTTTAGTTTTAATAATTAATTTTTTTAATCTTGGCTGAAGTTTGATTTTTTGTATTTTTGAATATTGGTTGAATATTAGGCCAATATTGAAATTCGAGCCTTGGCATTGGTCTCTATACACTCCCAGCCTTGGACCAATATTGGTAAAAATAACTAGTCCAATATTTAGCAAATATTCAGTCTTGGCAATTTCCCACTGTGTCAAAGATCTTATATCGGCGCGCGCGGCGAGGCGGTCGATTTCTGTTTAATTATACATAATCAAGCTCAAAATTCAAAAATTTTGAAAAACGTTTACTATTGGAAAAGGTACGAAAAAACCTTCAAAAAACATACCTGCCAACATTTTGTTTATTGCATTTATATACAGCAAAAATTCAAATAGTAGGCGGTGTAAGGGAAAACTGACAAAATTGACCCCCTCTATCTCCCACAAAATTTCAAAAAAGTCAAAAAATTTTTTGGAGATATTTTACTATCAGGTAGGAGAACAATTTTCCCAAGTTTCACATTTTTTCGAGAAATAAATTTTTTAACTCAGGACATTACATGTAAAATGCCTCATATATACATACTTATATATATTTCAATATTAGTCAATAACACCGTCCAACAAAATTCAACATTTTATTTTACCCACAACAAAATCCAACATTTTCGGAAACTAGGACCAAAAAAAAAAAAAATTATCCGTGTCTGGCCGACAGATCAAGTCGTTTGTGGTTTTTAGGGGTGAAACTACCCCTAAATGAAAAATGACAAGATATCTTTTAAAAATTATTAATTTTTTATAAAACTTGGTATCAGGGGGTTTTCGGGGTCGCTGATTTTTAATCTTATGTCAGATTTCAAAATTTAAAATGGCGGATCCAATATGGCGATCAAATTTTTAAAAAGTTATTTATTTTTTATTTGATATCCTCCATTTTGAATTTTGAAAATCTGACATCAGATTAATATACTTATCAGCGACCCCGAAAACCCCCAGATACCAAGTTTTATAAAAAATAAATAATTTTTAATAGCTATCTTGTCATTTTTTATTTAGGGGTTGTTTTCACCCCTAAAAACTACAAACGACTTGATCTATCAAAACGACAAGACACGGGTATTTTTTTGGATCCTAGTTTCTGAAAATGTTGGATTTTTTTGTTGATCTAAAATCGTGTCGTACGGTGTTATAGTAAAATAATAATTATTATAAAAAAATATTTAAAAACTATTATAATTCTTACCTTCCACGAAGAAGTAGAATTTTCTTACTAACAAAAAATGTAGTTAGAAGGCCTTAGGTTTTTGATAAATATATTTGCGCGTTTTCTTTGTAATCTACAAAAAAAAATAAAAATAAAATTTTATGTCTTACTCTTTTTATTTTAAAAACTTGTATGGCACACATAAAAATAAATATTAAAAATTTATGTATTTTAAAATTCAAATGAAAATAATGTTTTATTATTTTTTATCATTAATATTTTTATCTACATTTTATATTGTTTAGAATATTTTCAAACATAAAACCCAAAAAAATAAAAAAAATTTTAACTAGAATAATTATGAAAAATATTCTTTAGAATTGATCTAGATTAAGACTAATCAGTTATAGTACCACAATGATATTAAATTTTAAGTTTGCATTTATTCGTGATTTGTGTAATCTAATGTTTGATACTTAAATTGATAGTATTATTTTTTTTACAACTACATTTTTAAAATTCGTGACACTACTATAATAATTTTATTTTTTCATTTCATTCAAATAAACTAAATTTTTTTGCAACTTCTTTAAGTACAAATTTTATTACAAAATATTGTTTTAAATATATCTAAAAAGAAATGATCAAGAATATAATTTTTTTAAACATATTTAATTTATGCAAAAAAGTACATATGCGCAGTAATGTACATTTTAAAGACGGTTTAATGCCGTTTTTGAAACAAAGATACATTGTCAAAATATTGTAACATTGAAGAAAATTATTATACTTTAAAAAAATTATAGAATATTTTCCTATAAATAATTTTTGCCGGCATTGAGTACATTCCAACTGAAAGAGTACAACATAAATGTTACAAAAATATACACACAAACGTGCGAAAATTAATCAGAATATTATTTTTAACTTCTATTGTAATTGTAAGCCTCTTATTATATTTAATATTTGCAATGCAATCGCTCAAAAAGCTCAGACATATCTTTACCATTAATTTTATCTTCATAATATGAAACTTTATTTGCTACTTCAGCTAACCAGTCATTTTGGGTTATTTTATGCTTGGACTGCATAGTTAACAAATGTATATTAGTCTGATTAATAGAAGTAAATTTTTTCTGAATTAATTTAAACTTAGTTACAGGAAGAGTTATGAAATGCTTGGAATGCGCATCAATGTTTTTCACATCAATGACTAAAAATTGATAATTCAGTATTATTTTAAAAAATTGCAAAGAGACAGGTATATGGGATTCATTTTCTTGAGATAAAATTTGAGAATAATAATCCCATTCACTACTGTCTTCATTGCAATAAAGAAATGCATTAATTGACTTCATTCTCTGACTTACTTTAACGAAAGTAGTTTTTTTAATGTCATTCGTTTTTTTGCAATACAGTATTATTTGCTTGTTTTCTGCTTTTTTAAATGAATCGTACTGTCGAATTGCTAAGCTATAAATAGCTTTTTTTATTCTCCAAACATCAGGAGTATCAATATCTGTGTTTGCATTAGGATTAGACAAAAAAATTCTTATCGCATAATAATCGTCAAAGGAAATAGTGTGGAATAGTTGATTAGCCATATAATCATCAAACGCAGATCCTGGGGGAATGTTTATTAAACTAATATCTTCTTGGCTATAAATATTTTCAATACGTTCAATTGCTTTCCTTTTGTATAACCCAATTTCTACGTACGAATAAAACCTTAATTTTTCATACAACTTAGGATTATTTAGCCATTGATTATCGTATTTTGTAGGAGCGAATTCAAATTTGTTGAGATCCAGCGCAAAAAAATGTAACTCTTGAAGTCTAGAAAAGCTATAATGTTTTAAAATGTGCATTGCGGTAGTCTCATTACATTTTTCAATAAGCTGATCATCTATTAAAGAATGTCTGCCCTCAGAGAATTGAAAGTAGAGTTCTTTTCGATCAGTCGGAGAAAAATTAACTTTTGCCATTACTGGTTTCGTTATAAGTTTTGAGGTTTTCGTGACAATTTCTGTTGTAATTATTCCCTGAAGAATTGGAATTGCAAGTTGCAACGGTTCCTTAATAGCAAAACGGCTTGTACTTTGTCGAAGCAAATCTTTCGAAAATTCACTGCCAATACTTATTCCAAAACTGATAAAGTTAGTTAGAAGTGAAATAACAATTAGTGCATCTGTTGTATAGCAAAAGACCTTAAACACCAAGTCGTCTACGTTTGAAATGTTTGCAAAATTATGGAATGGAAGCAAGTGTTTAGTATGTCCCAAATCCATTTTCTGAGATGCGAAATAAGCGTGCTGATGTATTACTGTATTGTCAATGGACAAAATTAGACCTTTACTTCTGTTATTAAAATTCCATGATTTATTATCGCAGAATTTTCTAAGACTTGTAAATTTCGGAATGTTTTTATCAAAATTTTGTATGATCAACCAGAAAGTCATGAAGAAGAGAAGAAAGTTTACCATATTGATATTGGCATTCATATTTTTGACCTTCTTTTATTAAAAATTGGTGAGAGATGAGTGAGCCACAGATGCTGATGTTAATATGAATAAAAGGATCTGAAAATTTTTTTAAATTTTACTAATATGTGACTCTCCACGATGTAAGGGACCTTAAGTCAAGAGCATCTAAGGTCCTTTTCACTGTGCAGCGTCACATATATTTTTCAAATAAATGTTAAGTTAACTGAATAAATTAGCCGGGAATGATTGAAATTCGAAATTTTTAAAACAGCAAGGACTATCCAAATTAACTTGACATTGTAGATATTTAACAGTAATTTAGAATCTAAGTAATTTTATTCTATATAAATTGAGATTATTTTTTTAAACATACTAGTTAAAAGGAACAAAGTTATTAAAGTAGAAAAGGAAAAAATAATAGTTATCACTTTAAAGCAGTTTTGAAAACTAATTTTTTACCATTCTGTTAAATAGTATTATACTATTTTCTATTTATTTATTTACATGAGGCATTTTACGTGTAATGTCCTGAGTTAAAAAATTGATTTCTCGAAAAAAAGTGAAACTTGGGGAAATTTTTGTCCTACCTGATAGTAAAATGTCCCTAAAAAATTGTTTGACGTTTTTGAAATTTTGGAGGAGATAGAGGGGGGGTCAATTTTATCAGTTTTCTTCGACACCGCCTACTATTTGAATTTTTTCGGTCTATAAATGCAATAGAAAAAATGTTAGCAGGTATGTTTTTTGAAGGTTTTTTCATGCTCTTTCCAATGGTGAATTTCGTTTCTCAAAATTTTTGAATTTTGACCTTGATTTCCTATAATTATACATAAGTTTGCTATTTTCACTAAAATCGGTGCTGATAATTGTTAATGCCCATCAGGACGTTAGAAAATATTTTATTCTTTTTCTCCGTTTATTGCGGATGATTTTATATATGAGAGATTCTTTTTCAATCGCCCCAGCCCAAAAAGTCAATGTTCTGGGATTGGCTTCATACTTTGGTAAATTGTTGTCCTATATGATAGTAATAAATCCCTAAAATATAAACTCATTAAAAAAATATTTGTAGAAAGTAGAGGGGGTTGAAGTTTTGACGTTAAGGGTAACATTGTCATTTTCAAATCCGTATAACTATGACAAAAGTTAATGGATTTTAATTTATCTATAATGAATTTTATTGCATTTTTCACGTACTTTTCAAAAATGTATACGAAATTTTAAAAAAAAAATTTTTAACCCCTTTTTTTCAAAATCAACTCTTATTTTTCGATTTTCACCCCTTCGGGTATTTTTTTTTTTTTTTTTTTATTTTTATTGGAAAGCTGAGGTTTTTTCCGATGAGCTACGTAAATATGAAAATGGGACAACAATAATTTTGTGAGTAACAGAATATTAAAGTAGGCGGTGCCGATAAGGGGTGTACCTGGAGATCATCTTTGAGGATTTAGATAGGCACCGCCTAATTTAATATTATGTTTCTCACAAAATTATTGTTGTCCCATTTTCATATTTACATAGCTCATCGGAAAAAACCTCAGCTTTCCAATGAAAATAAAAAAAAAAAAAAAAAAAATACCCGAAGGGGTGAATATCGAAAAATAAGGGTTGATTTTGAAAAAAAAGGGGTTAAAATTTTTTTTTTTTAAATTTCGTATACATTTTTGAAAAGTACGTGAAAAATGCAATAGAATTCATTATAGATAAATTAAAATCCATTAACTTTTGTCATAGTTATACGGATTTGAAAATGACAATGTTACCCTTAACGTCAAAACTTCAACCCCCTCTACTTTCTACAAATATTTTTTTAATTAGTTTATATTTTAGGGATTTATTACTATCATATAGGACAACAATTTACCAAAGTATGAAGCCAATCCCAGAACATTGACTTTTTGGGCTGGGGCGATTGAAAAAGAATCTCTCATATAACCCTTGATCCGAAGGGAAATAATAATGTTATTATATATAATAAAATATAATATATAAATATAACAAAAAATTTTATTATATTCTAGTTTTAATAATTAATTTTTTTAATCTTGGCTGAAGTTTGATTTTTTGTATTTTTGAATATTGGTTGAATATTAGGCCAATATTGAAATTCGAGCCTTGGCATTGGTCTCTATACACTCCCAGCCTTGGACCAATATTGGTAAAAATAACTGGTCCAATATTTAGCCAATATTCAGTCTTGGCAATTTCCCACTGGGTCAAAGATCTTATATCGGCGCGCGCGGCGAGGCGGTCGATTTCTGTTTAATTATACATAATCAAGCTCAAAATTCAAAAATTTTGAAAAACGTTTACTATTGGAAAAGGTACGAAAAAACCTTCAAAAAACATATCTGCCAACATTTTGTTTATTGCATTTATATACAGCAAAAATTCAAATAGTAGGCGGTGTAAGGGAAAACTGACAAAATTGACCCCCTCTATCTCCCACAAAATTTCAAAAAAGTCAAAAAATTTTTTGGAGATATTTTACTATCAGGTAGGAGAACAATTTTCCCAAGTTTCACATTTTTTCGAGAAATAAATTTTTTAACTCAGGACATTACATGTAAAATGCCTCATATATACATACTTATATATATTTCAATATTAGTCAATAACACCGTCCAACAAAATTCAACTTTTTATTTTACCCACAACAAAATCCAACATTTTCGGAAACTAGGACCAAAAAAAAAAAAAATTATCCGTGTCTGGCCGACAGATCAAGTCGTTTGTGGTTTTTAGGGGTGAAACTACCCCTAAATGAAAAATGACAAGATATCTTTTAAAAATTATTAATTTTTTATAAAACTTGGTATCAGGGGGTTTTCGGGGTCGCTGATTCTTAATCTTATGTCAGATTTCAAAATTTAAAATGGCGGATCCAATATGGCGATCAAATTTTTAAAAAGTTATTAATTTTTTATTTGATATCCGCCATTTTGAATTTTGAAAATCTGACATCAGATTAATATACTAATCAGCGACCCCGAAAACCCCCAGATACCAAGTTTTATAAAAAATAAATAATTTTTAATAGCTATCTTGTCATTTTTTATTTAGGGGTTGTTTTCACCCCTAAAAACTACAAACGACTTGATCTATCAAAACGACAAGACACGGGTATTTTTTTGGATCCTAGTTTCTGAAAATGTTGGATTTTTTTGTTGATCTAAAATCGTGTCGTACGGTGTTATAGTAAAATAATAATTATTATAAAAAAATATTTAAAAACTATTATAATTCTTACCTTCCACGAAGAAGTAGAATTTTCTTACTAACAAAAAATGTAGTTAGAAGGTCTTAGGTTTTTGATAAATATATTTGCGCGTTTTCTTTGTAATCTACAAAAAAAAATAAAAATAAAATTTTATGTCTTACTCTTTTTATTTTAAAAACTTGTATGGCACACATAAAAATAAATATTAAAAATTTATGTATTGTAAAATTCAAATGAAAATAATGTTTTATTATTTTTTATCATTAATATTTTTATCTACATTTTATATTGTTTAGAATATTTTCAAACATAAAACCCAAAAAAATAAAAAAAAATTTTAACTACACGGAGAGAAATCTGGTGCGATTTACGCATGAGCATGTCCTTAGGAATATAGTAACAGACGCTTTCAAGCAAAAATCCTAAGTGAGCGAGGTATTATTGTATGAGTCTCACCTGATATTCAGATGGAATCTTATAGTTTTTGCTTGGAAGTGTCCATGCTATATTCCTATGGACTTGCTCATGCGCAAATCGCAGCAGATTTCTCTCCGTGTAGAATAATTATGAAAAATATTGTTTAGAATTGATCTTGATTAACACTAATCAGTTAGTACCGCAATGATATTAAATTTTAAATAATAGCGGTAAATTTCAAAACTTATGAAATTAATTATTATCTAAATAAATAATAATTAGTGTCAGCTGGGGTAAATGGGGACAAGAGGTGTTTGAGCTTAATTTAAAGTTTTAAAAATTAAGTTCAACGTCAATATTTTAACCTCAGATCACCTGTAATAGATTTTGAGTATTGTTAAGTTTTTATCTTGACAATTGGCAGCAAGATAAAAAAAGTTATCGCTCAATGCATAAAAACTTGAAAATCAAAGTCAAACAGTTTCAGTATTTTTTCTCGCATTTCAAAGAAAACAGACTTCAAAATCGTACCAAATTTTTTTCTTATTCCTTATGACTCCTATAACAGAAATTCAATTTCATCAATCAATTTGAGTAACATGAAGTTTGTCCCTTAATCATTTTTGATACCCAATTCAAAATAAGTTGCAACAAAAATGAGTCCAATTTTTTTTTCTATGTACGGTTTGAAATAGAATGTCCAATATATACACTTCAAAGTTTATCTGTATTCAGTAGTGCATACTAGTATTGAACAATATTCTTTCGATTTAAAAAAAAAAACAAACAATCTCAATATTATTCCCATTTTTAAATTACAATGATATTTATATACAATATTTTCTATATATTTCATGTATTTATGCGTATTGCGTTGTCAAAACTTATCTAAATATTCTTAAAATTTACCGAGAAAAAGTTAAACATTATATTCGTTCCACTTTCTTTATCCACTCAGGAGCAAATTTTTATTCATCTCCTAAATGACCATAAAAAGAATAAGTTATATAAATTCTTATTATGAGATATATAATATATGTTTGTTCTACTGTTTAAGTTAAAGGTCTTGTTTTAGGTCAAATACGAATTTAACGGACAATAATTACTCTCACAAATTTTTACGTAATTAAATTCAGACAATTTAGAAATAATATTCTTTAACTTTTATATAATATTGCATCTATAGACAAATTGAAATATTAAAAAAAAAGATTTGTAAAATCCTTTTCACACATTTTTTTTTTTTTTTTTTTTAATCAAAAAAGAGAACGTTGAAATTCTTAACGATTTAGAAGAAAAAATATTTATTATAATTTGTTGGCTGAAAATATTATTGATTTTTGATTAAAAATTTGTAGAAGAAAAAATTTTACGTCAAAAATATTGTATTCTGTGTGATATTTTTTTTTTTTCTTTCTTCTTCAATTGTTGACCTATAAACATTGTGAACTTCACCGAAGTAAAATAGAAAAGTATTTTAATGAATTGTATTTGAAATTTGTAATTTCCTATTTCGTGGAAATTTCTATTTTTCAATAGAAACGTTCAGAAGGATATAAAAAGTGTTTGTTGAAATCGTGCGAAAACATTTAAATATTTGGTCTCAACTTACTTTACTTTACTAAATGTAATTTTTTCAGAAAATTATTTCTAATTTTCTCAACAAAAAAAAAAAAAAAAAAAAAAAAAACATTTTTTTGGCATTTAAAGCAAATATTTCATTTTAATAAAAGCAATAATATTGTTTCGAAATTTTTTTTTCAATTTTATAAAAAAAAAATGTTTTTTTTTTTTTTGCTTTAAAAGCATACATGATTTTATTTTACTGAAAATTATTTCTAATTTTCTCGCAAAATTGTTTGCATAATTTTTTTTTAAGTTTAACAATTAAAAAGGAGTTTACATAAAATTTTAAGGCAATAATATAATTGTTTCTTTGTACACTTTTTTGCACTAAGTGTAAAATTATGTGAATGCTAAATTCTATTATTGATTACGAAACTTTAAAATTCTACATGACAATAATATAATTTGCTCACAATTATTGTGAAATAATTAATATTAGTTTTAAGAAGTGTATATATATATATATATATATATATATATATATCATAAATTATGTAAATAAAATATTTAATCTTGGAAATAATTTCCAAAATCAAATATAAAATAATAATAAAGCATAGCAATATGTAATAATAGGTTCTAAAAATTTCCATTATTATTAACAGGCTATAAAATAAAAAAAAAAAGTAGTAAATATTTCTAATCTATTGTGTGTCATAAAATAATTTTTCTCTTTATTTGATTTATTCAAATGTTTATTTTAAACATTAAAGTAAAATTAAATTTTTATTTTCAATTAACTGCAAATATGTTGGATAATTATATTTCAAGTGTGAAGCAAAAATTCACTTTTTATATAGAAGTAAAAAATATTTTTTTTCATGAAACATTATTTATGTGTACATAATTATCCTGTTGCTTATTATAATTTTTGTTCCACCTATAACATAGCAATTAAAAGATAGTGTAAATTTTATATCATCTTAATTTTCAGTTGCAAAAAAGTCATTAAGGGCTCATTTTACTGATATATTATGTATTTTTACATCACCTTATTCTCTATACAAATTATTAAATATTAGTGAAAAATTCACAAAATTAAATTTCTAAAAATTTTATCACTTTGCATTGAAATTTGTAAATTTTTCACTGATTTCGTATTAGATTTGAAAATAAATTTATTTAGATATTTATATTTTAAGGAAATTAAAAAAAAAAAAAACATATTTCTAAAGTTCTGAATGAATGAAAAATTTGTTTACTACTTTTTTAACTTGAAATTAAATTATAAAATTTTCTAATTATTATTAGAATTATTTTATTATTTCTGTATTAGAAAATAAATTAATAATTTATTAATTATTAATTGTTAATATATTTTTTATTTTTAAATTCATGTATTAATTGTTAAAAAATTAATAGACCAAAAGAATGATGTTTAGAATTTTAGACACATAAAAAAATAATAACTTTTTGCAAACCAAATGTTTTTAATATAATATAATATAAAAAAAATATATATATATGCAAAAATTAAATCAGTTTGAAAGAAATAGAAAAAAAAATTATTTTTAATTTGAAATAAAACAAGAAAAAAAATTTTTTTTTTTATTCATTAAGTGAAAGTGTATGATATAAGTTTTAAAATGAGCCCTTGTCAATTTTTGCAACTTCACTAAAATTAAGATATATAAAAAAAAATAATTTGTACAATGCCTCTAATTGCTATTGGATGAGCAAATATTATTACATATATTTTTTAATGTCACTTTTAATAATGTCACTTTAGAAAATATCGTCTTACTCTCGAAAGAATTATTACTGAAAATGACAGTTTCAGTTGACTTACATAAAACAATTTTTGCTAATTTACGCAAATATATCTCTTAAAAAAAAAAAGAAAAAACCGTAAATGCACAATATTACGAAATCTATAACGATCTTGTGCATTTTTACAACACATATATATATTTGTTTAAATGGCAAAGAAGGAATTTTTCAATTTGTCTATAAATTTCAAATATTGTCACTCATTGAATAAGTTTTTCATCGAGGGAAAAATAGTAGATAAATTTATTTTCTTGTCAAATCAATTTTTTACGTATACTGACAAAAAATATAATCTATTTATGTCAAAGCTAAATAAATTTTTTTTTTTTTATTAACTTTGAGCATAATTTTTTTACTTCTTTTTTTATTTTTACATACCTGGAAATACTAAGAATATTTTGTAAAAAAAATTTTCCAGGTATGTTAAAAAGTTAAAAATAAAAAAAAAGTAAAAAAAATTTTGCTCAAAGTTAAAAAAAAAAATTAATTTGTTTATAAAAACTTTACTTATCTTAGAAAAAAATTTCTCAATTCAATAATTTTAATTAGATGTCACTAAAATTATGTCGACATTAAAAAAAATCTCGAAAAACCTAGATTTTTAAAATTGCATAACTCAAAAATTTGAGTACTTATAAAAAATTTTAAAAATACATTAAAAAAAAAAAATTATTTGATTCAAATAATCGGTTACTTGATTATTATCAAATAAATATTTACTTGAACCAAATAAATAATTACATGAGGCAAATAATTTTTATTTTCAGTCAATTAAATGTTATTTGTTTTAAATACAGAAATTATTGGTTCAAATTCAATTTAATTTAATTTAAATAAAAATTATTTCATTCAAGTAAATAGTTATTTTGATAATAGTCAAGTAATCGATTATTTGAATTAAATAAAATTTTTTTGCCAATGTAGCACTTTTTTCTACAAAAAGAACGAAAAAAAAAGTTAATTTTTTCGAATTTAAAAATATCATAAGTAAATACGTGGAATCGATTATTTATGCACTGAGAAAAATGTTTAGTCAGAGCAATCAAAATTTAGTTGGGCCAACAAAATAATTTTGTTGGTATTTAAGTAATCAAACAATTTGTTTGAGTCAACCAAAAAAATTGGTTGAGTGTTTTTTGATGGCATAACAAAAATGTTTGGTTAGCTGAACCAAATTTTTTTCTTTGGTCAACAAAAATGTTTGGTTGTCGTAACCAAATTTTGGCTATTAGAACAACAAACAATCATTTGGTTTTTTTAGACCAAAATATTTTGTTGTTTTAACAAAATTATTTTGTTGTCGTAAACAAATTTTGGTTGAAATTTACAACTTTGTTTCAGCCAACCAAAATTTGGTTACAAGAATCAAAATTGCCTATAATCAAACGATTTTGTTGCAAACACAAAATATTTTTTTTCAGCTTGTTAAAGTAAATTTTTTTACTGAAATAAATTTTTTTTGAATAAAAATGTTAATAAAATATAATTGTAAATAAAAAAAAATATTTTAAATTTACCCGCCAGTGATGAATTTCAGATAATCGATTAGCAAGAACACAACCCGCTGATCCAGCGCCAACAATAATAAAATCATATTCCTTAACGGCAAATCCCGTTGGTTGTGGAAAAATAGCTTGAGTTAGAAATTCCTCTTCTTTTTCTTCATGCTGATAATTATTTCGCGACCAAAAATTTTCCTCTTCATATTCCGATAAATCACGTTCCCCATCATTTCTACCCCAAAAATTATCATCATCAATTTTTATCCTCTGATCATTATTTCTCAAACGTTCTTCAGCAAATGGAGAAATTTTTTTCCTTCTCGTTGGTTTAAAATCCTCGGGGAAAAATTGATAATACTCACGGGGTAGAATTGAAGAAGTACTTTGTTCTTCTTCTTCTTCTTCTTCTTGCAAAAAGGGAAAGAGATCAAAAAAACTATCTCTTTTTGGTTTCAAATAAATTGGTCTTTTATAAATTTGATTAGTTTTGGGAAAATAAATTTCATAATTTAATCTTGGTTCCTGTCTCGTTGATGATTTGTAGAAAACATTTTTTGCCGTTACTGGCGTTAATGAATATCTCGAACCATAGAGTTGGAAAATATTTGATTTTGGTGTTTTATGATTAAAATGAGTGTGATATTTTTTTTGTCCTTGTACTTTGGTATAAATACCAGGAGGAATATAATAGGGTGCAGTATTTATATGATATGAACCAATACGATCCAAAGGATATGTTTCTGTAAAATCATATTCAATATTTGGTTTAGTGTATGTGTATAAATTATTAACAATAAATGGATTTTTTATTTCTGATTGCGTGGAGAAACTCTTTGTACTAACACTTCCATAATTATTATTTCCATCTTCCGAATAGCCAAGAAGACGTGCAATAAATGCCAAAAATAAATATGTTGACGGTTGACATGCCGTTACTTTTGAATGAACCGTGCAAAATTGCGCCAAATTGCCCGGTACCCACGACATTATTTATTCTCAAATTCACAAATGGGTTTGGGAATTATTTATCACTGAATTATGTTCTTTATACTTTGAAAATTTTATTTCAACTATTATTATTGTTATTATAATTATTATTATTGATATTATTATAATTATTATTATAATAGTAGCAAAAACTATTTTTCTGCATTATTAGAAAAAAATTAGTTTTGTTTTTAATAATACACAATTTTATTGACACTTGACACTAATTTTTTTCTCCAAAGAACACATCACATTTTAAAGTAGAATTTTTACACAATTGAAAACAATTTCCCCCAAAAAAAAAAAAATACAATTACGTAATGATACAAAAATTTGAAAAATAAATAAAAAATAAATTACTAAATAATAAATTATAATTTGTAAAATAATGGAAGATATTAATTAACTTGAAATAAATTAATAATATTAATAAAAAAATAAATGAAATTTTGAAAAATAATAATTATACTGGATTAATTAACTTGAAATAATGTTAATTTTATTGAATTGATTTGGAAAATTTGTTGAATTTAAAAAAATGTTCGTTCAATGCGAAATTCAATGTTCATATTGTAGTGGATTTAAAAACTGAACACAAATATTTTATAATAGTTGGTTTGTTGACTGTAAAACAATGAGACACTTTCCGATCTGAATGTTTCGATACAGACGGTTGGCACGCGAATGTACCTTTACAGATTGGGGAGGCTGATAAAAATGACTTAGAGAGCTATAAAGGTTCGACACGATATCACGATTTGCAAGGTTCGCTAGTTTGTCTTTTCAAATGTGAACGACATTCACTGGAAAAAAAAAAAAAAAAAATCCTATTCTTGATTTAACAATATATTCTTGTCTCGTATAATTTATTGTATATATTATAGAAATATATATTTATTGTAATAATTTTTTTATATTATATTTAATTATAAATTAATTAAATTTTTAGTTATAAATTAATTAAATTTTTAATTATAAATTAATTAATTAAATTTTTAATTGTAAAAAATTGATTTAAAAAAATTTATGTAAAAAATTTTTGCGAGGTCTGTGTGAATGACACAAATTTTTGAGCAGGACAACCTTTTTTTGTAATTAATTAATTTAAAATACGATTAATTTATTTTCTACTTGCATTGAATTTTTTAAAATTAGAACACAATTTAATGCAGGAAGTGTTATTATTGAAAAATACGATGTAACATTGGTCGGTGATGTAAGAAAAGTATATTTAATTATTTTTTGAGGTTATGTGATGAGCGATTAGGCCTATAAGCAGAATGAAATCTCTAATCGTAAATCGTTACATGAGAGAGAAAAGGATAGAAATATATTTGTCCTTTTCTCTCTCATGTAAAAGCTTAAGATTTACCATTAGAGATTTTATTCTGCTTAGGCCTTATGTCAGATTGTGACAAGTAATGCAGTGCCACCAACTTGTTCAATTTATATATTATCGGTTGGTAATTCAGAAATCTTGCTAAAAATTTTCTATTCTACTTCCTATAAGCCAATGTTTTTTTTTTTAATTTTTCAACATTGAAAAATATTTTTAATTAATACTTATGTTTTAAATATTCAATTCGAATATTTATTTATTCTTATTTATTTATTTTATTCATTTATGTATGAGAAAATTAATAACAATTTTTTTTTATTTATGTTACAGGTAAGACCAGAACAATACTAAAACAGAAATCGTACTTTGGGTTATTCTAATCGCAATTTCAAAGTAAGGTAAACAAAATGAATTTTTATAAAATTAAATGCGTCTACTATAGATTTAATAGTGAGAAATAATTATTATTTATTACTATTTAATTAATAATTATTTTTAATTTAATAATTATTATTGATTTTAAATTTAATTAATTTTTAATTTAATTATTTAATTTATATTATTAATTAATTTTTTTATTAATTCATTAATTTTAATAATTAAGTAATTTATTTATTTTAATAATTTATTTTATTTTACCATTAAAAAAGAAAGTGTGAAAAATCCAGGAATGTGATACAATGAAATTTTCCAGTAGAAACACACTTCTGAATTCAAAGTTACGAGAAAAAAAATTTATTTATCATATATTATACAAATATTAATTTTCATTAAGAAATATTTTTAACCAACGAAAAGAAAAATATTTGGAAACAATATTTTTATTTATAATGAAACCTTTTTCTCATAATGTAAAAGTAAATTAATAATGTATATATATATATATAAAGAATATAAGAAGTGTGACTCGCGCTATAAATTACTTAACATTTTTACGGTCCTTCTTGCTCCGCTTTCCATTTGACTTGATTTCTGCGTTTTCAATGCTTTAATTTTTTTTTTCTCTAGATTCCTGTCTTGGATTTAGTTATTGCTTTCGATAATTTGTTCTTTCGCCAGATTTACGAGTTGAAATTATTATGTCTCTTCAGTATCAATTTCCGTTTTAATTTTGTTGTCAAAATTTTCAAAAATTTTTACTACAACTATTTAGTTAAATTCAAATTATTTGCTAATTAATTTGTATTATTAATCGATTAATAATAATCAATGTGGTCAGAAAAAAATACTTGAAAAAAATATATCAAAAAAATTTCAGTATATCAGTTTTTGTTCAAATAAAAAATCCCTGCGTTATGTAGAGAATTTTATCTTCAAGCATTATAACAATTAGTAAGTAAATTGATCAAAATTTGTAGGTGTAATGTTTTCGGATACTTTGAAAAATTCCATAGTTTCTTGCTCTAAAAATTTCAATTTATTAACACTCATAATTAATTTTCACATACAGTAACAATTTTTTGCACAAAAAAAAAAAAAAAAAATTAACCGTCATTTGATCAGAAATGTGAAAAAACATTTTTCGTAATATTGAATTATCCTTATACTAATTTACTTAATTTTTGATTAAATCTATCGTGTTGTTATCATTTCAATATATATCTTTTATCATTGTTATATTAAATTATTTATCATTACTAATTACACTAAAAAAAATAGGGGGGTTTGATTTTGACAACAAAACATTTGGTTGGTATTTAACCAATTAAAATTTTTTAGTACCTCAATAAAATTTTGATTTCAATCAAACTTTGGTTAACACCACAGAAAATTAAAAGGCATTAAAATAAGCTGCAACGCTTATTATTTTAATCCAATTTTGCTTATTTTAATCCATTTTGGTATTAAAATAAGCAAAATTGGATTAAAATAATAAGCGTTGCAGTTTATTTTAATACCTTAAAATTTTCTATGACAATCAAAATTAGAAAATACGGATTTTTGATACCTTAACTAGACTTTGGTTGGGACGATTAAAATTTTGTTGAGGCAACAAAAAAAATTTGTTCAAATACCAAGCAAAAGTTTTATATTTAAAACCAAATCCTTCTTTCAGTGTAGTTTATAACTATAAAAGATATAAATGAATATAGTAGAAGTAAAATATAAATTTAAAAAGTAATTATCACATTTTTGAGATTACAATTCATCTCTTTCGGTCCAATCTTCTTTAATCATATCAGAACCCTTTTCAGCAATCATAAGAGTAGCTGAATTTATATTTGCACTTGGTATTTTTGGCATTATTGAAGCATCAATAACGCGTAGTCTCTCGATACCATGTACCTTGAGTCGTGGATCAACAACAGCTTTTTCATCACTTTTTGGTCCCATTTTTGCCGTACCCACTGCATGATAAACGGTATTATATGTATGTTTAAAATTACACTTCCAATAATCATCGGTATCAAATTCCATATTTCTACAATTGGGAATATCATATTTATTCCATTTAACACCAATGCTTTGCATTGCTTTTGTATTTATTAATGAACGTAAAAATTCTATTCCCTTTAACAAAGTATTCACGTCATCTGAATGTTTCAAGTAATTGGGAATTATTTTAACACGATCATTTGGATTGTTACTTTGTAATTTTACTTCACCAATACTTTTTGGATTAAGTGTTGTCATTAAAAAGAATAGTAGATCCTTGGTCGATGCTTCTTCCAATAATTGATTTTTTAAATCATCCGATGCACCAAATGCATTGAGCATTGTGTCCAATGGTAAAACTTTACCACGTGGAAAATGTGCATGATGAAATTCAATATTTGGATATTTTGCCGATAGATCGTCAGTGTTGAGAAAACCGAGGAGATCAATTCCACCAGTTGCTGCAAGTTCACCTAATTCAAAATTAAAAAAAAAAAATTTTAATTCCTTTTTTTCTCTACAAAATTTTATTATTATTATTATGAAGTGCATGAATTTTTCATGCAAAATCAACAGATTTAAATTTTCATTGTAAAGAATTTTATTGAGTATAGTTTAGCTGCCATATCAAAGAAGGACACATAACTAATGTAATTCAAAGGCGTTATGTGCCCCTCTTTGATTCGGTAGCTCAATTATTTTTATAAATAATTACACAGGCACACAAAAAAAATTCATGTTCTCAGCTCGAGGTTAAATCATGACTATTTTATGTTTTTGGGATTGCTGAAACCGAATCTGAAGTCTATTTAACTCATGATTTAATACCATAATGTCAGGCTCTTAACATAACCTCAAATTTTTTTTAAAAATTATATGTTGGTGATTTTTTTGAGGTTATGTCAAAAGCCTGATGTTATGCGGTGTTAAATAGACTTCAGATTTGGTTTCAGCGACCCTTAAAACATAAACTAGACATGATAAGACTTATAAATCAGAAGTTTTTTTATTTCAAAATTTTGGGATCAAATTTTGGGATTTTTGAATTTGTTTCAAAAGCCTGACATGATAGGGTTAAATATACTTTAGATTCAACTTCAGCGATACCAAAAACATAAAGTAGACCTGGTAAAACTCATAAATCAGAATTTCACTTGATTTTAAAATTTTGAAGGCGAATTTTGAGGTTTTTTTGAGGTTATATCAAAAGCCTAATGTGATTGAGTTAAACTGACTTTGCTTGAATTGTTATTCGATAGAATTCTTAAAACGCCGAATTTCTATTTGTCCGAAACTTCAAATGTCCGAATTTACAATCGAGAGAAAGATTGTGGCACGAATTTTAAAATTACCCAATCAGAAATTGTCAAGAAAAAGTTGTGATTGGTTAATTTTTAAATTCGCGTCAAAATATTTTTATAGGTTATGTGTTTCTTTGGTCACTTGAAATTTCGTACAAATGAAAATTCGGCATTTTAAGAATTCTTTCAAATAACAATTTTCGAAAATAAAAATTCGAACTAATGATTCAATGAATTGAAAATTCTGTCATTTAAAAGTTCAAATCAATTAAAATTCTGTCACAATAAGAATAATTAATATTCAAGTTAAATGAGAATTTTTTTAAATTAAAAAGTTGGATAAAGAGAAATTTTTGTAAAATAAAAGTTTTGTCAATCAAAAATTCAGGAACCTAAAAAATCTGTTAAAAAAATTCGTTTATCAAGAAATTCTGTCAAATGCTATTTCGATAAATGAAAATTTGAATAAAAAAATTAATTATATCCAATAAAATTCTTTAAACTGCAAATTTTAACTAATGATTTCTAAGGGAAATTACACAATAGCATATAATATATAATTATATAAAAATATATATTCACCTTTTCTGTGCATTAAAAAGTCATAAGAAGAATCTAAGAAAAAGTCGCTTATTTTCCATTCCTGTCCAGTTTTATTCTCAAACACAATCTGTACACCAAATGATAGTGCGTGATCCTGTAAATTTTGACCCACTTGTAAATCGACTAGATTTTTAATTCCAAATTCAGCGAGATGTTTCTTTGGACCTATTCCCGATAACATTAGTAGTTGTGGTGTTTCTATAGTACCAGCCGATAGAATCACTTCTTTTGTTGCTCTCACATCAATGATTTGATTATTGTTCAATTTTACACGAACACCAGTTGCTTTTTTTCCTGACATTAATATCTCTTGTCCTCTTGCTGATTTAATAATATATAAATTTTTTCTATCCTTTACCGGTGCAAGAAATGCTTCGGCTGCATTTACACGCAATCCATTGTCTAATGTTCCATCAGCTTCTCCATAGCCAACATAATCCTTTCCATTGAATGTTTCCAATGTTGGAATTCCTAATTCACGTGCTGCCTGAAAAAATTTTTAGTTTCAATTATAATTCACTATTTTTTATTGTTATTTTTTGCTATAGGTGAGGAAATTTTTTTGAATATGAAGTTCGATTTGCTCCATCACGTCAGGGTTTTTTTCTAATCTCAAAAAACATGTCTAATCAAACAAGTAATTCAAAATTCTTGTGGGTTTGGGTTGTAGGGGTTTTTGGGGTCGCTGATTGCAAATCTGATTTCAGATTTTCAAAATTCAAAATGGCGGATGTAATATGGAGAATAATTTTTAAAAATATTGCATCCGACATTTTGTATTTTTAAAATTTGACGTCGGATTCGTGAACGGCGACCCCAGAAACCCCTAGATACTGATTTGTATGAAAATGTAATGATTTTTTTAAAAATTTGTCCACCATTTTGAATTTGGAAAATTTGTGATCATATTTGCAATCAGTAACGACAAAAACCCCTAGAACCCAAGCTCACAAGAATTTTGAGTTACTTGTTTGATTAGACATGTTTTTTGAGGTTAGAAAAAAATCCTGACGTGATGAAACAAATCGGACTTAAGGTTCGTGATATTTCGGTTTGCCTTGGAATAAGTTCGATTTTTTTTTGTGGTCCTGAACAACAAAATCAAATAATTTTAAATTTTGGATGGCTTTTTTCTTAAAAATTTAATTTTCAATATTAATGCACTATTTTTATTTTGCTTATTTTTTATTTGTCTATGAAATTTTCTAGTTAAAAACATTTTTTTGATTAAAATTTAAAAATTGGCGCTTTTATGTGGTATAGTTTATGAATGTTCCGATAGAGGGCTTCTCACAATCGAGTTTCAAAATTTTTAGTATAAAAAGATATATACTTGTTCCTGAGTCAGTATCAACAAAATTATCAACAATATCAAAGAATTTTAAATTTTTGCTTGCTTTTTTATGAAAAATTTAATTTTCAATATTAATTCACTAGTTGTATTATTATTTTTTGCTCCTTGAGGAAATTTTCTAGTTAAAAAAATTTTTTTTTTTTATTTATTTTTAAAAATTGGCGCTTTTATGTGATATAGTTTATAAATAGTCTGATAGAGGGCTTCTCACAATCGAGTTTCTTTTACACCAATAATGTTCTATAAATTATAAAGCTTAGGTCCATTTTTTTAGAGCACGTCACATATAATGTAAAAAATATTATTTTTAATTTTATAAAAATTTTTGAAAAAAAAGAAAGTAGTTTTATTTAATATTAAATAGAAAAATTTTATATATCATTTTAATTTGGTAATTTTTTTTTTTGTTAAAAATTCTTCAAATTATATTAAAATTTTGCTTTAACGAAAAAAAAGAAAACTTTTATTCAAATTCAAATGATATTGTGTTATAAAATAAACAATTTTTCTGAATTGCTCTCATAAATTCTGATATATACTTTTTAATACTTCCTTATAGAGGAAATTTTACCGATCACTGAATGAGGAAATAAAATATTCATGAATTGAACTATATTGTTTGCTTTATGTATATTTTTTTTATATTGCTTTCAGATAAAGAAAATAAATATTTAAATAAATATATATATGTAAACGCACAATAATTACCTGCATTATAAGATTGGACATAAAATTGCTTGAGTGATTGAACTTTCGAATGGGTAAGGGACCATTTGTTCCGAAATATTTGCTGCCTAATCGTGCAGCAAATTCGGCATTATAACTTTCGGACTTCCTGAAATAGGGTAAAATTTCCTCGTAACTCCAACCATCGTTTCCCATTTTTGCCCAATGATTGTAATCTCGATCATTGCCATGAACATGTAACATTGCATTTGTCACTGAACTACCACCAAGTGCCTTGCCTTTTGACCAATGACAAATTTTTTCCTTCATTCCTTGACAATAATTTTCATTTGGTTCAAGTTGATATTTATAATCTTCCTCTGTATGTTGTAATGCTAATAACATTATTGGAATTCGACTCATTGTTGATGGATTTTTACCCTCTTCAATGAGAAGAATTTTCCAATTATTCACTTCGGATAGTCGACTAGCAACAACGGAACCTGCTGTTCCACCACCGACAATTATAAAATCAAATTCTAAATTTTCATCTAATAATTCTGTTGTTCTATCCTCTGGATAAATGTTGTCTACATTTAGAGCACATTGTGCTCCTAAAAGTGCTCGAACAAGTTCTATAAAGAGTAATCCAGATGATGTTCCACTTGCTGCCAGTGCGCAACTTTGGCCTAAACAAGCCTCCATTATTGTTTTCTAAAAATCAGTGAAAAATTTATTAGGATACTATTCTATTTTTTTTTTTTTTTTTTTTTTTTTTTTTTTTTTTTTTTTTTTTTTTTTTTTTTTTGTTGCTATTTTCGAGTTTACAAAAAAAGAATTGTGACTTATTTTAGCTTTTGTGGAATTTGGTATTTTGCTAAAGAATTGGTCTAGTGGTTAGCCTTCTAGATTTATGCTACAAACTTCGAGGGTTCGATTCCCAGTAGAGTTGGATTTTTTCCTCGATAAATATATTAATAGAATTTGAAAAGTATAAAATAATAAAAATAAAAAAAAATGACATTATTTAAGAATGAACACATACAAGCGAGAATAGCCAACAGAATAATTTGGTTAAAATAGCAAAAAATATTTGTTACGTTCAAACATATTTTCTATTAGTTCAGCGAAATCAATTTCTTGAAATAATCAAAAAATTTGCTTGGACGAAGAAAACTGATTAAATAAAAAAAAAAAAAAAAAATATTAATTATATGTACCTTAAAAATAAAACAAACAAAATTTGGATTTGAATAATTTTTGAATTAGACTTTTTTAAAATTTTTATTATCTAAAATTTTGAGAATTTTTCTGATTCAAAAATTATTTAAAATATATTTATTTGATTGAAAATTTTTTTCCAAGAATTTAGAAAACTATTTTTTTTTTTGTTTTGATTTTCAACATATTTTAGTACTATTTTTGAATTTAAAAAAAAAAGTGCACCTTATTTTAGCTTCTGTTAAATTGGTATTTTACCAACGAATTGGTCTAGTGGTTATCCTTCTCGACTTGTGCTATAAACTTTGAGGGTTCGATTCCTAGTAGAGTTGATTTTTTTCCGCAATAAAAATTAATAGAATTTTAAAAGTATAAAAAATGTTGAAATTTAAAAACGAAAGAAATAAATAACATTAAATAAAAATATAAAAAAAATAAAATGACGACATTATTTAAGAATAAACACATACATACTGATTTAAAAAAAATTATATCAGGTATAACATAAGAATAAAAAAAATAATTTTAGATTAGAATAATTTTTGAAATTTTAATTTAGTTTTATTTTTGTGTTTTTTTTAAATTTTTTAACTTCAAAATTCTTTAAAATACCTATTTAACTAAATAACACTATTTTCCAAGAATTTAGAATATTTTTTGTTATTCTGACATTGAAAATATTTTTTATAAATTGAACTAACAAATTTTGCCAAAAAACTGAATGAAACTAATTTGCTTTCTCTTAAGATGAATTATTATTAATAATTTTTAATACTTATTAATAATTAATTCATTAATTAATTATTAATTATTATTATAATTATAATTATAAATCGAAACCTTGACAATTTTTTAATTTTCAGTTGTGATAATATATTGTAAATAAACTTTTTTAAAAATATTTTTATTAATAAATTATACTCTTATTAAAGAATTAATGAAATTAATTCAATAATGTAATATTTATTATTAATAATTATTAGTAAAAATTTTAAATACTTAATAAAATATTTATTAGCTAATTAAATTGCAATAAGTTGCAATTTTATAGTAGCAATAAATTGTCATTTGTTTTTAATTAAAAGTCTTTATTTTTTTTTAACATTGATCATTACAATTTCAATTTAATAACAAATTTTTCTTAAAATAAACAATGTTTTTTTCAGAAAAATTTAATTTAAAAAAAAAACCAAAAAACAAACAAAATAAAATTTTGTTTGGACCAAAAATGTCGCAAAAATTTTTTTTGATCAAAAATGTAATTCTGGTTATTTAGCATAAATAATTGAATATTTTACTATTTAACAGATAAATGTATTTTTGAATTAAATAATATTAATTACATATTTTCTTTAATTAAAATAAATATTTATTTATTAGTAGTCAAGTTAATTAATTATTACAATAAAATCATTTTTGACACTCTTTAAATCAGAATTCGTTTAATATTACATGGAAAAAATGGAATGCTAAAAAAAAATTGCAAAACTCTATTCGTAAAAAAAAATTAAAAATGAATATTAAAATATTTTCACCAATCTTATCATTGAAATAGTTTTTACATTGGTAATTTTTTGTCGTTTAAAATTCTAAAATAATTTAATTCCCATAATGATTTCAATTGTATATCATTATTTTAATCATTGCTGAGGTTTTACTCTTTCTTTTTGTTTACAGAAAATAATTTAATGTCACTTATTTTTACTTGGATTTTATTTATTATACAATTTACAAAAAACTATGAAAAATGAAAAATTATCAAATTAGAAAAATTAATAAATATAATTAACTAATAAAAATAAAAATAGTTTAATTCTAATAATGAAGCAAATGTTTAAAAATTAAAATTTGTTAAAATAATCAATATTCATCAAAATTTACTAAAATTGTTGTCTTTTAACTTATAATATTATAGTGAACATTCACTGAGAGAAAGAGTATTTTTGAATCAAACATTTTATTTGTTTAATTCTAATTTATTTTATTATTGTGATTTCTAGTTCAATTTAAATTTGTTTCAAATAAATTTTTTTGTTTCATCTAATATAATTAATTAAAAAATATATAATTTGCTTGACTTTTAATTATAGATATTTATTTACTTTAAAATCAAAATTATTAAAAATTAAATAAATTAATCAAAATAAAAATTAATTTCAAAATTTTTAAATTTTAAAACAGAAATTATTAAATAATTTTTATTTATTAAAACAATAAGAATTACCTTAGTTTTGTTATATATTTTAATCAAAAAACACCAGTTGATTGTTGAACGTCATGAATTTGGTTCTATTCGTCAACGTAGTCTGACGAAGAATGAAATTCAAAGATATTGTATTGAATCCCTTCCTTTTTTCAGGGGACAAACATTTTTTTTTTTTTGTCTGCATTTGACCAAGGTTTTCAATTTCTCGTCTAAATGATATTTTGTTCCATATAATATCATTTTTGCGATAGTCTTACAGTTATGCAATAACGTATATTAATTACAAAAAATAAATAAATAATTTTTCATAAAATTCTCATTAACTATTTCGTCATAAATGTTATTAAATTTACAAATATAATTAAATTAAAATATTATTAAATTTAATTTTTTGAAATTCTTTTTATTGAATTTTGAAATTTTTTTAATTAAGTATAATTGAATATTTTTAAAAAACTATTTTTTTGCAAATTTTTAAAAATTTCGAATAGTTTTGTGTTTTTAATACCTAAATATAATTACATTTTTTTTAATATTCTATTATATTTTAGCATAATAATACAATATTTAAGAATATTTTACTTTTTCAAAAATATTTTCCGTGACCCTTTGATTATTATCAATGAGGGTAAAGTCATATAAGGTATTTTTTGAAATGCTAATAGAGATTATCTATTGTTGTGTGACATTCTGGTTTCAGACAGAAATAGAGTTCTCATTTATATATTTTTTAAAAAAAAAAAAATATTTTTTCAAATTTTAATTGAAAAAAATTCTTTTTTAAGAAAAAAAAATATTCGAGAGTTAAAATAGTTTTTTTTTTTTTTTTTTTTTTTTTGGAAACTGAAAGAAAAAAAAATATTTTTCAAACGAATTTTTATTATAAAAATTTATTATATAAATTATACTAAAAAAAAAGTGTATGAAAAACAATAATTATATATAATTTCCTATGTAATACACTATAATTATTTTTTTCGTTTACCACTTCTTGACCATGTGTATCGAATTAAATCGGCAGCTTTTTCTGCAACCATAACAATAGGCGCTATTGGATTAGCATTTGGTAAAATTGGAAATATTGAGGCATCAGCCACTCTAAGATTTAATATTCCATGAACTTGAAGCTGTGAATTTACCACAGATTCTGGGTCACTTGCCGATCCCATTTTACAAGTTCCCGATTGATGATTTTCTGGACCAGTTTTCACACGAATTATACATTCCCAATAAGCGTCCGTATTAAAGTGGTATCTGCAACAAAAATTTATTTAACAATTCAAATTTTTATAAATTATAAAATAAAAAATTATTCACATAATGGATTATAATTTCTATACATGATAATTATGACATAATCCTTAATGTCATAATTTTTTTTTTTTCTATTAGAAAGAAATGAAAAAATTTTATTAGAATTTACATACAGTCAACCGGGGGGTATTATGGAACGAAAATCATTTTTTTCTTTTAATAAAAATTTTTAATTTTATAGAAAAATATTTTAAACTATTTTTAGTCGTATTGTGAATATTCTAAAAATTTTTTGTAAGTTTTATTACAAAATATTTTTTTCTTATCTAAGTTATGTAAACTTAAAGTTTGTACCACAATAGCATTGAGAAAATTATGGTTCATGTCCGCCATTTTTAATAATTCATCTCTCACCTGAGTTGCAACAGTTTCACCGCAAGAGCGTTAGTATCGCTAACTCAAAATAGAAAAGAAAAATCATCAAAATTTTTCAAATGTACCCATAGAGTGGGAATTACTAATTTTAATTAATTAAAATTATTAATTACAATTACTGAATTTTTTTAGGTTAGGAATTATATTTTTTTTAAATTTTGAAATTATCACATTTTAGGCTAATTAAATAACTTGAAAAAAACCATTTAAAAATGATGTATTATTTTTTTGAGGTTATATTGTACCCCTTGTAAAATTATAATTGATTAATTTTCTATTTTCTAACACAAAAATAAGATATTTATGTATAAATTCGGTGGTTTTTTTTCACTTATTAGAAAATAAGTAACAAATTTAAAAATTTTTAAATAAATATTTTATAAATTAAAAACTAATTTGTACCAGAATAGCCCCGATTGACGGTAATAAATTTTTTAAGAAAAATTATAATTTAAATAAAAATAAAATAATAATAAAAGAAAAATAATACCTATTAGGGTCAGTCGGGGTAAATCCGAACGGGGGGTAAATCCGAACGCTAATTATTTCAGCTTAATTAAAATTTTTAAAAATAAGTTCGATATGAGAATTTTTACCTCAGATCCTCTTGAAGAGATTCTAAGTATTATCCCATTTTTTGTTTGTTAATTAGCAACAGCATAAACAAAGATAACAAGTATTGCAAAAAAGATTGAAAATCAAAGATGACACTCTTTCAGTATTTTGTCTCGTATTTGAAGAAAAAGAAGCTAAAAATTCATTTTATTATTTATAATTGTTTGTTATGAATACTAGAACAGAAACTATATTTGATTTTTGCCTTCTGTAAAATTTTATTAATAATATCAGACCGTTCGTATTTACCCAAGAAAATTGGAAAACTGGGGTAAATCCGAACGGTATTTTTAATAATTTTTTTTTACATCAAAGCCACACAAAATTGTTTTTATTTGATTACACTATTATTTTAACATTATAAAAGTACATAGAAAAAAGTTTTTCTTTCTATACGTATCCTCGTTAGTAATTAATAAGCAGAAACTTAATCTCTGTTCTCTCGAAGGAGTGTTTCAATTTTTTTGCCAAATGGTTTGTTGAAAAAAGTTTTTCAGGATCTTAATAAAATTTGGTATTCTACGGTTTTTGGGGTCGCTAATTACCAATTTGAAGTCAGTTTTTCAAAATTCAAAATGGCGGACGAGAATTAAAAAATTCATTGGATTCGCTCGAAAATTGTTACTCGCGGGGTTTCAGGGTTAGCAAATTTGATCATTTTTAAAAATAAGTTTTAGGAAAGTCCGCCATTTTGAATTTAAAAAATTTGACTTTTATTTTTGTATTTACATTCAATCACTCCAAAATACTTTCTGTAGCAAGTTTTGCAAAAATCCGTTATGATTTGATAAAGTTATTGAAGGTTTTAATTGTGTAATGCATTTTAATTTTTAACCTGTTTGATTTTTGTATTTATATATGATGCATTATTACATAATAGGTTTATTATCGTATTTTTTTTGAGTTTTTATATAAGTTTAACAATTGCAATACTTTAAATTTATTTTCCCTAAGATTTTTCTGAAATACAGTGGCGTTCGTATTTACCCCCATATTTTAGGAAAGTTGCAAAGTATCGAGGTAAATACGAACGCTAAGTTTCCTGCGATTGTAATTTATCAAAAATTTTTTCTACCCCATAAAATTGTTCTATGGAAGTAAAGTAACAACTTCATGCACCAGAATACCGGAAGTATTTTTTTTTTAAAGAAAAAACTTATGTTATTGTTGAAACTTACTAAAAGCGTTCGGATTTACCCCAGTTGACCCTAATAATATAATAATAATAATAATAAAAATAATAATAAGATAATAATAAAATAATATTAATAGAATAATAATAATAATATTAAAAGATGATGAAAATATTTTAAAAATGCTTTAATATTTGAGTAAATTTATACCTTGAACAAAGTTTATTTGGTTCTTTCTCCAGTCTTAATCCCCATTTTCTCATAGATTTCGTACTAATTAATTTAATGACTTTTCTCACACCTTCAATGAGAATTTTAATATCGGTTTCATCGGTAAAATAATTAGGATAAATAAGTGGATAATCGAGAGGATTTTTAGATCTTAGTTGTAGATATCCTCGACTTTTAGTAATGACAACCGTTGGTCGAGCCACTATTTCTCTTCTATTTGGACAACTACCAATTCTACCATCGGGACATTCAAATTTGTGTCCAGTTTCCGGACAGCCCGAACTAAAACCATCAAAAAATACCTAAAAAAAAAAACATAATTTATTTTAAAAATATTTGTATACTTTTTAAATTACAAAAAAAATTTGGACTCATTTTTGTAGTATATAATAATTATTATATTATATAGTTAAGTATATCAAATTTGCGCTATTTGCGGTGCTCTCTGGAAAACCGCAATAAATCAGAAAAAAAATTATGTAAAACGCAATTTTAGAATATTTTATTCGCATTATTTCCTGTGTGGTATATATAGACAGTGCTGAAATCTGTTAGCAAATTTGTGATTAGCGACTCTGTAAACCAGCCATTTTAATTTTTCAAAATCTGTAATCTGATTCGTAATCTGCGATCCCAAATACCTCTCAAGTAATGAATTTTAAAAAATGTCATATTTACATTTGTTTTTTCTGATTTCAAAAGTCCAATAACTCAACAATTGACGTTATTAGAAGAAAAAAAGAAGTATTTACCTGCAAATCTGACATTCCAGATGTAGCATAAGAACTCTCCATAAAAGCAGTGACTTGCGTAAGTCCCGTACTTGACAATGGTCCAGTTCTATTTTCAATATACTGATTGACAGCCTCTATTGTCATTGTCTCATAATGATCATCCTTAATACTCATGGGAATACCCACTGACACGTGATTAAGTAAAATTTTCCCCACTGGCAAATCTCGATAAACAGTAATACCCAATTTTTCAAGTTCATCCTTTGGACCAATACCCGACAACATTAACAATTGTGGTGAACCAATTGCGCCAGCTGTCAAAATAATTTCCTTATCCGCCTTCATTATTCGTTTTTTGCCCTCTTTATCAATTAATTCAATGCCATTCACTTGCATATCCCATTTATTCAATAATATTCTGCTGACATGTGCATTTGTCAAAACACGAAGATTAGGCCTATCAGCAACTGGTCTTAGATAAAACTTTGACGTCGTTCCCCGTAGACCACCGGCAGTCATCATTGGTGCAACAATAAAACCAGTTTGATTATATGCTCTCAGTCTTTCGGTTTCGTAGCCTAATTCTCTTGCCGCTCTCAATAGTTCATTGGAAAATTCAGGTTTATGCGAGAAGAGATCAATATTTATTGGACCGCCAGTTTGTGTTTTTTTGAAAATTTCATCTTGTACTAATTTTATATTCACTGGATTCTCAGCACGTTCAAAATAATGTTCTATTTCTTCATATGACCAACCTGGATTTCCAGCGCGTGACCATTTATTGTAAATTTCTGGATGTCCACGAACGTACATCATTCCATTCATTCCACCTGTTCCTGACACCATTTTACCCCTTGGCCATGCGCATTTTCCATTGTTTTCTGTATTGAAGGAATTTTTAATTGTCAAATCATTCAATTAAATTGGTCACAAAAATTTTTTTACCCAAAATGTTACAACAAATTCTTATAGAAATTTGTCCGTCGAATACAAATCTGATTTTGAAAATATTGGATTTTTTTGAACGTCTGTAAAACTAGAAAAACGAAAAAAAATAATATAATGACAGGTTCATTACGTCGTGCCGCCGTCAGATGGCAGAAGCATGCAGGGAGCATAAAGTCGCAGCTGTTATTATACTACTTTCCTTATTTTCTTTTTGCAATCGCGTTTTTATATGGATTCGCACAATCTTTCGGATTTAGGATTATCAGATAAGGATTAACAGTTTCATAAAAATATTTCCATTAAAATCGTAAACATTTTTTGCATTCAGGATGGCATAACCCCTTAAATTGGTTTAAAAAGGACCGTGGAATATTTGAATGTGCTAAAAAATTTAAATCCTTCAGAATTTTATGAAACTTATTACTCGGGAGTTTTTGAGGTAGCAAATTACGAATTTGAAGTAAGCTTTTGAAAATTCAAAATGGTGGATCCAATATAGCGAACTAGAGCCAATCCAATATTTTCAAGGTCAGATTGGAATTCTACGGACAAAATTCTATAAGAATCGGCAGTAACATTTTGAGCAAGAAAATTTTGTTGACCAGTGTTATGAAGTATTAACTCGTATTTACCCAAACAGGCTGTTGGATATGGTTGCGTAGGTTCCGTCATGTATTTCCAATCGAGAGAAGTGTTTATTGTATTGAAAGCTAAACCTGGTACTGCAGTTAAAGAGGGCTCCTCTGGACCTGCCTCCACTAATAACACCCTCCATGGAGCATGATCACTGAGTCTTCTTGCTAAAATAGGACCTGCTACTCCAGCGCCGACAATTATGAAATCAAACCTAAAAGCATAAAATCCTTGATTAGTAAAAAAAAAAAAAGTTCGAAGAGCTAGGTAGGTAAATATAGGTTTAATGCAGGTTTAATATTAAATCAGTAAAGAGTAGGTTCGTGAAGGTCAAAGTGAAAGTTGGTCAAATATTGGTTCAATATAAGTTCAATGTGGATCAAAATAGCTTCAACATAGTCGAATATAAGTTCAATATAGGTTCAATAAAGGTTCAAAATAGCTCTCATGTAGGTCGAATGTAGATTTAAAGTAGGACAAATGTAGGTTCCATATAGGTTCAATTTCGGTTCAAAATAGTTCCAATATAACTTCGATAAAGGTCAAAGTAGGACTTATATAGGTCAAAGTTGGTTAAATATAGGTTGAATGTAAGTTCATTAAATGTTAAATACAGATTTTTTGTAGGACAAAGCAGGTTCAATGTAGATCAAAGTAGCTTCAACATAAGTCGAATATAAGTTCAATAATGGTCCAACAAAGTCCAAAAATAGATTTTACAAAGGTCCAATGTAGATTTAAAGTAAATCAAATGTAGGTTACACATAGGTCTAATATAAGTTCAATGTAGATTTAACTTAGGTTAAAAATTGTTTCAATATAAGTTCGATATAGCGTCAAATTAATAGGACTCATATAGGTCAAAGTTGATTTACATATAGGAGTATTGTAGGTTCAATATAGGTCAAATATAAATTTAATGTAGATCAAAGTAGGTTCAATACAGGTTGAATGTATGTAGGTTCAATAAAGTACAATATTGATCCAATATAGGTTAAATCTAGGTTCAATTCAGGTACAAAGTAGGTTCAATTTAGATTAAATGTAGGTTCAACGAAGGACCAACATTGATTCATTGTAGGTTTCATATAGGTCTATTACATGTTTAATGTGGAACAATTAAGGTGTAATATAGATTTAAGGTAATATAGATTTAATGAAAGGCAAAGTAGGTTCAATTGAAAATTTATTTTAGGTTTTAAATAGATTCAATGTATGTCTAAAAAAGGCTCAATGTAGGTCCTATATAGTTCTAAACAGGTCTAATGTTGGTTCAATATACGTTAAATATAGGTTCAATATAAATATAATAAAGGATTAATTTCAGGTTCAAAGCATGTTTATTTCAAGTCAAATGAAGGTTCAAGGAAAGACCGTAGGTTTACTGTAGGTTCAATATAAGTTCAATATAAGTCTATTACAGTTTTAATGTAGGTCAAAATAGGTTTAATATATAGGCCCAAGATAGTTTTAATGAGGGGGAAAGTAGGTTCAATGTAGGTTATATTTAGGTTTAATATAGGTTCACTTTAGGTTTAAAAAGGTTTAATTTAGGTCTAAGTTAGATTTAAAGAAGAACAAATATAGATCTAATATTTGTTTAATGTAAGTCATAATAGGTTCAATATTGTCTCAATATATGTACATTGAAGGTCAAAGTATGATCAATATAGATCAAAGCAGGTCAAATGTAGGTTCAAATCGGTTTAATGTAGGTCCTAAATAGGTCTTAAATAGGTTTAATATAGGTCTAATGTAAGTCTAATTAAATCTAATGTAAGATCAATATAAGTTAAATATAAAGGTTCAATTTAGGTCAAAAAAGGTTTAATTTCAATATAAGTATAATATAGGTTCAATTTAGGTCGAAGTTAGGTTTTAAGATGGAAAAATATAAGTCTAATATTTGTTTAATATAGGTCAAAATAGATTCAATATTGTTCCAATATAGGTTCAATAAAGGTCAAAGTATGATCAATATAGGTCGAAGCAGGTTCAAATTGGTTTAATGTAGGTCTTAAATAGATTCAAAATAGGTCTAATGTAGGTTTAATGTAGGTCTAATGTAGGTTTTAAGAAGAACAAGTATAGATCTAATATTTGTTTAATGTAGGACAAAATAGGTTCATTATATAATCCTAATATACGTTCAGTGAAGGTCAAAGTATGGCCAATATAGGTCGAAGTAGGTCCCATGCAGGTTCAAATGGGTTTACTGTAGGTTTTAAACAGGCCTTAATTAGGTCTTAAATAAGTTCAAAATAGGTCTAAAATATGTTCAAAAAGTTAAAATTTTCTTTTTGTAATTTTTTTTTCAATTTTATATTAAACGTTATAATTTTTTTTTTTTAAAACAAATTTCTCTTTTAATAAAATTTAAATTTGTTACCATTCATCTTCGGGTACTTGATCAGAACCAACGCGTTTACATGCCTCTGAAATATCACATCTTGACATAATTAATGATTGCACCAAGGTCATAAATGGAGTGATATGCTCGCAAGCTTCTTCCATGTATGCAGTGTCATTGAAATTGCACTGGCAACATCCTCCCTTTGCTGTTGAAAGTGTTTGCTGTAAAAATATAAAAAAAATTTCTCACAATTATAACGCTGTGTTTTTTTTCTCTTTGTCTCTATCTCTTTTTTTTTTTTGCTAAAAAACATAAAATGAAAATAACAAAAGAAAAAAAAAATTCACTCAAAACAAATTAATTATTGATAAACCGCAAAAAAATAAATTTACTTTTTATATTTTACAATAAAATATCAAACTATTAAAAATTATTATTTGACACAAGAATATAAAAAGATGATTGAGATATTTTTGCGGTCAAATTCACTTACAAAAATTTATCATTATAACTTTCACGAATAAAATTGTGCGGAAAATATGGGCGTACACAAATAATTCATTTGCGGAAGTATGACAATTTTAGAAAAATTGAAAATATGTCTCATTTTTTTTTTTTTTTTATTAAGAAAAATAATGTTTATTACTTACATAAATAAATGTTAAAAAAAAATTCTTTTTTAAAAATTAAACGGCCTGAAATACTTATTTAAAAATAGAAATAAATTTTTTTTAATAAAAATAGAAATAATTATTATAAAACAGGAAAGAATTTTTGTTTTGTATAAATGATATAACAATATAAGTATAAAGAATAGACTTACCAACATTAAATATAAAATGACGCAAGTGAGAAATAAAAGCACTTTCATTTTTCTCAAAGATGAAAGATCTAGATTGAAGACAATTTAATGTAATTAATTATTCTTTAATTTCTTCCGTGAAAAAAAAAATAATTACCTGTTTTTATGTGAAATAAACTTTAAATAGACACAATAACTTTTTTTAATTGCCTAAACTTGTGTACTATAAACAATGGTTTTATATTTCAAAACGTTACATCTCATTTATAATAATTAATGAACAAACTATTATTCTAATTGAAATAAACTGACTCATTTTTTAATGAAGCAATTAATGGAGAATATATAAATTAATGAACTTTAAATTCACTGTCAATATTTATAAATTGATAAATAAAATAAAAAAAAAAAAATTTTTTTTAATTTATAAAATTGTCTAAAAAAATTCTTTTTATTTTATTATTTTTATTATTATTTTTTATTTTAATTTAATTATTAAAAATTAACAAAAGTTAATTAATTATGAATTTAAATAACAAAAATACGTTTAAGAAATTAAATGAATAAATAGAATTTTTATTTACCTATAATATTGGAACTGTAGACTTAAATTATTATTAAGTATAAAAACTAATATTAATATTAATTATATTAATAATATTAATCACTAAAGATAAAATATATTCACTCTTTCTCTAAATATTTTTTAAATATTAAATCACATTTGAAATTTACATTTCACAATTTTTTTTTTTTTTTATTATTATTATTAAAACGTGTCTTTAGAAATATTTTTTCCAAAGAGTTATGCGCGTGTGTCAAACGACGCTCCTCAGTTTGATCATTTTGCTGAATGGACCTTTTTAAAATGAAGTTGGGCTATCGAACTAATTAGACACTCGTTGCGTGTGGGCAGGGCCGGAATATAACAAGACGGAGAATTTTTTTCCAGAAATGAGTTTTTAAAGAAAAAAAAAAATGACGTCAATAATTTTTCTCAGAATTTTGTTTTCTTTTGCTTTTTATTTTATGAAATTTTTTTAGTATTTGTATATAAAATCAAAATTTGGTGATTTTCAATTAAATTTACATACCTTGTAGATATGAAATTAAAAAAAAAAAAATTTAACATGTATTTAGTTAAGTATTTCTTTATAATAATATGTTTTATACATATATTTGATTAACATTAATATTTATTAATTTAGAATCAATGCTTTTCTGATGTAAATTCGTGAATTAATAACAGCTGTAACTATTTTAATTTTTCCCTGTTTATCCTGATTAATCACCACGATTTTCATAATTTTCGAACAATATTAAGTAAATTATACATAAATTTATTTATAATTCTCGGGAATTACAGATTTGTTTGTTTAATCATTGGGAAATTTTATTATTTATTAGTTTATTTAAACATTTTGTATGATTTTTATTTTTATTTAATTATTTTATTTCATTTATTAATTAATTATAATTACTTTAATTATTAATTAATTTTTTTTATCTTCTCTTTGTTTTTTTTTAACTTTTTTTTATTAATTGAAAAAAAAAAATTATTTGATTCAAATACTCGATTACTTGACTATTATCAAATAAATATTTACTTGAATCAAATAATTTTTATTTAAATCAAATAAATTTTTTTTCAGTGTTCTTTTTAAACTTATTTTTGTTTTTTTATTATTTTTAAAATATTTTTTTTTTTTCGTTTTATTATCAACTTTTCTAAATTTTATTGTAATTTAATTTTAACTTTATTGTTTATTAGATTTACGAAGCTGAAGTACGCAACGTTTATATAAACGATTTTTAATGAAATAATTTTTTAAAATGAAAAATTCTATAATTTTTTGCCTAAAAAATATTTTTTTATAATTTGTTAATTAATGAAAAGTACAAGAAATATTTTTTAGGCAAAAAATTATAGAATTTTTCATTTTAAAAAATTATTTCTTTAAAAATCGTTTATCATAAACGTTGCGTACTTTAGCTTCGTTAGATTTATAATTTATTTATTATTTTTTTTTATTTATTAAATTTAGAAGAAAATGTAAATGTTTTCATAAAAAAAAAAAAAAATTAACAAAAACGACGAATGTAAAGAAAATAATTTAGCAGAAGATTTAATTTAACAATTTAAAAAAAAATTACATATGCGGTACTTTTTGAAGAATATACTTAATTGATTCATTAAGGAAGTGACTTAAATATATTTGGAAAAAAATAAACATTCATTTTACTGTCGAGTAAAAAAAATAATAATGATTCGTTAATATTTAATTATACCAGAAGCAATATGTCAGATTTATGAGAAAATTAATTTACATAATTGCTTTCTAATATATAAAAAAAAATTAATTGAGAAATTTACAATCTCTTAATTATTAATCATGTCAATTCATCAATATTCAAAACCCATCCTTTCATTAAAATCATTTTTCACCAATATATATATATAACTTTCCCTTCTGACCTTGACTAGTTTTTTTTTTTTTTTTTTTTGCATATTTTTGTTCTTCACCTCATTTCGAGAATCTTTACTTAAAATGCTTTCATTATCGAAAATTGATAATTTATAAAATATATAATGAAGATCTGCCAGGAATTCCCGACTCTAATCAGAGAGAAAAAAAAATAAATGAGCCATAATATTAAAATTATTGGAAATTGAATTTCTTCTTTATCTTTGATTCAACTTTCTCTGATGATGATAATGATAAAAGTTCAAAAATTCTTCCAATAATCACGTATCATATCGGCTCCCTTCTCAGCAATCATGATAACAGGTGCATTTGTATTTCCGCTACATATTGTTGGCATAATAGACGCGTCTATTACTCTCAAACCAGATATACCGTAGACACGTAATTTTGAATCAACAACTGCCTCGGGATCATTTGATGGTCCCATTTTTGCCGTACCAACTGGATGATAAATTGTTAATGTATAATGTTGAGCGTGACATCGCCAATAGTCCTCCGATGGAAACTTGAATTTCGAACATTCCGGAATCAAGTTTCGATTGAGTCGCGAGTTCAACATTCTCATTGTCGGTGTTTCACTCAGTTTTTGAATAAATTTTGTTCCCTCGATCTATAAAAAAAAAAAAAAAAAAAAAATTTCATACATATTTCCACATTTGACCATTTGTTTTTAGAGAAAATAAACCAAAAAAAATGGAGAGAAAACTCAATTCTATATGCCACAATTTTCCTAAAAGTATCAAATTGAGACCAAAGGTTGCATAAAATCTTTGCAACGTTTTGATGCACATAAGTTATATCAAAAAGAGATCGTTTTGTGTATCATTTTTAGAAATGATACACGAAACGGTCTCATTTTTTGATGCAAAAAATTGAATCAATTTATATCAATCATGGCCGAATTGAATCGACTCAAAATTAAACGAATTTTTTTTCAGATATTTTGGTAATAGTACAATTGCGGAGACCATTTCACTATTTAATTTGAAAATGAAAATAACAGAAAATCAAAGACAATGTGCAATTCGATAATTAAAAAGTGACAGCTTATAAACATAACCTAAAATGCATGAGAAAAAATTTGTCGATAAAATCAATATAGCCGAGCTTTTTAGAAGGTAGATGGCAGCACTCATCTATTTTCTTTCTTTAAATTTTTTCTGAATCTTTTTTATAAAAAGCAAAACTGCCATCTACCTTCTAAAAAGCTCGGCTATATTGATTTTATCGACAAATTTTTTCTCATGCATTTTAGGTTATGTTTATAAGCTGTCACTTTTTAATTATCGAATTGCACATTGTCTTTGATTTTCTGTTATTTTCATTTTCAAATTAAATAGTGAAATGGTCTCCGCAATTGTACTATTACCAAAATATCTGAAAAAAATTCGTTTAATTTTGAGTCGATTCAATTCGGCCATGATTGATATAAATTGATTAAATTTTTTGCATCAAAAAATGAGACCGTTTCGTGTATCATTTCTAAAAATTATACACAAAACGATCTCTTTTTGATATAACTTATGTGCATCAAAACGTTGCAATAGAAAAAGATACAACCAAGTTTACTGTGTGGGGAATTCTACATGAGATTTTAATTCAAAAAAAAGTTTTTTTGACTTGAACATTTTTTTTAAATTTTTATGTAAAATAAAAAAACAGGTATTTTTTAATTTTTTTATTTGATAAATATTATGGAAGTTATGTTTTTTTTTTTTTTAATTTTAACGATTTCAGAAGCCGAATACTTTTGAAACCTGTTTTCCTCTGCGTCATTCAAACAGATAAAAAATAATATTCTATATGAAATTTGTTCGATTTTTTTTGATATTTTAATGTAGGTTTAAAAATTGTAACTTCAACGGAAATGAATTAAAAAAAAAATTTTCAAACATCAATCACTTCGGTTTTTAGGAAAAATCATTTTTCAGCCTGAATTACAATTTTTTAGATGCTTTCGTTGTAGTTACATTATTTCTTACTACATATTTCAAATATTCAAGAAAAATCGAACAAATTCATTTTAACAATTTCATTTTTATGAAATCAACAATCAAAATAAACGTATTAATTTTTATTAAACACGGAATTTTTTTTATTTAAACGAATTTTAATTTAAATGGATTTTTATTTAATAGAATTTCAATTAGCCAAATTATTAAATTAGATAAGACCGAATTTTTTGGGGAATTGTGTTCATAGAGAGGAATATTGCCCACAAGAATTTAACATTATGCCCGATTCTGGCACAAGAGAAAAAAATTTTTTTAATATTTTTTAAAAGAAAAACATCATTTTTCTCAAAAAATACACTAGATATAAAAAAATGTCTCAGATAAAAGTTGTTCCTTGTTAAAAGACCTAAAAGACCTTTTCATATTTAAAAATAATAATAGTGACATTACAAAAAAAAATTATATAAATATACCTTATTTTGCTTTTTAAAAAATAATAACTGATTTTTTAATTTCTTAATATTAATACTCGCTATTATTTTACTGAAAACAAAAAATTAACAATTTTAACCTCTGTGACAGTAAAGATTATTAATTATTATTTGCATATTGCTATGAAAGAAGACAAAAAAGAACTATTTCAAACAGATTTATGAAACTATTTTAAATGATATTTAAAAAGCAATAAATGTGAGCTTTTAATCCATGTTTTGCAAATATTGTTGAACAAACACAAGATGGACAAAAATGACAACAGACATTTTTTTATATCTAATGTATTTTTTGAGAAAAATGATGTTTTTCTTTTAAAAAATATAAAAAAAATTTTTTTCTCTTGTGCCAGAATCGGGCACAAGTTAAATTCTTGTAGGCAATATTCCTCCCTATGAACACAATTCCCAAAAAAATTTTAAGCAAAAAAAAAGGTGGGGTTTTTTAGTAAAATGGCCGCCATTTTGTTATTTTTATATATTTTTTAAATTTTCCAATGGATTTCGAAAGAAGAATAAACGTTCCTTATTTCAGACACAAAAGGAAAAAGTGAATTATCTTAATTACTCAAAAAGTTACAACACTTTTAAGATTTTTTCTCTTCATTTTAAAAAAAACGAAGTTCTCGACTTATATATATTTAAACTCCTTATAACTTAAAGAAAAAAATTTTTTCAGCAAAATAAAAAAATACGTGTCATCTAAAATTCATTGAAAAACAACATTTTGAAGGTGAAAATTATTTTCAGCTCCGACCAAGTCAAGCCTGTCTGATTTGAAATGAATTCGGTCATAATTTCTTTTTTACTGAATTTTCATTTTTTTTTTTTAATTTTCAGCCGTTCGAAAACATTGGACAGAAACATTGTAGCATAAATATTAAAATTAACTAATCAAAAATTTACTAAAAAAAATTGTGACTGGTCAATTTTAAAATCTGCGCCAAAATATTTAGTCGGATATTTGGATAGATAAATAAAAAATTCAGCTAAATGGAAATAAAAATTAAGAATATAAGTTCAACGTCATAGAACTTTTTCCAAATGAAAATTTTGCATAACAATAATTTGGCTAAATGGAAATTCTATTAATTAAAATTTCTTCTAAATAAAAATTGAAAATTCGGCTAAATAAAAGTTTTGTTAAATTAAAATTCAGTGAAATAAAAATTCGTTTAACCAGCAATTTTGTTGAATAAAAATTTTGCTAAATGACAATCTGTTCAAATGAAAATTGTGTTTAATGAAAATTCGGCTAAATAAAAATTCTTTTAAATTTGAAATTGAACATTCGGCTAAATAAAAGTTATGTTAAATTAAAATATTTTTGTAAATTAAAATTTCTCTACATTTAAATTCTGTTTAATGAAAATTCGGCATTGTAGAATTTTAATAAAATAAAAATTCTATTAAATGAAAATTTGGCTTAATAAAAGTTCTGTTATATATGAAATTCCTTTAAGATAAAATTCGTTCTAATAAAGTTCTATTTTAATAAAATTTAGCTTAATAAAAATCTTCTTTAATGGAAATTCAATTAAACAAAAATTTGGATAATTAGAAATTTTATTTATACAAAAATGTTGGCTTATTAAATTACAATTCAGTGAAATAAAAATTTGATTAAGCAGAAATTTTGTTCAATTGAAAATTATGTTTAATAATAATTCGGATAAATAAAAATTCTGTGAAATAAGAATTCTTTTAAATTAAAATTGAAAATTCAGCTAAATAAAAGTAGTGTTAAATAAAAATTTTTATGTAAATTAAAATTTCTCTTAATTCAAAATCTATTTGATGAAAATTCGTCTAAATATATTCCCCTAGAGAGAGAAAAGATTCGAATAGAATTTCCAAAAAGAAATTTCAATATTTTTCTAATTTAAAAAAAAAATTTTTTTTAACAAAAACCTATTTTTTTCTTTCATTTAAGTAAAGTTTTATTTAAAAAAGAAAATTACTCACCAAAACAATGAGGTCATGTGGATCTGCAAAATAATTTGGATTTATTAATGGCTGATCTTTTGGATTGTTACTTTTTAATTCAATATAACCACGACTCTTTGGTCTCAATAATAATGGCACAACTGTATAACTGTCTTGATATAAAATATTCTCATAAATATTTGCATACAATTCATCATTTAGACCACATCCTCTTTTTCCAAAAAAACCACCATCAGTATTATCAGCAGCTGAAGCAAAAAATAATTGTAAATCTGGATAATCTTCAGCTTCATTCGCATACCTAAAATAAAAGCGACAATATTAAGGGAAAAATTTATTAAATTTTTTTTTTTTCATTTATAATTTTTGATAACTTTTGAAAAAATATAAAAATAAATTTTATTTATTATTAAATAAAATTATTTTTATATTAAAATTGTGTATCATTAATATCAAATAGATTTTGAAAAATGATTTGCAAAAAAAGTATTTTTAGCATTTTTCCTGTTAACCGAGACCAATTTACGTCAATATGCTTTATATAAATTATATTTTCCCTCAAAAAAATTTTGAAATAATTTTTTTATTTTTTTTATTCTATATTATTTGAAGCAGATGTTACACGTGCGGAATCAATTTCTGTAATATATTAATAATTTACAAATATTTTATTGCATTTATACAATTTCCAGAAGATTAAATAAATATTTATTTCTTTGTTGCTTTTAGTGCCTTCCGTGTGTTAATAACTTTCTCCGACGCGTAAAAACAGTTCTCGCAAAACAGTATATGACTGAATTATATACATACATACATACATACATATACAAATTGAAATGTGTAAGTCTAAAGTTTCAAAATTGATAATTAATTCTTTTTAGTCTAATTTTTTTTTTAAAGAAAATAAAATAAACATGATATTTTTTTCTCCAAAATTCTATTATAATATAAATTTTTAATTATTTTACAATTTAGAGAAATGTATTAGAAATTTTGAATTTAAAAAAAAAAATTTACAAAATTTAGGAACCCATAAATTTTCCACAAAAATTGTTAGTTAAAATTTTCATTTTAAAGAATTTTATTGAATATAATTATTCTTTTTAACGAATTTTCATTTTTCGAATTAACATTTGACAGAATTTCTTTTTAAACGAATTTTTACCTGATTTTTTAGATACCGAATTTTTGTTTAAACAGAATTTTTATTTTACATAATTTCATTTTATCCAACTTTTTATTGAAAAAAAATTCTAATTTAGCCGAATATTAATTTAGCAAAATTCTCATTCAACAGATGAATTTTAAGTGATTCGAAGTTTTAAATAAGAGAATTTTTAAATCATCGAATTTTCATTTGTCCGAATTTTTAAATGCTAATACGAAAAATATAAATTCGTCTAAAAAAAATAATTATATCAAATAAAATTCTGTAAAATGAAAATTTGGATTATTGATTTTTATAAGAAATTCATGCACCATCGAAATTTATATCTTGCTTGCAATAATATTTTTTTTTTTTTTTGCAATTCTAAATATTTGAATTTATCAATTAATTTTATTACATTGTTTCCTCATAGATTTTTTTGGTATATTTTGATATTTAACCTCATAAAAGTAAAAAAAAAATGATAAATTTAAAAAAATATTCTATAGATACTAATATTTAATATATTTAATACATTGAAAAATTGGAATTTTTTGAAAAACGACTTTTATTACACAATTTTAGCTTTTAATTAAAAAATTTTCCAAAGCAGTATTGTTTTCCCGATTTGAAATATGCCGCTCTTATGAAGCGTAGTTTAGAAATAGTCTGATAGAGGGCTTCTCACAATCGAGTTACGAAATTTGCGGTATAAAATGAACTATAATTGTTCTTGAGCGTCACCCTATCAAAAATTAACTACTGGGGCAGTACAGCGCCAGTACTACCAGTAGTGGTGCGATATTGGTATCAGTAACGCGCCAGTAGTGAACTCTGGTAATTTTTGGTAGGGCAATATCAAACGAAATTTAGTAAAATCAAACTTCATGTTCGATTCAAGTAAATATTAAAATTTTTTAGCCAAATTATTTTATTAACAGAATTTTAATTAAAAATTTATTTTTTTTATTCCAAAATTTAAAGATATCGTCAAATATCTTTTAATGGCACACAATTAAATTTTTTTTAAATTAACAACAAATTTTTTATTACACCCAAATTCGACAGATCCAATTGTACAATTTTGGAAAAAAATTATTTTGAGTTAAAATTTGTTGTTAAATAATAATTAATAAACATTTTGTATTTTTTCTTAAAATTTAGTGAACAATATTGTAATTTTTCTGCAATTTTTATAAACAATGTCTCATTTTTCACTTTGAAAGATTCTCTACAATTCTGATTTTGTGTTTTTGTTAAATAATGGTTTGTTTAAAACACAGAAAATTAAAAGGCATTAAAATAAGCGTTGCAGTTTATTTTGATGCCTTTTAATTTTCTGTGAAAATATAAAAAATAAAAATTTTATTTGTTTATTAACTTTTGAAAAAAAAAATATTTTTAATAAAATTCAACAAACAGAATTGTTGAAAAGCTTTCAAAGAGCAAAATGAGCTATTGTTTGTAATAATTGGATAAAAATTAAAATTGTTCACAAACTTTAAAAAAAAAAAATACAAAATGTTTATTAATTATTATTTAACAACAAATTTTAACTTAAAATAATTTTTTTCCAAAATTGTACAATTTGATCTGTCGAATTTAGGTGTAATAAATTTTAAATATATTTTCAGTTCTTTTAAAAACTACTTTTTAGTTTGAGGTTATGTTAATGGGTTGAAGCTCCTTAAGGTATTTTTTTATATTGTAATTTTATTTACAGGTATTTATTTTGCAGAATAAAATTTGACTTTTTAGGTTAAAATTAAAAATTTATAATTACTACACTGAAAAAAGGGTTTGGTATTGACAACCAAACGTTTGGTTGGTAATTAAGCAACCAATTTTTTTTTTATTGAATCAACAAAATTTTGGTTGTCCCAATCAAAATTTTGATTGCTTAAATACCAACCAAACGTTTGGTTGTCAATACCAAATCCTTTTTTTAGTGTAATGTTTGAAGCTAATTTATTCTTTTGTATCGAATTAGTTGTATCAAAAAACTTAGAAAATTACTAAGAATATGTCAAACTAAATATATATATTAAAATATTCAAAAGCTACAGATTCAATTAATTTGAGCTTGAAAAAATGCTCGGGTCTAGTGGACCCATAGTGCCAGTTAAGGGTTAAATATATAATATACTAACTTTGTTTTAATAAACGCCATGGCTTCACATTGTGGTACCATATAAAGTGGTCCAGATTGATTAAAAACAAATTGCCTCACTGAATTAAATGTTAATGATCTTGGCAAAACAAATCCAAATTCTTCAAAATTATTGGCAACTGGCGAATCAGTCAAATAAGTAATGCCACCAATGGCAACGTGATCCTGTAAATTTCTACCTACACCTGGCAAATTTTGAATCAATGGAATTTTCATTTTACTCAAATGTTCCTTGGGACCAATACCCGACAACATTAATAATTGTGGTGTTTGTATTGAGCCAGCTGAGACAATTATTTCAAGACGTGCATAAACTGTGATTTTTAACCATTTTCGTTCAAATTTTACGCCATATGCTCGTTTTGTCGTGGGTTCGATTAAAATTTTTTCAACTAACGACTGCGTACTAATGTGAAGATTCTTTCGTTTTGATGCTGGTCTCAGAAAAGCCTTGGCTGAACTGCAACGCAAACCATTTCTGAAAATAATTATATAGTATATTATAATAATTTATAATAATAATAAATTTTATTTATTTTTTTATTTTTCTAGTCAAGATTAGGGGAAAAAATTTTAGTGAAAAATATCTAGCGCGTACCATAGGGACCTGACAAATTCCTAACATAAAAATTGTATTTAATACCACCTTTCTTAAAGCAGACACCACAAAATAGAATATAATATCCCCCACAGCACCGAAACTTTCCTAAAGATTTATTTGAAATTTTCGGAATATTTAATTGCAATGTTTAGTGAAAATTGTGTAAAAATACTTGAATAAATGTTCAGGAAAGTTTCACACTAAACATTTATTTAATCGGGACATTTAAATCTTTACACAAATTTTCACTAAACTTTGCAATTAAATATTCCGAACATTTCAAATAAATCTTTAGGAAAGTTTCGGTGCTGTGGAGGTGGATTACAGAAATAATCGAAAATAATTTTACCTCAATGTTCCATATGAATATGTGAATCCAGTTTGTTTTTCCCCATTAACATCCAATATTTCATAATTCATTTCTTGTCCAGCTCTTAAAAAATAATTTGCAATTGGAGATTTATAATTAAATCGTTCAATTGTCAAATATCCACCTGTTTGATGATACGGCGATTTAATGAGTTCGGGAATTTTAATATCCTCAGATTTTTTAAAATATGGCAAAACATTCTCATAATTCCAATTGGGATTACCAAAATTTTGCCAATTATCATAATCACGTCTATTACCTCGCACATAGAGCATTGCATTTAAAACACTACTACCACCGAGAACTTTGCCCCTTGGCCAATTACATGATTTTCCATTCATACTTAAACAATAGGTGGACGATGGTACTGTTTTAAATTGCCAATCGAGTTTTGATAATTGTAGTGTTGGAAAAATTAATGGCACATCTGAAAGTATTGTCTCATCACCACCAGCCTCCAATAGTAAAACTGTCCAATTTTGTTCGGCTTCCGTTAGACGATTTGCCAACACTGAACCAGCTGATCCACCGCCAATTATTATAAAATCATACACCAATTGCATTTTATTTAACGGTATCGATTGAACACGATTTTCAATGTCAATTATATCAGGACGATAATTGATTATCATAAATTTCAAAAACATCAAAAATGTCACTTCCGGTAATATCGATAAACCAATGCGGAAAACAGAGAAAGCAGTAATTACCATTTTTTTTTTTTTTTTTTTTTTTGATAGTATATTTTTTATTAAAGAAATTTTTAAATAATTTAATTGAATATTTTTCTTCTTAATTAAAATCAATTAATATTCTTTTTAATACAATTTTTTTAAAATTAATTTCTATTTTCATTTTTATTTAATGAATTATTTTTTTGCCACTTAATTGGTTCTTAATTTTTGTATTATAGAAAAAAAAAAATTTAATAAGGCACTTGATTTTATTTTGCAATGTTAAATAAATAGAGAAAAATTTGAATATTGATTTAGAAATATTGTCGATGAGAAAATTCATGTGTACGCACTGAATCTTGACTGAAGTGAATATTATTTATTTTTTCAATTTGACCTGCGTATTGCTTATTATTATTTATTATTAAGCTGAATTCTTGTATGAACACTTTTACAGAAATTTGATGTCGATCATGTATGATGAAAGTAAATGTTTTTTTAAAACAATTTAAATTTTGCAAGATAATATATTTTTTTTGCTTTTTTACAAAAGAAATAATAGTTTATATTATTATTTATGGAAATATTTATTAAACATTTCAAATTTTGTAAGATAATTTATATATGGACGATTTCACGTGAAATTTAAGTCGATATCTTAAATTCAGTTAAAATATAAATTTTTTCCTTTTTTTCAAATTTTTTGTTAACATTATTTAAAAGTTGAAGGAAAACTGAAAGTTTTCTTTTACTTGGCAAAAATTTGCTAAATTTAAAACTTTATGAGCCAAAAATTTTGAACGTTCAAATGAACGAAATTTTTTTTTGCAACTTCTTTAAGTACGAATTTTATTACAAAATATTGTTTAAAATATCAAAAATGAAGTTATTAATTTAATAATTGTTTAATTTACTGTCTTATTTTACATTGCAATTATAATTTTTAATAATTTATGGATTGCAAAAAAAAATATTTTGTTCATTTGAACGTTCGGAACTTTTGGCTCATAAAACTTTCATAGTTTTTGAAAAAAAAAAATGTTTGAAAATTCCGAATTCAAAAATTCGGGCATTTTTTTCACGTGGAATTTTTTAAAACAAAAAATCCTCCAAATTGACCAAAAATATTTTTATTAGAAAATAATCAAACGACAATGTTTTTTTTTTCCTTTTTATAGGCGCTTAATTTTTTTTTTTTTATAAATTTCAAGTGGCATAATACTTTATTTGGTCTAAAATTAACATAATATTGTCATATGGCCTAATTTTTTTATTTAACCTAATTCTTATTTATTCTAAAATTAATATATTTGTCATAATTCTTTGTTTATAAAATAAATGTGAAAGAACGAATTTTTTTTTTCATTGTTAAACATTTATAATATTTCCTATTTACATATATATTTTCATAAAAATAAAAAATATTTACAAATTAGAAAATTTTAAAATTAATCACCGTTAATTTATATACAAAAATAGAGTCTACTATTAATATTTCTGAGAAATAAAAATCTAATCATCTATTCACATTTGCGCTGACACGTTATAAATTACAAACATTCTATTGATATAAAAGTAATTGTAATATTTAGTTTCACTGATTGCGCAATAAATAATAAAAATATCAGAAAACATTCTTTCTTTTCTTAATTATTAGCTATAATAGGCTAAGAGAAATTTTTTTTTTTACAGCATGAATAAATTAACTCTTCTAATTTGAATCAGTAAATTATTCAAAAAGGGAAATTATTTTACCAATAAAATTTAACTAATTAAAATTATCATCAACTCAAATTACTACTTTCAAATTTAGAGATTTTCATCGCGAAAATTTAAAACAATTATTATTTTTCTCTTGAAGAAATATAAATTTTCAAAATTCTTGATAAAATAATTTTTGTCCCTTTAACCTCGATTTGTTCTCTTTTGTAGCCAATATTGTTTAATAATATCCGAGCCTTTTTCACCCACCATAATAACCGGAGCATTTGTATTGCCACTAATTTGATTTGGCATAATCGAAGCATCAATAACCCTTAATCCCGTCACTCCATAAACTTTAAGTTGTGGATCAACAACAGCTTCCGTATCCCAATATGGACCCATTTTACATGTGCCCACAGGATGATAAATTGTTGCCGAATAATGTCTTATCATACACTCCCAATATGGATCTGTATACAATTGTATATGCGAACATCCTGGAAATGGTGCCGGATTTAATTCACTTCCATATTTTCTAAACGATGCCGTTCTACTCAATGCCAATGCAATTTTAACACCCTCAACAAGTGTTGCTAAATCTTCTGGTTCTTTAAAATAATTTGGATAAATCATTGGATGATCATAAGGATTTTTACTTCTCAATTTAATAAATCCCTTACTTTTTGGTCGCAACAACATTGGAATAACACTCCATGCATCTTTATTATTAATTTTTCCAAAAACAGCGTCATAAAATTTTCTCGTTAAACCATGAACCTTACGTATTTGTTTACCACCATCGGAATTTGTTGAACCCGATATAAAATGCAATTCAATATCGGGAAAATCATCAGTTACATTTGCATATTTTGTATTAACAAACGCTAAACCTTCAACGCCACCCAATACTGTTAGAGGGCCAGTGCCAAATATTGCATACTGTAAAACTGATTGTGCATTGTGTAATCTATTTTCAACAACTGATACTTCTTGATTCACCATAAATGTCAAACCACCAAGACCCACATGATCCTGTAAATTGTGTCCAACCCGAAGATTTTGAATAACAGGAATACCCAATTGTGTAAGATCTTCCTCGGGTCCAATTCCCGATAGCATTAATAATTGTGGTGAATTAATTGCACCACCCGAAAGAATTACTTCTTTTTTTGCTCTTATTCGATAGATTTTCTCCTCGCGAACAAATTCCACACCATAGGCACGTTTACTTGTTGGATCAATGAGAATTTTAGTCACATGTGAATTCATAGCAATATGTAAATTTTTACGAAGACGTGCTGGTCGCAAAAATGCTTTAGCTGTTGAACAACGACTTCCTCTTCTTATTGTACCTTGTGCTATCATAAAACCCGTTTGTTTCTCACCATTAATATCACGATTATCATAGCCCATATCGCGACCAGCTTCAACAAATGCTGCCGCCAATGGTGTATGCCATGGTGCTTCTTGAACAGTTAAATAACCTCCCGTTGAATGATATGGCGTTTGTGCTAAATATGGATTTAAATTGTCTTCGGATTTTTTAAAATAATAGAGAGCATCTTTTGAACCCCAACCTGGATTACCTTGTTCCTCCCATAAATCGTAATCTTTTTTATTGCCACGTAAATAGAGCATATAATTGAGAACACTACTTCCGCCAATGACTTTTCCACGTGGCCAATTGCAACGACTATTTTCCATTGCTGAAAAATAATAATGTCTTTAAAAGATAATTAAAATTAATCTGTTTTTTAATTATTTTTTTTTCCATAATTTCGCCGCTTTATTCACACTATATGAATATAGGGATATTTTTCAAGATTTTTGTATCCTTCTACTATGTAATATCAAAGCTAAATGCCTCACATATTTTTCTTCATGAATTTTGGGGGTTGCACAGTAGGGCAAAATAAAAGAAAAAAAAAAACGGGGCTCAAAATAGCCTACAGCATACAAATCTTAACACTAGAAAGCACATCTAGGGTAAAAAAACTACCCCAGAAAAAATTCAGTATTTTTTTTGCAGATTTTGTGGTTTTTGTAATTTTTTTATCCATATTTTTGATCCTATCAAAAAACAAAAAAACGCTATCTTCTTACTTATAAAAAAAGAAAAAAAAATTAGGGTAAATGCACTAATTACGGCGCGATACGAGTCAAAATACCTTTGAAATATAAAATTCGATATTTCTATTGTATAAACTCAATTGAAGACTTATTAAACTAAAAGCTTATGTAATTTAGATATTAAAAAAAAAATTTAACTTTATAAAAATTGATTATTTAAATAAATATGAGAAATTAAAACTAATACCGTAATTTTCGATTACGGCGCGTTTGTATCAGTTTCGGTGTATCAATTACAGTGACCAAAATTACGTGTATTTTGAAGATACTTTGCCCGCCGAAATTGGAGCCAATGGAAATATTAAAAATGTTTCAATTACGGCGAGGGAAAAAATTTGATCACAAATAATTAAATTAATAATTGTTTGAATGTGCATCTTTATTAGTAATTGTATCAAAAAAAGATAAAAATAATTTTTTTAAATCACTTTGCAACAGTTATATTAAATATAATAGTAATAATAGTTATTTTTTATGAACGCGCCGTAATTGATGCATTCGCCGTAGTTGGTACACTTACCCTATTTATAATAAAGTTATTTTGCGTTAAATATGAACATTCTAGCAACAAAACAATTTTGGGGTTGTTTTCTACCCCCAGATGTGCTTCTACGTATGAGCCAGCTACACTGAGAAAAAAAAATTTAGTATTTGCTACAAAATTGTTTGGTTAGGCAATTTTGGTTCTTGTAACGAAATTTTGGTTAGCTGAAACAAAGTCGTAGAGTTATCTCAACCAAACATTTGGTTAGGCCAAAAAAATTATTTGGTTCAACATTTTTAAATTCCAACCAAAATTTGATTACGACAACAAAATAATTTGGTTAACACAACAAAATAGTTTGGTCTAAAAAACCAAATGGTCGTTTATTGTTCTAACCAAAATTTCGTTACGATAAGCAAATAATTTGATTTACTCTCAGCTCATAGCTTAAGAGAACAGTTAGTTTAAATCTCTCACAAGGATGGGTAGTCCAGTGGTCGGAGCTCCCGATCTTCAGTTTTAAAACAGAGGTTCGATCCCATGAGATTTTTCAAATTCCACAAATATTTCAATTGTATAAATATAAATTCAATGTTAAATTGATAATAAATGAAGAATGAAATAAATAAAATAAAAAAAAATAAATAAGGTAGAATAAAATTTTTAATTTTACAAAAAAAAATTGTTTGTTTGATGAACCAAACATTTTTGTTGACCTAACAAAAAAAATTTGGTTGAGCTAACCAAACCTTTTTTTATGCCAACAAAAAACACTCAACTAAATTTTTTGGTTGACCGCAAACAAATAGTTTGGTTGCTTAAATACCAACAAAATTTTTTTGTTGGCCTAACCAAATTTTAGTTGCTCTGACTAAATATTTTTCTCAGTGTATGTTGTACAGTCTAGGGTTAATGAATTTTAGAAATTTCTTTTTTTAAAAGTTTCCATGGCAACCATTACCATAGCAACTGTTTTCATGGCAACACAGTAAACTTGGTTGTATCTTTTTCTATTGCAACGTTTTGATGCACATAAGTTATATCAAAAAGAGATCGTTTTGTGTATCATTTTTAGAAATGATACACGAAACGGTCTCATTTTTTGATGCAAAAAATTTAATCAATTTATATCAATCATGGCCGAATTGAATCGACTCAAAATTAAACGAATTTTTTTCAGATATTTTGGTAATAGTACAATTGCGGAGACCATTTCACTATTTAATTTGAAAATGAAAATAACAGAAAATCAAAGACAATGTGCAATTCGATAATTAAAAAGTGACAGCTTATAAACATAACCTAAAATGCATGAGAAAAAATTTGTCGATAAAATCAATATAGCCGAGCTTTTAAGAAGGTAGATGGCAGCACTCATCTATTTTTTTTTCTTTAAATTTTTTCTGAATCGTTTTTATAAAAAGCAAAACTGCCATCTACCTTCTAAAAAGCTCGGCCAAGAAGACTAGAACCAGGAGGGGAAACTCCGTTGTAAAGATGCGGCGTGACAAACAAGCCACTAGAAGGCGTGGCTTATCGTTCGTGCATTGCTATTCAGACGAATTTCAGTGTTCTGCGCATACTTTCTTGACACTGATATTTGAAATGTAGCAGACGCTGTTTTTAAGTTTCTGTTTATGCGGTTATGGCAAATGGTTTACCCATAAATTTTTTGATGCGATTATATTTAATTAATTATATGTAACTAGCAAAATTAAACGCGCGCAAGCGCGCCAAATTGAGTGTTTAATTGTTTGTTATAAAGAAATTAAAGATTAATATTATCAATAATAATTTAATTTATTAGAATATTATTACATATTAAATGATAATAATGAAAATTATATGTTTACAAGCCTCGGATTATACGACTTTTTCTGATTTTTTTCAAAAATAAGACTTTTATCGACTTCTTTTAATAAAATGCGACATTTTTTTTAACATTTGAAAAAAATGTAAATAAAATACATTTTTCTAGTATAAAATGTAGATCTTCATCATATCTTCTTCAATTAAATTATTTAACAAATTTTAAACTAAAATGATTCTTCACTACATTAATTAATTTTAATAATTTTAATGAAATACATCACAAATTCAATTATATCAAAATTATTTTTCAATTAAAATTTTTATGAAATTTAACAATTGTTTATAATTTTTAAAAAAAAATATCACAATAAAATTTAATTATTTTTTAAAAATTTCAATTCAAAATAAACTAAAATTCAATTATTACCCAAAATTTTAATTCAAAATCAATTAAAAATCCAATAATTATACAAAATTTTCAATTTAAAATTTAATTATTTACCAAGTTTTCAATTTAAAATGAAATAAAATTCAATTATTTTCTAAAATTTCTATTCAAAATTAATTAACCAAATTTTCAATCAAAAATGAACTTAAATTAAATTATTATCCAAAATTTCAATTAAAATTTAATTATTTACCAAGTTTTCAATTTAAAATGAAATAAAGTTCAATTATTTTCTAAAATTTCTATTCAAAATTAATTATCCAAATTTTCAATCAAAAATGAACTTCAATTAAATTATTATCCAAAATTTCAATTAAAATTCAATTATTTCCCAAAAATTTTCAATTTAAAATCAAATATAATTTCATTATTCTCAAAAATTTTAATTACAAAACACTTAAAGTTTCAATTAATTTCAAAAATCTCAATTTTAAATCTTTGAAAATTCAATTAAATTTAAAAAATGTTTTCCAAAAATTGTTTGATAAATTATTTTCAGTTCTGGAAAATTTAATAATTGTTTGAAAATTAACAATATCTTTGAAATTTAATTATTTCTAAAAATTTCAATTTTAACCCTTCGAAAAGGATTATTATTAAAAAAAAAAAAAAAATTTTATTTAAAAATCTGTAAAATATTTTTGTTAAAATAAAAAACAAATCCACTTTTTTTTGGAATATAAATCGACTAAAACGACTTTTTTGTGTCTTTAAGTTGATTCGAGGCCTGTGTTTTTATAATTAATATTTAATAGGTATTCGTTGGCACCTGGTACCTTAAAAATTAATTTTTAAAAATAAATGTTTTTCAAATTACTATCTTATACGAAATTTCCTGGCGCATCTTTTTTCTCATCATACATTTTTTGTACAATTTTTGAATCAATATACAACTTTAAAAAGAATTTCGTTGGTAAACGTTGTGTACTTCAGCTTCGTGAATTGAATTTTCGAATTTGGAATTTTAAAGAAACTTATTCCGAAATTTGGAAACACAATTATACAACTTTGGCAAAAATAAGAAAAAGAATTGTCAAAATTTGACACGTCATAAGATTACTATTCAAAAAAACACGTGAAATCAGAAAAGGCCAACTTCAAGTTAGGACAGAAGGACAGACCAAGCATTTTATTATTATATAATTTACCTAACCAAGCAGACGCAAACATTTGCAGCTGCTTGCTACGAAATTTCCCCTTCAAAACCTACATGGATAGTATGCGCAGAATTCGTAAATTCGTTCTATTAGCAGTGCACGAACTTAAACGACACGCCCACCGTGTGCACGCTTACCATGCCACTACTCACTGCGGTAAAGCGTGGAAGTTTCACCTCCTGGTTCTAGTCTTCTTGAGCTCGGCTATATTGATTTTATCGACAAATTTTTTCTCATGCATTTTAGGTTATGTTTATAAGCTGTCACTTTTTAATTATCGAATTGCACATTGTCTTTGATTTTCTGTTATTTTCATTTTCAAATTAAATAGTGAAATGGTCTCCGCAATTATACTATTACCAAAATATCTGAAAAAAAATTCGTTTAATTTTGAGTCGATTCAATTCGGCCATGATTGATATAAATTGATTAAATTTTTTGCATCAAAAAATGAGACCGTTTCGTGTATTATTTCTAAAAATGATACACAAAACGATCTCTTTTTGATATAACTTATGTGCATCAAAACGTTGCAAACCCACATAGCACGGCTTTTTGCTGTGAGGTTACTGTGAGGATATCTGTAGGGTTTGTAAGGTTACCGTGTAAGCCTACAGTAAACTTGAGGTTAACTTAAAACTTCCGCCTTACAGTAAGCTTACAGAGTAAAGCTAAGGTAAGCTTACACAGTAAGGTCGTGGTAAGTTTACATGGTAAGGATGTGGTAAGCTTACACGGTAAGGTTGCTGTAAGCTTCTTTTTAGATTACTGTAAGGTTGATGTAAGGTTGCTGTAAGGTTACTGTAAACATAGAATGTTGTTAATAAATAAATTTTATTAATATTTATACGCAGTAGTTTTCTATGGTACATACGGCTGCGCAGTAAATTTTATTTAACAAACCCTATTGGGGTTCATGAAGTACTTTACCAAATATATAATTTTAAAAAAAAAAAATTTATGATATAATATATATTATAATGTAATTATTTTTAATATATTTTCATATTACTTTATGTTCACAGTAACCTTACAGCAACCTTACAGTAACCTTACGGAAAGCTTACAACAACCTTACCGTGTAAGCTTACCACATCCTTACCATGTAAACTTACCACGACCTTACTGTGTAAGCTTACCCTAGCTTTACTGTGTAAGCTTACTGTAAGGCGGAAGTTTTAAGATTACCTCAAGTTTACTGCAGGCTTACACGGTAACCTTACAAACCCTACAGATATCCTTATAGTAACCTCACAGCAAGAAGTTGTGCTATGTGGGAAGATTTGATGCAATTTTTGGTCTCAATTTGATACTTTTAGGAAAACTGTGAACTGTTTCCATAGCAACCGTTACCATAACAACCGTTTCTGTGACAACTGTTTTTTCCCTAGCAACCTTATTTTGCATTTGTTTACATAATTTGTTTTTTAAACGTTTGCAAATAAAATAAAAGTATAATTTTTGTGTTTCAAAATAATTCATAAATGATTTTAATAAAATTAAATAATTTAAGGAAAAATAAACATTTTCAGTTCGTATATACTAACTTTTTTTGCATTTCTTTACTTAAATTGTTTATATAGCAGTTTTTGAGAGTAAAAAAAGGACTAAAAAAAGGCGAACTAGAAAAAAATTTGAATAATAAAAATAAAAAATACCCAAACAAGCATCTCCTTGTGGTTCAGTTTTATACATCCAATCAAGTTGACTGAGCTGTAAATATCCTGCGAGTAAGGGAACATCTGAAATTTCTGTTTCATCACCACCGGCTTCCAATAGTAAAACGTTCCAATTTTCCACTTCGGACAGACGACTTGCCACTACAGCGCCTTGAATATACAAGGATTTTTTTATAAATATTATTTTAATTTTACATATTGTTCATTCCACATAAGATTTTCATTAAAAAAAAAATTTTTTTAGCATTTTTTTGTTCAAAATCTTTATGAAAAATAAGAAAATATTTTTTTTTATTTGATAAAAAGGTGAAAAAAAAATTAAAAAATTATGAAAGTTATGGTTTTTTTTTTAATTTAACGTCATCAGAGTACTTTTGAAATGCTTTTTTCTCTATCCTACTATAAAAGTAAAAAAAAAATATAATAATAATAATATATGAAATTTGTTCGATTTTTTGTTAATATTTTAAATATGTAGTAAAAAAAATAACGCAAGTACTACGGAAGTACTTAGAATATTGAAATTAAGTCTAAAAAGTGACTTTTTTTGAAACAGATGTGATTGATTTAAGGAAAAGAAAATGTTTAATGAAAATTTCACGTGGAATGTCCCAGTTGGGGCATTATTCCTAGACTGACCCAGTTAAAAAATTGAAATTATATTTAATTTTCTCAAACCCAGTAGTCTCTTAACCTAGAAACTGGCCTAATTTTGTGGTTAATATTTTCGCTTTGAACATTGACAAACCATAAGTCTATAGAGACCACTAGACTTGAGGTTAAAACATAACCTCAAAATTAGGGTCAAAATACTAAAAAACCAAGAAGACGCTGGTTTTGAGATTAAATTCAGCAAACATAATCTCAAAATTACATCAATTTCTGAGTCAAAAGAGCGAATATAACGTCAAGAATTTAAGTTTTGATATCAAAAGGCCGTTGGGTTTGAGGGGTTTGAGGTTAAAATCAATAAACATAACCTCAAAATTATGTCATAACTGAGAGCTAAAATACGAATATAACCTCAAAAATTCAAAATTAGTAACACCGCATCTATATTTAATGAAACAATCATTTTAATCTAATTATGCATGGAGAAAAATCTTTATCTACAACAGCGATATGTTTCTCTAGAATAGCGAAAACAAAATTGCTGTTTTAGTAAAACATATCGCTGTTCCATTGAAACTTATTGCTGTTACAGGTAAAGATTTTTTTCCGTGTGATATTTAAAAAAATTAATTGAAAAATTAAAATTCTTATATTAATAAATTGTATAAAATTACCTGCTGAACCGGAACCGACGACAATAAAATCGTACGAGGGTAACAATAATTCTGAGGGAATGTCAATTGGTCGCGATTCAGGATCCATAATTTCGTATTGAAAATAGACAATTGCAGCTGCTAATGTGGGAAAAAACCATGATAAACTTCCAGTAGCTGAACTAACGACACCCGAGAATACGTCTTCAATGCCCATGATGATGTCTTCTTATCAAATATTAATTTTAGTAATTTTTTGTTGACTCTCAACTGAAGATGAAATATCACTTTATCCTAAAATACAATTGTCACATTAGTAAATAAATCAAATGAAACAATAAAATAATAATTAAAAAAAAATAAATATAAAATTATAACTAATAATAATAATTATAATAACAACAATTTTTTAACATTCTTTAATATTTAATGAATAATAATAAAATACTGCCATACAAAGAAAAAACATACGTAAGTGACACGTATTTACATGTTAGGTACAATAAAAGAAAAATTTTGTTTGAACCAAATATACAAATTTTTTTTTTTTTTGTATTTACCCAATTTTTTTAGTTATTTCAAACACAAAATTTGTTTTATTCAAATAAATATTTATTTGATCTAAATAAACGTCAAGTATATTTTAATAAATTTTTCAAATGAAGAAAGAATTTTATTGAATCAAATAAACTTTTGATTGATTCCAAACAAAAGTTTGGTTATAATTGTATCAATTTATTTGATTGTTTCAAACAAATTTCTTTCTGAATATATTTTTTTCCATTATAGGACAGAATAACGACACAACAAATACAAAAAAACAGATGTATCTATAAATAATTATATTTTTTGTCATGTAATTATTATAAAAAAGAATATTAATTTAAAATTAAATTATAAAAAAATTATTTTCTTTTGCGATAAATTAATTATTAAATTGTGATTTTTAATTAAAACAAAAAAAAAGAAAAAAAACTCACATGAGAGAGAGAGAGAAAATTATTTTGAAATAGACTTTTCAATGAAGTTGACTCTTCGACTACTTTATTTTAAATGATTTTTATGGTTTGTCATTCTCTTTAAAAAGAAATAAGGGAGAGGGGCAAGAAAGTATTGAAAGCTTTCTTTGACATTGTGTATTACAGACTTCTTTTCTTTCTCCTCGAAAAATAATTGGCAGTCAACGTAAAATTCTATAGCGAAAATCTTATCAGTTATTTATCTAGAAATTAACAAATTACACCCAGAGAAATGTTTTATTTGAAACAAATATAATATATTTGAGTTAAATAAACGTATATATTTGTCTCAAAGCCTATACAAGCTTATTTATTTGGCGTAAAGAAAATTTTTTATTTAAATCAAATAAAAATTTATTTGTCTGTGAGACAAATATATATCATTTCTCTAGATGTAAAAATGAGTAAATTAATTAATTTCATTTAATTAACAATATATTAAAAAAACTTTTTTTACTAAAAAACATGCTTTTGATAATACGAATTTTAAAAATATAGTTATATACACTCAGAGAAATGGCATATTTTTCTCCGAGCCTACTAACTCTTTTATTTGTTGCAAATATATTTTATTTCATTTAAATAAAAAATTTATTTGAGCCAAAGAAATATTTATTTATGACAAATAAAATTTTTAATTACGCCAAATAAATAATTTAGTAAGCTCTCAGACAAATATATTTTTTTGGGTAGGATTTTGAAATTTTGAAAAAAGGATTATATTGAAAGGGTTAAAAAATGGTCATAGATCCTTTAAAGAAAAAAAAAGGTAGCGATATCTTGATTCTGTCACGTAAGTAACTTGATTGCAATCTTATAACCTTAGGATGCTCCACGTGGTCAGGAAACCGTAATGCATACGAGACATGAATAGAAATTGAAATGTGAAACTTTCTGCGATTAGGTAATTTTATGTTACCATTGTCGTCTCTCGTGTCTAAAACGCAATACTTTGTTATATATATATGTTGGGCATTTATGCATAATTAGGTATTCAATAAAATATATTATATAGAAAAAAAAATTGATACATCAAAAAAATATGATTTATAATGGGGCGCATAATAATTATTCCATGAAAATCATTAGTTAAAATTTTCATTTTAAAGAAATTTTATTAGATATAATTTTTTTTTTAGACGAATTTTTATTTTTCTAATTAACATTTGTCAGAATTTCATTTTTAAAAGAATTTTTAATTAACATAATTTTTAGACATAGAATTTTTATTGTAGTAGAATTTTTAAAAAGGCCGAATTTTAATTTGTCCGAAATTGCAAATGACCGAACAGACAATCGATTTTGGCGCGATGTTTAAAATTCACCAATCAAATGATTGTCAAGAAAATCGTGATTTGGTGGATTTTAAAAAGAGCGCCGAAATCGATTGTTTGTTCGGCCATTTGCAATTTCGGACAAATAAAAATTCGGCCTTTTTAAGAATTCTACCAAATAAAAATTTTGTGCCTAAAAATTAGGTTAAGGCGACGAAGTAAGAATAAGGAGTCTTCACTTTGAAGGAAAAATGTCCCCAACTATGGTACAAGCATTCCGGAAAATTAGAATAGTCGGAGGTGGCGTTCGTAACGGGAAAAACCTTAAACTATTGATTTCCCTAATGAAAGTCGTCTGCTATTTTTGAAAAGTATATTATAAAATCACATTATAAAATCACATAATTTCATATTTTTGAAAAATTAAGTAATTGAATAAATAGTAAATGTTAAATATCAAATAATATTTGTATTTAAAAAGTCATTTACAAATTAATTAATTTTATTAATTTTAATGAAGTTCTTTAAAAATTCACTAACTTTAAACTTTTTTTTAATACACATTCTTTAACAATCATCTATTGTTTTTTTTTGTTTTTACAGTAATCTGTATATCTATTTAATTGTAAAAAAGTTTCCATTAAAAATCTATTAAAATTGAATTAATTCAATCTAAGAATCTTTCGAATATATGACTTTTCCGAAATTCAATTATTTTTAAAATTATTAAAATTCTTTATAAAAGTAAATGTAATAAAAATGTTTTTAATCATATTTAAATAAAATTCAATAATTTAAAACATTTTAAAAACTCTTCAAAATTGTCATAAATCACACCAGTTTACAGTGAAATTGTCAATCGTACGAAACATTTTTTTTTATTAATAGGTGTTTTTTAAGTAAGAAAAACATATTTTTGGATATTTTTTTACCTTCGTGCAATTTTGCTAAATCTAAAAAAACACATTTTCGAGGTGTGACGTTACTTAAATTCACCTGTAGGAAAATTAGTTTGTCCAAAAAAAATAATATACCATTGGAAAGGTATTATTAAACTACCTTTCGAACTTTCGTCGTACTGTAAAAACAATAATTGATTGTTAAAGAATGTGTATTAAAAAGAAGTTTAAAGTTAGTGAATTTTTAAAGAACTTCATTAAAATTAATAAAATTAATTAATTTGTAAATGACTTTTTAAATACAAATAATATTTTATATTTAACATTTACTATTTATTCAATTACTTAATTTTTTAAAAATATGGAATTATATGATTTTATAATATACTTTTCAAAAATAACAGACGACTTTCATTAGGGAAATCAATAGTTTAAGGTTTTTCCCGTTACGAACGCCACCTCCGACTATTCTAATTTTCCGGAATGCTTATACCAGATTTGGGGACATTTTTCCTTCAAAGTGAAGACTCCTTATTCTTACTTCGTGGTTAAGGGATTCCGGCAAAAATTCCTAACCTAAAAGTGTTTTCCCGCGCGAGATATTACTCGTAAATAACTTGAAATATTTTGTTCGAATTTGTCGGATTAATTAGATGAGAGCGAGTTGATTAAGAATTATCTCCATTTTTACAAGTAATTTTGTAAAAAAAGTATTGAAAATCGTGGTTATAAAAGTTGGATTTTTGACAGAAGTTGGGACAGACATTGAATCTATGTGTCAGTGGCCCAGAAGGTGGCGCCAATTCTTGCTAGTAGCCGGTGCTGAACTAACTTACCCCAAATTACTCCACTTTAAATGCACAGTTTTCCTAAAAGTATCAAATTGAGACCAAAAATTGCATCAAATCTTTGCAACGTTTTGATGCACATAAGTTATATCAATAAGAGATTGTTTTGTGTATCATATTAAAAATGATACACGAAACGGTCTCATTTTTTGATGCAAAAAATTTAATCAATTTATATCAATCATGGCCGAATTGAATCGACTCAAAATTAAACGAATTTTTTTCAGATATTTTGGTAATAGTACAATTGCGGAGACCATTTCACTATTTAATTTGAAAATGAAAATAACAGAAAATCAAAGACAATGTGCAATTCGATAATTAAAAAGTGACAGCTTATAAACATAACCTGAAATGCATGAGAAAAAATTTGTCGATAAAATCAATATAGCCGAGCTTTTTAGAAGGTAGATGGCAGTTTTGCTTTTTATAAAAACGATTCAGAAAAAATTTAAAGAAAAAAAAATAGATGAGTGCTGCCATCTACCTTCTAAAAAGCTCGGCTATATAGATTTTATCGACAAATTTTTTCTCATGCATTTTAGGTTATGTTTATAAGCTGTCACTTTTTAATTATCGAATTGCACATTGTCTTTGATTTTCTGTTATTTTCATTTTCAAATTAAATAGTGAAATGGTCTCCGCAATTGTACTATTACCAAAATATCTGAAAAAAATTCGTTTAATTTTGAGTCGATTCAATTCGGCCATGATTGATATAAATTGATTAAATTTTTTGTATCAAAAAATGAGACCATTTCGTATATTATCATTTCTAAAAATGATACACAAAACGATCTCTTTTTGATATAACTTATGTGCATCAAAACGTTGCAATAGAAAAAGATACAACCAAGTTTACTGTGTGTTTAATAAAATAATTTCTTCACAATATTATTGCAAAAATGGAGAAGAGCCCCACTCAGTGACCCTTCCTCTATTATTCCTCCAAATGCCAACTCGAAATACTTTATCCTTTAAAGATGAGAAGTAATTTACGAAACCCCTTTTTTGCCAATGTTTAAACATTTTTTTTCAATAATTATTTATCAATATTATGCAAAATTCCGAGAAGACCCCTTGGCAGGGTACCTTCCTCTATTATTTCCAAAAAATTACAACCTAAAATATTCTATCTTTTTCAAATGAGAAGAAATCTACAAAACCATTATATTTTCTCCCGGATGGCCTTAATTAAAAATTCTTTAAAATAGAAATTCTGACAAATGTTAAAATTCAAAAAATGAAAATTCGTCTAAAAAAATTAATTTTATCTAATAAAATTTTATTTGTCATAAATAAATTTATCTTTGGCTGCGAAATAAATTTTTTATTTAAATGAAATAAAATATATTTACAACAAATAAATATGAGTTAGTAGGTTCGTAGACAAATATATCATTTCTTTGAGTGTATTTTTTTTATACAAAAGGTATGAGAAAATAATGAAAGTTATTTGTCAAAGTATTTTGAGCTTTCAGAAAATTAACGATATTGAGAGAATTTAAAAGTGAGAGCCAATAAGTGAAAATATAGCTATACGTGATTCTTTACACGGAAAAAAATATTTCTTGTAACTTCTCCTGTGAAGTTGGTTGAAGTAAACTTGACATTTTTTTAAAATTTTGTTTATTATAGGAATAAAATATAAATATATAAATATATAAATAAAATATATTACATATATATATATGTAGAAATATAAATAAATTATGTAAATGTATTTATATAATTTGATAAGAAAAGAAAGGGACCATAAAAGCAAACGAATTATAGGTTATGTTTACAATAGTTTGACCTTGATTAAAAGTCTTTTTTTTACACCCCAGAAAAATGATATATTTGTCTCAGAGCCTAATAAATATTTAATTGATTAAAATAAATTTCTATTTGATTTAAATAAATTTTTATTTAATTTAACTAAATTTTTATTTGATTTAAATAAAAAAAATTTATTTATGCCAAATAAATGGGCTAATGAACTTTAAGACAAATATACGTTTATTTAACTCAAATATATTATATTTGATTGAAATAAAATATTTCTCTGTGTGTATTTATGTAAAATCAGAATCAATTTTTATTAAATATTACTATTATCAAATAAATATTTAGGTGTATTAAATAATTATTATTTGAGATGGTATTTGTTTCAAATATAAAAATTATTGGTTCAAATACAATTTATTTAATTCAAATAAAAAATTAATTGATTCAAGTAAATATTTATTTGTTAATAGTCAAGTAATATTGAGTGTTTGAATCAAATAAATTTTTTTTCAGTGTATAATGAAAAGTTAAAGGAAAATTGAGCACACGCACTTTTTAAGAAAGTGTATATAGATTCTATAGAATCTTCAAGTTGTATAGATTTATCATTTCCAACGTTTCTCATGTATGGTGAAAAGAATATAGCATCGTTTTACGATAATAATAATTTTTAAATACCTAAATGATAATTTTTGCAAATTTTTGAAACAAAAGCGAAAACATTTTTTTTCAATTTAAAATTTTTTAAATTTGTATGTGTAAACAAAAACTTTCTCTAGGAACAGAAAGATACATATAGATATATATATATATATGCTTAGAATATATTAAAATTTTAAATAAACATATATATATATATATATATATATATACTTCACAGAAATGAATTAGTATGTAAGGGGGGCAACTTTTCATATTGTGCATACATAAAACATGCAATAAATTCATAATTTTTATTTTCAATTTTTTTTTTTTTTTGTTTAATATTCTATGTCTCCGTATTCGATATGGTAAATTTTATTCTTCAAATTTCTATTCTTTAATAATAGGTAGTATATGAAACTTTTAGAATAATAATCACATTTACACATCAAAAGAATTTTTTTTTATTTTACGTTTATTTGAGACAAATAAAATTTATTTAAATTAAATAAACATATATTTAAATGCAATAAAAATATATATTTATTTCAGAATCTTATAAATTTTTTAGTTGAAACAAAAAGTTATAAAATTCTGAGATAAATATAATTTTATTTGATTTAAATAAACAATTATTTGGCACTGAGAACTAATTTATTGACTTATTATAATTTTTTTTTATTAAAAAATGTTTGAAAGGAACGAAAATTATTATTTTAAATTATTAATTTATTATGCAAAAAAAAAAATGCCGAAAAACTGCCATTTTTATTTATTATAATTATTATTATATGTAATATAAAACTAAAATTGTATTAATACACTCAGAGAAATGTTTTGTTTGAACCAAATATAATATATTTGAGTTAAATAAACGTATGTTTATCTCACTGCCTACTAGCCCATTTATTTGGCGTAAATAAATTTTTTTATTTAAATCAAATAAAAATTTATTTAAATTAAATAAAAATTTATTTAAAACAAATAAATATTTATTTGGCTGTGAGACAAATATACCATTTTTCTGGTTGTAGAATTTTATCAAGAAAATATTTCGAGTGTTAGTGATTCAAAAATACCTTTTGGTAGAAAACATCCAGTGAGACACAATAATTTAAATGACACAGGTTTTTTTTTTTCTGCACTTTAAAAAGTTTTTAGTAACACTTGACAATTGATTTTTGTTAAAAGCACAAATAAAGGGAATTTATCAGTGAAATAAAAAAATGACATAATGACCATGACCTCAGTGTGTTTTAAGAGAGACACAAGTATACGATTCAATAAGGACTCATTGAGATTGTCAGACCTTGAAACCATGTGGCCAGATACAAGTTCAGAACGCCGTGGACAAACTACATAACGGTCATCGACATCTCCCACCTTATTTCCTTATTCTACCCATCTCCCTTTCTTCTATTGCATACCTTTTTATCAGTATCATTCACTCTTTTCTATGAAAAATCTTATTTTCATTCTATTCCTGACGTTATAAATATATCCTCGTTACTTTTTTTTTTTTTCATCATCTTATTCAATTGTACATTTTTATGCCTATTTTCTTTCAAATAATAAGAAAACTTTTTGAGAAACTTCTTTTATTTATTTTTTCATTAAAAAATAATATATTTTTAATTTTGATTTCAAAAAAAGAAATTTTTATATTTTTTAATTAAAAAAAAAATTTCATTATATAGTGACACGCTCCACGAGAAAAGGGACCTTATATGGTAAAAAAAAATATTTTAGGTTATGTAAATACATAAAAAAAAAAAAAATGAAAACATTTTTGTTTGACTCTTCATTACATTTGAAAAATTCAATGAAAACTATTTTTGTTTTTATTAAATTTAATTAGACACTTTTTATGTGAATTCCCAATAAGTTCAAGTACCAACCATGTAACACAAAACTATAAATAATGGCGCTAAATTTAAAAATTGTTAAAATCAACTGACTATATTTAATGAAAAATGAAATTATTTAATACAAACAAAATTAACAGACAACTTCACGTAGTTCAAGTGGATCACTAAAAATCGAATACCAGGTTATGTTAGATTATACTGTATTTTAATTTTAATTTAATTTTTTTATTAATAATAATTAATTATATTTACTATATTATAATTATTTTTTACTATAGGGGGGGCCACGTCCCCCTGCGCACGCCAACCCCCATTATTTTCCACTTTAATGATTAATTTTTTAAAGACTTGCAAGTATTAAAATTATTAAAATTTTATCTAAATTTTGAGGTTATGTTCATTTCTTGGTTAGGGGAATTTGAAGTTATGTTTGTCGGACATAGCCTCAAACTCAACGGTCCCTTAACTTATGTACATGAATTTTGAGGTTTTTTTGTGATCTAAGCCCAAGTAGCACGTAATAATACAGTAATATTACTGCAATATTAACCGGTAACATTACTGTAATATTACAGTGATATTAAGGCATTACTACTGTAATATTACAATAATATTAGAAGAATATTATTTCACGAAAAAAAATGTACCCAACCGGAGAATCGAACTCCGTATTCAAGGCACACAAGTCCAGAATTTTACCAACAAGCCACACTGACTTACAATATATTTATGATTGTGATGCCTTATGAATAACTGAAATCAATCTGTAATATTACTGTAACATTACCGTAATATTACAGTAATATTACTAGGTAATATCACCATCAGGCGGACATTTTAATATCACTGTAATATTCCCGTAATATTACCGGATAATGTAACTGTAATATTACAGTAATATTACGTGCTAGTTGGGAGGCCAGGAATCCTAGAAACCTATGCCCCAGAATTTTGAGGTTATGTTTGATCTATGACCTTGAATCCTGGAGACCTAGGACCTTGAATTTTGAGGTTATGTTCGCTTTAATTCTCTTTAACCTATGTTTTTGATATATGACCTTGATTTTAAAGGTTATGTTCGTTTTAATCTACATTTTTTTGACATATAACCTTGATTTTTAAGGTTATGTTTGTTTTAACCTATATGTTTTTGACATGGTTAGTACACACCTAGAGGCAATCGCGAAATCTTTTTATAATATAGAGACATTATATATTATAATATATTAATTATATAGTAATTAATAATATTATTAATAAATAAATTTTAATTTATTATGTTGGCAACAACTGTAACTGTTACTGTTTGTACTATTCACAATAAGCGGTTTTGGTTTTTACCTATTATACACAATGGTTCATAACATAACCTCAAATTCGTAACTAAAGCTGTGTTTTACTTATATCTGATAAATATAACGATTTTTTCATATCGAATTTACATTATAGAATAAAAAATAAAATACAGTGTATTGGTTATAAATTTGAGGTTATGTTATTAAACACTTTATTGAAAAAAAAAACCTAACAATGGCAGAAACTTTTATTTTTCGTGCACCTTTATAGAAAATAACCTGGGGGTCTTATTTGAGTTTAATCCATCACTGCATAAATATGTAAGAATATTTTAATATTAATCCATATTAATATATTTGCGTGTAACGGTTCACAAATTCAAATTCTTCAACAAATTGCAAGTGTCATTAACCCCCCTTATATATTGCTATGTTCTTATATTTAAAAAAAATCAATGTCTTTGCATTAATTTAAATATATAATTAATTTATTATTTTTCGATATCTGACATAAGAGACAAATTCAATGAAAATTTTGTGAATCAATTTTTTTTTATTTAAACAAAAATAAATTTCAGTTTTTTTTTAAATTAAAAAAATTAATTTTTTTATATAAAACAAAAAGAATTCGAAAAGAAAAAGAATTAATTTTTTCTATTTAAAATCAAAAAAAATAAGGTTTTTTTTTATATACAACACATCTTACACGAGTGAATAAGAAATTAGAAATTAAAAGTTATTTCCAATTAAATATAAATTAAGTGTCGTAAATTGGATTTTTCTTGCGATAGCATAATATAGAAAGAATTTTGTCCAATCAAGGAAATATTTCTGACTAATTTAATTTTCTACCATGGTCAATCGATTCACGTAATCCGATACAGAAGAGGCCAGGTGAATATTAGGTAAGAGAGTGGTTATCAAACTTCATCATTGACATTCAGAATTATTTTTAAAGTTGAAGGATCCGCGAGCTGTTCATTAAAAAATTATCGGAATTTTTTTTTTTTTTTTAGTTAAACCTGATCAGATGCTTTTATTTTTTAAATAAACTTATTTTAGAATTATAAAAGAATTACAAGAATATTAAATATTATAATAATAATAATATTATTATTATAATATTATAACTATAACTATATAAATTATATTTATGTTATATAATTTAATTGCAATATATATAAATATTATATATTATAAAATATCGAAGATCTGGAATGGTATCTGACGTCATGTCATCAGTTGTCGACTTACGGTATGTAAAGAGTAGATTGGTCGACCTACTTATGATTATGCTAAGAAATGACGTCTTTGTGAAAATGTTCAAAAAAATTTGTCAAAAAGTTTTAGTAAAAAGGTATTCATATTATGAATAGAAAAAAAAACAATCACAAGCTTATATAAATTGAGAATACAAAGATTATAATGAAAATAATATTTTTCTTGACAAATTTTATAAAAATCTACTTTTCCTAAAAAAATTTCTTTGAATTTTTGTACATGTGTAATTTTTTATGTAATTTGTTAAAATTAAATTAAATTAAATGAAAATACATATATATGTGACGCTCTACGAGAAAAGGGACCTCATGGTAAAAAAAATTTAGATTATGTCTTGTGAATATACAAAAAGAATTAACTCTTAATACAAAATATTTGTCATTAAGTCTTCATTAAATTCGAAAAATTCAATAAATCTATTTTTGGTTTTACCTAATTAATTAGAAATTTTCTATCGAGGTCAAACTATCACTAAACATAACCTCAAATTTCTTTACCATAAGGTCCCTTTTCTCGTAGAGCGTCACATATGTGATGCACTCTAAAGAAAGGGGTCTAACAAGCAAAAAAAAATTATAGGTAATGTTTCTGATAGTTTGGAGAGATAATAAAACCTTTTTTGTTTAATTCTTTATTACATTCCAAATATTTAATAAAAACTATTTTTTATTTTATATAATTAAAAAGAAATTTTTAAACGTAAGGTAAAAATAACGCAAACATAACCTATAATTTGTTTACTTCTTAAGTCCCTAACTTGAATAATTTAAATATTTAGTAAAAAAGAACGTAACTACAACAAATGCATCTAAAAGAAATTGAAATTAAGATTGCGACTACTTTTCTCAAAACCAAAATGATTGATTTTTGAAATTTTTTTTTAAATACAATTCCGTTGTAGGTATATGTTATTTTTGCTTCCTCGTAGGAAGTTTTATAGTGATGACAATTTTCCAACTTCCTAAAATCAATTTTAAAATAGAACAAATTTCATGTATATTATTTTTTTATCTGTTAGTAATGACAGAAAAAAAAACGCATTTCAAAAATACTCGGCTTTTGAAGGCGTTAAATTAAAAAAAAATCATAATTTCCCTAATTTTTATCAAATGAAATAAAAAAAAATACGTATTTTCTTATTTATCATAAGAATTTCGAAAATAAATGTTTCAATTTAAACAAAATGTTGCATGAAAATCTCACGTGGAATGCCGCGTATATATTTTTAAAAATAATTTTATGAAAATTATATCACCCAGAGAAAAGATTTATTTGTTTTAAATAAACCAATTTCTTTGACTTGTTTTCTTTCATTGAAAATAAAATTTTCTTTGCAACAAAAAAAAAAAAAAGCTTCTTACACGGAAAAAAAGAAAAAGTAATTTTTACTACTTTCATAGTAAAACGGGAACTGTCCGAAGTTTCTGCGCATCTCTAGCAAATTTTACTCCAAAAATAGTAAAATTTACTCCAGAAATAGTAAAATTTACTACAAAAATAGTAATTTTTACTATTTTTGTAGTAAAATTTGCTGGAGATGCACAGAAACTTTGGACAGTTCCCGTTTTACTATATATGAAAGTAGTAAAAATTACTTTTTCTTTTTTTCAGTGTAGTTTCAAAGAAAATTTCTTTGAATGAAAGAAATTTGTCCATTAAATCAGTGAAATTCTACCATTGATATAGGATCAAAGAAACATTTAATTGAATTAAATAAAAAATTTATTTGAAACGAAAATAATTTTGTTCTTAAATCAAAGATAATTTGTTATTGAAATAAATACAATTTCTTTACGTATCAAAGAAAAATTTTGTCAGAGAAATTAATTTTTTTGAATTAAAGAAATATTTTTTTCTTTGTGTATATTTAAAGAAAAAATCAAATACAATTTTTCATTCTGACAGCTTTAAAAGAAATTTTTTTTCGCAACTTCGAATATATAACAATTTTTCAAGGGTGATTTTTAAAATGCGTCCCTGGCACAATTTCTTCAATGCTTCCACTGAAACCGTAAGTTTACCGGGAGTTTGACCCACTCTTCCAGAGAGTACCTGTTGATCGTCACGTATAAAGTATTCTTCAAACTTTGATTTTTTTATCAATTTTTTTTTGTATTTTTTATTCATTTTTTTTTTTTTTTGTTGCTTTTATTACTTTTTTTGTTGTTTTTATTAATTATTTTATATGTTTAGAAATATATTTTTTTTATTTATTTATTTTTATTATTTTTATTGCTTCCTCGTGGAGGAAGCTATGTAATCCTTTCGTTTATAAACTTTTTAAAAATGGTGAAAACAAATTTTCCTCTATATAGAAACATGTTATATGAGATCCTGATCAATTGTCCGGATGTATGTATGTGTGTGTGTGGATCCCTTTTTTGTTTAGAAGATATCTTTAACAGGTTTTAATGGATTTGGATAAAATTTGGTAGGCTTATTTAACACATTAATCTCTCAAAAATGACGAGAGGATTTTTAAAAATACCCAAAAATAGTATATTATGTGGCAAGCACGTAAAGTAGTACTTTTTAGGTGAGGATGTAATTTTCAGTACGAGCTGTCGTTAGTGCGACGTAGGTGAGACGAAGGCGAGCTGTAGGTGAGATGAAGACGAGCCGAAGGCGAGTCGAGTCGAGCCGAAAGCGAGCCGAGTCGAACCGAAGTCGCACAGACAGCGAGTATTGAAATCATCCGAACCTAAAAATTACTACGTGCGAGCCACATACGCTATTTTTTTCGCCATTGTTATGAAAAAGTGAAACAATTTTAAAGAAAAAAAATAATAAAAATTGATAAATAAAATAAAAGCAAAAAAAAAAATTATGCAAAAATTAACAACTGCCTAAAAAAGACTTTATAGGGCAGTTTACTGCCTAAAAAAGACTTTATACGGCAGTTTGCTGCCTAAAAAAGTCTTTTTTAGGCAGTTGGCCCAAACTGCCTTAAAAAGTGCTACTTTATCTGCCCAAAACAGGCACAAAAAAGACACTTTTTCATGTCAATGGCGAAAAAAAAAAATTTTATCGTCTTTTTTCCAAAAATTTTTTTTTAATTGAAAAAATTTTTAAATCGAAAAATTTAAGGTAATATATAATATAATCGTCTTCTTTATGTCAAGATGAATCGATTGATATATATAAAGTATAGATTTGATTGAAATTTAAAGAATTAAAGAAAGTTAAAAAATCAAAAATTCTCATTTTAGCTAAAAAATGATGTGTTTATTTAAATTCATGTTTATATATGAAATAATTTTATTCCCTGCATTGAAACGAATTGGTTGGTATATATAAAGTATAGATTTGATTTAAAATTTGAGAATTAATAAAAATTGAAAAATCGAAAATTCATATTTTAGCTAAAAAATTTTGTGTTTTTTTAAAATTCAAGTTGATGAATAAAATAATTGTATTCCTTGCATTAAAACGAATCGATTCGTATATATAAAGTTTATGTTACACTCAAAATTAATTAAAATTTTCTTTATTTTTCAAAAAATTTAATTAATTTAAAACATTTTTGACTCGAAATTTTTTAAATCAATCAATTGAATTGGACAAATTCATTGCTTCCTTCACGAGGAAGCGAATTTTTTGCCTCACACAATGAGGAAGCATAATGTTTATGAAATAAACATAAAGGACCCCCTCCTTGTGTATTATAATAATTAATATAATAATAAATATAATATAATATAACAAGGAGGGGGTCCTTTATGTTTATTTCATAAACATTATGCTTCCTCATTGTGTGAAGCAAAAAATTCGCTTCCTCGTGAAGGAAGCAATTAATTTGTCCAATTCAATTGATTGATTTAAAAAATTTCGAGTTAAAAATGTTTTCAATTAATTAAATTTTTTGAAAAATAAAGAAAATTTTAATTAATTTTGAGTGTAACATAAACTTTATATATACGAATCGATTCGTTTTAATGCAAGGAATACAATTATTTTATTCATCAACTTGTATTTAAAAAAAACACAAAATTTATTAGCTAAAATATGAATTTTCGATTTTTCAATTTTTATTAATTCTCAAATTTTAAATCAAATCTATACTTTATATATACCAACCAATTCGTTTCAATGCAGGGAATAAAATTATTCATATATAAACATGAATTTAAATAAACACATCATTTTTTAGCTAAAATGAGAATTTTTGATTTTTTTACTTTCTTTAATTCTTTAAATTTCAATCAAATCTATACTTTATATATATCAATCGATTCATCTTGACATAAAGAAGACGATTATATTATATATTACCTTAAATTTTTCGATTTAAAAATTTTTTCAATTAAAAAAAAATTTTTGGAAAAAAGACGATAAAATTTTTTTTTGGGGTATTTTTAAAAATCCTTTCGTCATTTTTGAGAGATTAATGTGTTAAATAAGCCTACCAATTTTATCCAAATCCATTAAAACCTGTTAAAGATATCGTGTTCACAAAAACGATCCACACACACATACACACACACACACACACACATACATACATCCGGACAATTGATCAGGATCTCATATAACATGTTTCTATATAGAGGAAAATTTGTTTTCACCATTTTTAAAAATTTTATAAACGAAAGGACTACATAGCTTCCTCCACGAGGAAGCAATATAATATAAATATAATAATTAAATCTTCTTTATCTTTTTTTGGATACTTTAAAACACAATTTTTAATGTGACATACACCCCACAGTTTTCCTAAAAGTATCAAATTGAGACCAAAAATTGCATCAAATCTTTGCAACGTTTTGATGCACATAAGTTATATAAAAAAAAAAAACTCAAAATTAAACGAATTTTTTTCAGATATTTTGGTAATAGTACAATTGCGGAGACCATTTCACTATTTAATTTGAAAATGAAAATAACAGAAAATCAAAGACAATGTGCAATTCGATAATTAAAAAGTGACAGCTTATAAACATAACCTAAAATGCATGAGAAAAAATTTGTCGATAAAATCAATATAGCCGAGCTTTTTAGAAGGTAGATGGCAGTTTTGCTTTTTATAAAAACGATTCAGAAAAAATTTAAAGAAAAGAAAATAGATGAGTGCTGCCATCTACCTTCTAAAAAGCTCGGCTATATAGATTTTATCGACAAATTTTTTCTCATGCATTTTAGGTTATGTTTATAAGCTGTCACTTTTTAATTATCGAATTGCACATTGTCTTTGATTTTCTGTTATTTTCATTTTGAAATTAAATAGTGAAATGGTCTCCGCAATTGTACTATTACCAAAATATCTGAAAAAAATTCGTTTAATTTTGAGTCGATTCAATTCGGCCATGATTGATATAAATTGATTAAATTTTTTGCATCAAAAAATGAGACCGTTTCGTGTATCATTTCTAATATATGATACACAAAACGATCTCTTTTTGATATAACTTATGTGCATCAAAACGTTGCAATAGAAAAAGATACAACCAAGTTTACTGTGGCCAGAAAAATGGTATATTTATCTCACAGCCTAATAAATATTTATTTGATTTAAGGAGTAAATTTTCAAAATCTGAGATAAATCCATTTTTCAAAAAAATAGAGATAAACATAAATTTAATATTTTAAGGACCTCACAAATCTTCCTGTCGCTGTTAAATTTAAGAAAAAAAATTTGTTAACAACGAATTTTCAATTCAAAAACTTTTGGACATAACCAAGATGAGTTATAATTTTTTATGTTTTTTATTAGAAAAAATTACCAATACCTGTAAATCATTAAATTATGATAAAGTTTAATTAAAAACAGAACGTCTTGAATATAAAAACATTGTTATAGAATTTAACTATTACAAATTATATATTTTAAAAGTAACTGCAGTGGTTATGTGAGAAAAGTCATTTGTTTCAATTTCTCGAAATAAGAAAATATCAGGTTTTAAAAAATTTGCTCCTCATTTAAATAACTTTTTATTTGATTTAAATAAAAAAATGTATTTACGCTAAATAAATGGGCTAGTAGGCTGTGAGACAAATATATACGTATTTATTTAACTCAAATATATTATATTTGGTTTAAATAAAACATTTCTGTGGGTGTAGATCTTATATTCTTTAATATTATATTTATATATATAGTTAAACGGAAGTTATAAATAAGGTTAATAGAATAGAGAAAAAAGAAAAGCAAATATATATATATATATATATATATATGTGAGAGAAATAGAAAAAAAAATTGATCCACAATCTTGATGATTACAGGAGGATGTTGCGGTTCAACGAAAAAGCGAACGATCGTTGGGGGCTACGCCTTCACCTGGTGGTTTGTCACAGATGTTCAACGTTTATCACTGGAGGTCATGACATTGAATCCAATTTGCGAGAGTGTCGAGACAGCACAGGGTGTCCCATTAACAGTTTCAGGTGTAGCTCAATGTAAAATAATGAAGGCCGATGAATTACTTCATACAGCTAGTGAACAATTCCTGGGAAAGTCCGTCCATGAGATAAAATCAACGATTTTGTCCACCCTTGAGGGTCATCTGCGAGCGATTCTTGGTTCGTTGCATTTTATTCAAATTACAACTATCACTCTCCTACTCAAAAAAAAAATAATAATAATTTCATTTTTGAATTGTCAAATTTTTATATTTATAACTAAATTTTTTCAAACATAAATTTTTACTATTGAAATGAATTTCAATACCGAATGTAAAAAGGATTTTTTAAATAAAAATTAAAGACGTTTCGTAATATAGGAATCTACCTAATCGACTGAAGGTAAAAATAAAACTATAAACAATTACCGACTTACAGGAATCTTCTTTACCGACTGACATCAATTTTTATACTTTCAATTTGCCATCATCCGGCAATGTATATTCCTGTAAGTCGGTAATTTTTAATATTTTAATTTTGTCATAATTTATAAGGCAGATTTCTGCATGTCGGTAATTTTTATATTTTTATTTTCCAATTTTTTACCATCAGTTCACAAGGTAAGTAAGGTTTTTCCTGTAAGTCGCTGTTTTTTTTTATATTTTTCCTATCAACCGGTAAAAAAGATTCCTTTAAGTCGATAATTTTTCATATTTTAATTTGGCCATAATTTGATAACATAGATTTCAGCAAGTCGGTAATTTTGATATTTTCATTTTCCAGTCTACCTTACCGTCTAACGGTAAAACAGGGAAAATATAAATATTACCGACTTACAGAAATCTACCTTACCGACTTACTGAAATGTATCTTACTAAGTTATGAGAAAATTAAGATATAAAAAATTTCCGACTTTCAGGAATTTTCTTTACCGGTGGATGGAAAAAATATTTTTTAAAATACAGACTAACGGGAATCTACCTTGCCGACTGATAGTAATAACTGACAGAGATAAAAATATAAAAAATTACGGACTTGCAGGAATCTACATTGCCGTCTGTTGGTAGAATATATAAAAAATTATCGGCTCACTGGAATCTTCTTTACTGGTGGATGGAAAAAATATAAAAAATAGCGACTAACAGGAATCTACCTTCTCAACTGATGGTAAAAACTGGAAAATGAAAATATAAAAATTCTTATGAATTATGTTAAAATTAAAATATAAAAAATTACCGACTAACAGAAGTATACATTGCCGACTAATGACAAATTAAAAATATAAAAATTGCCATTAGTCGGTAAAAAAGATTCCTGTATGTCGATAATTTTTTTCAATTTTGACATTAGTTGGCAAAAAAGATTCTTGGAAGTCGGTAATTTTTTATATTTTCAGTTTCCAGTTTTTTGCTATCAGTCGTCAAGGTAGATTCCTGTAAGTCGGTAATTTGTTATATTTTAATTTTCCCATTGGTCGGTAAGGAAAATTTCTGTCAGTCGGGAAATTTTTTAATACCTTTAGTCGACAAGGTAGATTCCTATATTATGAAACGCCATTAATTTTTATTTAAAAAATGTTTTTTACTATCGAAAAGGTGACAAAAAAAAGGTATTTATGAAAGGCTATTTAAATCTAATTTTTTTTAACTGTTTCTTAATTTTTTTAATTTAAAGAAAATCCAAAATTAATTAAAGTTAAATTTTCACTATATTTTTTTTATAAATTATTTGAGAATTCTTTTAAATGATAATATGTGTAAATAAAATTTAATTAATATATAAGTTATGTTGTAATTGAAAATTCTGCATAATAAAATTATTATCTCAAACAAAATTAGACGCCTCCCGTTGATAAGATGCCCGTTCATTTGTCAGAATAATAAAATGCCAACTCGAGCTCAGTTCAATATGAAGCTAGTTCAATTGTCAAAATAATAAAAGGCTAACTCAGTTTCCGTATAATATAATCCTATCTCGCATTAAATTCGAATTCAAGTTTTCGTAAATTAAAAAAGAAGTTTAAGTCGATCAGAATATTAATTCATACTTTTTAATGATTAATTAGTGATTAATAATTATTAATAAAATAAGAAATAGAATAAAAAACAAATAATAAAATAAATGAAAATAAAAAATATTATTAAAAAAGAAAAAAATTAATTTAGCCTTGAATTATTTATTACTAATATTATTTTTTTTATTATAATTTTTTTATTTTGTTAATCATTAATTAATCATTAACATTATATAATAATATTATATAATGTTATATTGAGTTTAGTTTGAATTCAAGTTTTCGTAAAATAAAAAATTTTTAACTCGATCGGAATATTATTTAATATTTTGTAATGATTAATTAATGATTAACAAAATAAAAAAATTAATAAAAAAATTATAATAAAAAAAAATATTAGTAATAAATAATTCAAGGCTAAATAAATTTTTTTCTTTTTTAATAATATTTTTTATTTTCATTTATTTTATTATTTGTTTTTTATTCTATTTCTTATTTTATTAATAATTATTAATCACTAATTAATCATTAAAAAGTATGAATTAATATTCTGATCGACTTAAACTTCTTTTTTAATTTACGAAAACTTGAATTCGAATTTAATGCGAGATAGGATTATATTATACGGAAACTGAGTTAGCCTTTTATTATTTTGACAATTGAACTAGCTTCATATTGAACTGAGCTCGAGTTGGCATTTTATTATTCTGACAAATGAACGGGCATCTTATCAACGGGAGGCGTCGATTTCTGTAAAATAGGAAATCATTGAAATATTTTCCAATATAAAATTATTGAGATGAAGTTTAATTTATTTTTGTTAATAGTCAAGTACATAAGTAATTATTTGAGTTAAATTTTTTTCAGTTACACAATTACTATAGTTGTCAATTATTCAAGTAAATATATTATAGTTAATTCTATAAAATTTAAAGAGTTGTAGAAAGTTTATTGGCGAAAATCAGTTGGAAGAGCTTTAAAACTAGGTTCAGTGAAACTAAAGGGAAAATGTTTATTCTTTTTTAATTCACAGGCACTCTCTCGGTTGAGGAAGTTTACAAGGATCGAGATCAGTTTGCTGCTCTTGTACGAGAAGTTGCAGCTCCAGATGTTGGTCGCATGGGTATTGAGATACTTTCATTTACAATTAAAGATGTTTTCGACGACGTTCAATATCTTGCCTCCCTCGGAAAGGCAAGAACTGCTGAAGTGAAAAGAGATGCTGACGTCGGTGTCGCCGAAGCTAATCGAGATGCTGGCATTCGGGTAAAATATCATTTGATAAAAACTATTCTTCTTTTTTTTGCGAATTCATTAATTTTTTATTAATCAAAATTAATTTACTATAATTACTTTTTCATACTGAATTTCCTACTTTTTTCAGGTAAAAAATATATTAAATGACTCATTTTTTTTTTGGGAGTTAATTAATAATTCATTTTTATTAATTCATTATTTTTTCTAATTAATTAGTTTTACTTATTATTTTTTGGGTTAATTAATTTGTAATAATAATATAAAATATTAATTATTTTTTGGATTAATTAATTTTAATTAATAAATTAATTATTACTAATTTTTGTTTTAATTTCATATTTTAACAGGAAGCTGAATGCGAGAAAGCGGCAATGGATATTAAATACAATACTGACACGAAGATTGAGGACAATGCGAGACTTTATCAATTGCAGAAAGCGAATTTCGATCAAGAAGTTAACACTGCCGTACGTATGCTAAACAAAAAGAAAATATTTCTAATAATGTTCTTTCATTGATGAATTTTTTTTATATTTTAAATTTTATTATTTTCCATAAAAAAAAATAAATTAAAACTATCGATAAGTAAATTAAATATTGAATGTATTCCTCCGCCCAAAAAAAAAAAATTGAAAATATAAAATAATTTTTTGAAGTGTCCCTTTTTTTCTTTCTTTTCTATATAATTAACATATTTTTCGTAAAAGAACAAATGAAAATAGAATTGTATATTTAATTTTTTTTTTTTATATATATATATATATAGAAAGCTGAAGCACAGCTAGCCTACGAGCTTCAGGCCGCAAAAATAAAGCAGAGAATAAGAAATGAAGAAATTCAAATTGATATTGTCGAAAGAAGAAAGCAAATTGAAGTTGAGACTCAAGAGGTACTAAGAAAGGGACATGAACTTGAAAGTACTGTTCGCTTGCCAGCCGAATCTGAACATTATAAAATGGGCAAAATCGCTGAAGGAAAGAGGTATTTTATAAGAATTATTATTTAAAATATTTTTTTCGATGTGAGATTAATTATTCTTTTTCAATATCGCCCTACAATAATACAAAAATCAAAAAAAAATTATATTTTTTTATTACTATTTTCATTTAATATTTATTATTATAATTACATGCCTCGGATCGACTTTAAGGCCCAAAAAAAAGTAGTTTTAGTCGATTTATATTCTAAAAAAGTCGAAAAAGTCTATTTTTTTATTTTAACAAAATTTAATTAGTTAATAAATATTTAACCTTAAATAACTATTGTTATTAGATATTAAATTCATTTTATTAATTCTGTAACGACAATATAATTCTATAAAAATATTATCAAGAAAATTTATTTCGAATATTTCAGAATCAAACTAATTATAAGAGAAATTTTCAAAATTTTACTTAAGTAGGACAAATTTAAAAAAAAAAATTTTACAGTTCCATTTTTATAATTTTTTCAAGACTGATTTAAGCAATTTATTCGAATTCAAAATTTTATCACAGTTTTTAGTTTTGATGGTCAACAAAATTTCAAGCAATATCTAATCAAGTTTTACAGATTTTTAAATACAAATTTTGTTTGAAATAATAATTTTGGATGAGTTAAAATTGAAATTTTCAAAAATAATTGAATTTCAAAAGATTTTGTTAATTTTCAGACAATAATTAAATTTTACAGAACTAAAACTAATTTATAAATTAATTTTAGATAACATTTTTTAAATGTAATTCAATTTTCAAAGATTTATAATTTAAATTTTTGAAAATAATTGAACTTCAAGTGATTTTTAATTTAAAATTTTTAATTATTTCTGTTACTAAAAAATTTATTAGAAATTGCAGACAAAAATACAATAATTTGAAAAATTTTTAAGTGAAAAATGGTTTGAGATAGTTGAATTTTTGAAGAATATTTATAAAAATCATTAAAAATAATTGAATATATCAGGAGAGTTATAATTGAAATTATTAAATTTCAAAAAATTTTAAATGGAAAATTTGAGAAATAATTAAATTTTAGAAGATTTTAAATTGAAATTTGCAAAAATAATTGGATTTCAAAAGATTGTGTTAAAATTCAGACAATAATTTTAATTAAAAAATTGTTAAATTATTGAAATAAAGAAGACCTGAAAAAGATTTACATTGTATACTAAAAAAAAACGTATTTTGTTTAAAACTTTTGTAAAAAAAAATATTAAAAAAAAGTAGAAAAAGTTGCATTTTATTAAAATAAGTCGAAAAAAGTCAGAAAAAGTCGTATAATCCGAGGCCTGTAATTAAATTATCTTTTATCTTTTTTTTTTAATTTTGTTTTTGTTCTTTTTTTTTGTTAAGGTCACAAACAGTTGATGTGGCAAAGGCAGAAGCTGAAAGAATTCGAATGATTGGTGAAGCGGAAGCACACGCAATGCAAGTTGTTGGTATATCGGAAGCTGAAAGAATGCGTATGAGGGCTGCTGTTTATAAAAAATATGGAGATGCTGCCATTCTCAATTTGGTGCTAAACGCAATGCCTAAGGTAAAGAGAATTTTAATTTAAAAATTTTTAATTGTAATTCACCAACCGTCTATCAATTTTTTTTAAGGAAGTTCTCTCGCAAACAGAAATGACGAAGAGTTAATTATCAAACTTGATAAACTGATAGATAATGGTTTAAAGAAGATGTAGTTAAATTTTTAGAGGTCTAGGTGGATTTTGACAAAAGATATAAATAATTTTCTCTTTTCACATTTAACACGGGTTCTTATGGGAAATTGAATTTTTTGGTCTGAAATCTCAAATTGTGAAAAATCTGACGAAAAGATATTACTGGAACTTTATATACATAAAGTTTAATAGCCAGTGTTCACTTACTTTTAATAAAATTGATCAGACCTGGCTTAGGAGACTCACAATTAATTATTTTGTCTAAAAAAACACCGTATTTTGACAATCACAAATTACTTAGCACAACGCTTGGCAACGTTGCGTCTTGTAGGTTAGGTATAGAAAAAGCGCAAAATTTGAAAGTAATATAAGTAGTATATACATATAATAGTATATTCTTCAAAGATTCATAATAATGAATAATAATTTGAATTTGCTTATAAAAAATTAAGATTTTTAAAATAATAAATTATTATTATTATCATTTAACGAAAATAAATCAAACAATAGCAGACGACACGAAACGGAACGGGGGAAATATAATCCAACGTTGCCAAGCGTTGAGCTAGTACTACGTGATACAAATGAAAACTTAAATGGGCATTGATTTGACTGACGTTGGAGGGAGAGAACTTCCTTAAATATATTGCCCTAATTGTATAAACTTTTTCATTTTATTAACTTTTTTTAATTTTTTTTTTTTTCATTAAAATCAGTATTTTTTTTATAAAAAAAAAAGTTTTTACAGAAAAATTAATGTTTTTCGGGTGCAAAACCAGTGTTTGAAATTTGCATTTTTTTCTATTGATAGAAAAATAATATATTTAAATTAAATAATTAAAATAATTAGAAAACAAAAAAGTTATGCAGGAGTTAATAAAAAAAATTTGTTATATTTCGTGAAATCAACAAAGGATTAAAATAAATTTCTTGTTTTTTATAAGTATATTTTAAAGAAACTGTCAATAACTAAAGTAATGAAAATCACTGATACCGCGTAATAAATAATAATTATCTAAATAAATTATAATTTCAAATTTTTGATAAATCACTAATTTTTCTATTATTTCATTTGTGAAACTATATGCACAGTGAAATTAAAAGTATTTTTTTTTTTTTTTTTTTTTGTAAATATGGATTGGTATTAAAGTAAGGGAAAAAAATGTTATATTTACAGATTGCTGCAGAAGTTTCTGCTCCTTTGGCAAGGACAGACGAAATTGTACTTTTGGGCGGTAATGGTGCATACAGTGAAGAACTCACCCGACTTGTTGGCCAAGTTCCACCTGCAGTGCAAGCACTCACTGGAGTTGATGTATCAAAAGTAAGAAAATATTTTCATTTATTTATTTATTTTTTTAACTAAATAATAGTAAATTTTTAATAAATCTATTTTTTAATAATTTACTATCAATACATTAGAAATAAAATAATTAAAATAGTAAGTAAGGATAAATAATTGAAAAATTTAATAAAATAAATGAAAACGATAAATAAAAATAAAATAATTTCACAATAATTTAAAGAGTAATTACAGTGGTAATAAAATAATTTTATCTCTATTCGTAGGTATTTGGAAAAATTCCTGGAGCAAAAGCAAAGTAATTTTGTCATCTAGTCACACACAACTTGAACAAGCACCCTTATGGCTTTTTGCATTCCGATTTTGAAATCATGTCTCTAAATTAAAAATATTCTTTGCCTCCCTCAAGAAGATTCAATAATTAATTCTAATTAATAAAACTGATAAAAAAAAGAATATTTATCTTTTTTTTTGGGGTTTTTTTTACACATATAAATAAATATGTAACTGTAAAAGGTGCAAATGAAAAGAAAATTCTGGAATTCCTGTAATTTTAAGCTATATGAAAATATGTTAACGATTTAATGGTAATTTAGTATATTTTTTTTCTCTCTCTTGCTTGTATTAAAATACTAAAAAAAAAAATCGCAATGCCAGTAATTAGGTAATATATATGTAGCGGCAATCAAACAAATTTTCTATTCATATGTTTGATTGAACAATTTATAATTTAAACATACTGTAGTGCCCTAGAATTCGTAAAACCAAAGATGTCCGTATTGAATTTTATTTAAACTGACATTTTCTATTTTACTTTTTATTTTTTTTTAATCAAAGTTTTACGAAATCTTGCCGATAATTATTTGGAAATTAATTGAAATTTTCATTCTAATCAAGATGTGAAAAATAAATTACAATGATTTGTAATTATTTTACTTGATTTTTTGTTTGTTTTTACAAGTCTCGATTCGAATGAAAAATGTCAATTTTATAGGAATCTCTATATTTTTATCATTAAAAAATATCTACACGTATATATGAGGTATTCCATGCCAAATCGGAGAACATTTGACTTTTGCACCTCAGATCATTTTGAAAATTTTTTTCCTTTTAGTACTCATGAAGACTAGCTTTCACGATTTTTTTTCAAATTTTTTCATCAAGCCCTTTAGGAGATATCAATTTTTGAAAAATTACGTCACTTTTTTTTGAAATGCTTGTAATTTCGCTAAAAATTGACCAAACTGGATCAATCTTATATCAAAATTTTTGTTTTTAAACGTACTTTTCAAAAAAAAATATTGAAAGTTATTTTCGAAAAAAATTTTTATTAGATTTTTGAGATTTAAGACTAAAAATTCATTTTTGAACCTGTGTGTATCGATCGATTTTTTTCAAAATTTTTTTACAAAAACTGCTCTAAATTTGACAAATTTTGAGCCTAGTCCGATAATGGGAAAACGATGGGAACTATTTTTTTCGAATTTTCAAATTTCATGTTTTTAATTATCTGTATGGAAATCAAACAATAATCATTTTCTCTCATTCAAACCCAACGATTATTGTTTGTTTTATAAAATAAAATAGTTTAGAAAATAAATAATAAAGTAATATTTTAATTATTTATCTAAAATTTTGTTTTATTTGTAGAAGTTATTAAGCAATTTAAAATGAATGATTTTCAAAATAATACCAGACAACTCGACAATTAATTAATATGAATGAAATCTTTAATCACAAATTAAGAATTAAAAAATAAATTTACAGTAGAGACAAAATATGAGAAAGCAAAGAGAATAGATGGAACGCAAAAATTTCATTGAATGATTCCAGAAGAAAATGGCAATTTAAGATTTAAACAATTCTCATCCTCTGTTGAATCTCGAATGCGTAAAATATTTAAGCTTGTAAAAAAATAAATTCTGCTCAATGAAAAAACTTTATTGAACATGTTTAATAATGTTTTTGTTTATATCTTTTTCCTTTAATCAATCTAAAATAATTAATCTCGAGGTGTCAAATAAATACACATTATTAATTATATATATATATATATATATATATATTGTAAAATAGTTCTTAGAATAATTTTAAATACTTTTTAAGGTGAATAATTAAAAACATGAAATTTGAAAATTCGAAAAAAATAGTTCCCATCGTTTTCCCATTATCGGACTAGGCTCAAAATTCGTCAAATTTAGAGCAGTTTTTGTAAAAAAATTTTGAAAAAAATCGATCGATACACACAGCTGCAAAAATGAATTTTTAATCTTAAATCTCAAAAATCTAATAGAAATTTTTTTCCAAAATTACTTTCAATATTTTTTTTTGGAAAGTACGTTTAAAAACAAAAATGTTGATATAAGATTGATCCAGTTTGGTCAATTTTTAGCGAAATTACAAGCATTTCAAAAAAAAGTGACGTAATTTTTCAAAAATTGATATCTCCTAAAGGGCTTGATGAAAAAATTTGAAAAAAATCGTGAAAGCTAGTCTTCATGAGTACTAAAAGGAAAAAAATTTTCAAAAAGATCTGAGATGCGAAAGCCAAATGGTCTCCGATTTGACATGAAATACCTCATATATATATAATTTAATGATAATATTGCGATTATTCATTGAATAGAAGTAATTTTATTATTTTCGATAATATTGCATATATAATAATAATATATGTGAATGAGACCTGATTTACATATATATATATATATATATATATATATAATTTTGGAAATTATTTGTATTTTTATGTTTTACTTTACTTGTGTGTGAATATACATTTCTTATATCATTTTTACAAAAAAAAAAAAAAAATTTCACAAAAGAAAACACAATTTAATTTACAATTTTATAATTTAAATACTGTATACGCGTTTAAAAAAGAGGCTAAATTTCTAAATGTAAAGAGCAATAATTAATTGAAATATTAGGCATCTGAAATTAAAAATTAATTTTGTGTTAGTAATAAATAAATGCCAAGAATTATATTTGGCATCCATCGTGTTCATTGAGTCAACAAAACTCAGTCACATCTATCATTCGATAAAAAAAACTAGATGAAAATTGAAAAAAAAATATATATATATAAATATACCTAACTTCTATTTTAAAAAGAAAATAATGATGTGAATGTGAGTCAACAAAAAAAAAATTGACTAATTCATTTTAGAACATTTAGAGCTTATTAATTCGTCGGAAATAATAATTGTAATGGTGTAAAAAAGAATAATTGATATTTGAAATGAAATCTAGTAATTTGAAATATTCTATAAGCAGTTTTTAAAGCTGGCAATATTAATAAAATAAAAAAAATATATATATTGTCATTGGACGTCATTGGAAAAGAATTTAATTGTGATATTCACATTTTTGTGAATAAAAATTTGAAATATTAGTAAAGAAAAAAAAAACTATTTTCAAACTAGAATCTATAATAAATGTCTAGAATCTTGTATGTCTCTGTAACAAATCAAACACTTTCCTCATAGACGTCCATATAAATTCATAATTAAAATAATAATCAATGCATGTCTCACAAGCTTATTGTGATTGAATGATTTCATTCATTGTGTTCAATTGAAAAATGTTTAAAAAAAAGCCTTGCTTAGTTATACTTTTCACTGAAAAATCAGAAAAATTTATAAACTAATCTCCTAAATTAAATTCTCTGTGTTCATATTATAATAATTCTAAAAAAAAATATTAGACATTTTCGATTTTTATCATTTATTTTAATTTATTGCCAATTCATGAATTTTTTTTTTTTTTTTTTTTTATTGAAAATTTAATATTTTTTTTATCAATTTAAATTGTGATTTTTTTTACAATCAATTTTAAAAATCTAGTGATTTGAAAAAACTAATATCGAAAATGTCTAATTAAAAACATAATTCTAAATAGATTATTATTTAAGTGATGGTGTGAGTCTGATATGAATTTCTAAATAATTTTTTGTGACAAATATATTTCAACTATTTTATAAGAACTAAACACTTAAGTTTTCTTTTTTGATATTATTATATTTGTAAAATGCGTATGACATTTCATAAAAAAAAGGACATTTTTATTGAGATAATTTTACAATTTGTTTGATATATGGAATTTAATCATTAAGTAAAAAAAAAAAAAAAAAAAATCTATTCTAAAATGTGCCGTATAATTTTTATGTGATTTCTACTCAAATTTTTGGTATCAAAATAGTGTATTTATTATACACGGAAAAAAAAATAAATATCAAATTTTATAAATGTATTTTCACCTTTTGGAAAATATACTAAAAAGCAAAATTTTTTTGTAAAAAATTCTAAACTTAAAAAACTTGTATAAAATTTTAGAATTTAATAATAATTTATTAATGAATCAAATTTTATTAAATTTTATGTAAGTTTTTTAAAAATTCTTATTTCTTAAAATTTTGTTTTTTAATACATATTTTCCATGAAAATAGTATTTTTTCGATATTTATTTTCTTTTCGTGTATCATTTTTTCTTTTTATTGCAATATTTAATTGCACCAGGCTCATTTTTACTGATTGTTATATAACAAGTGGAATTTTTTTTTTTTTTACTAAAGTATATTTTGTAAGATTTTGTGAATAATTGAAACATACTTTTTCAAAACACTTACTGCAGATTTTTCTATTTGAAATAACATAAATGAATTTCAAACATTTTTTAAAAAAATATTCAAATACAGTTGAATAATAAATTCAAATATTTTTAAATAAAATAGTGAAATTTAAGATTCTTTTTTTTTACATAAAACAATATTTTTGACATTTTTTTCCCATTCACTATTTTAATTTCAAATGAAATTAAAAAAATTTTTAAACGAAACTACTGTTTGAATATCATTTTATGTAAAAAAAACAAACAAATATTTTATTGTAATTTTTTTTTATTGTAAAAGTAATTTTTATATGTACTTGTTATTTTATATCACAAGCAAATACTGATAATTTTTCTTCGTTTTATTGTGAAAATAACTAAAAACAATAATAACAATGAAATAGATAAGTGTGTTAAAAAATTTATTTGCAATAGCATATTTAAGGCATGGATCTAGTATTTAAGAAACAAAAAATTAAAATTTGGGGCATTTTCGATTTTTATTTTTCGCATATTTTGTCTAATGCTTCTGTGGTGAAAAAAAAATGCTCCTGCAATGCGCAACTTTTTTCGAATCACTTCACACATCCGTCTATTTTATACTCTTGTAAATATAATATATCTGAAGATTACACATATATAAATGTACAATAAGCACATTTAAAGGAAAATTTATTTTAAAAAAATTCTTACATCTGTTTTGTAAGCTATTTCTCTAATTTCTTCGTATAATTAACCAAAAATTTAGTCACAAATAGCAGCGAACAATATTTAGTTTTCCGTATATAAATTATACTATAAATTATATAATTATATATTGAACGTGCCAATGCAATATATTATGTTTACATTTCTGTAGTGTGCTAAATATAAAAAAAAATATTAACAAAATGAAAAATATGTAAAATTTAGAAAATTGCATAAACATTTTCTAAATTTAAATTCAATGTATGTACATAATTTAATTTATTCCTTTTTCTTACATTGTTTGTGCGATTTCAGAATATTATATAAATAATAATAATCAGGATAGAGTCCAACAATCTCTTCAAAAAAAAAAAAAAAAAAAAAAAAATGTTCTTTCCTATAAATATAAGAAAAATAAAGAAAAAATAACTTGATTTGAAATTAAATTATTATTTGGTTTGGAATTTTTGTTTTAAATTGTTCCATAAAATACGAAAATAATTAATTTTTATTTCGGTTTTATTTTTAATCGTGAAACAAAAAAATTCTCCCAGTTGAGCAATATTGAAAATAATAAATAATAATTTAAAATTAAAAAAAAAATTCGGTAGAGATTGTCACGCGTCAACTATTAATTAATATACTTTCATGTATAAAAATAGCTTGCCTATATGTATTTTATTTCATTCATTTATTAAAAATGTACTATCTTCAATAAAAAAAAAAAAAAAAAAAAAAAAAATGCGCAGTGTTATCGATACAACTTACGATACCACTGAGTGTTCCAATGTCTCGTTTATTAAAAATAGGACAAACTTCGTATATATATATATATAGAGAGAAAATATTGCAAATTTATCAATTTTATTCAAAAAAAAAAATAATAAATTCAAGTCTTGGTAACAGAAAAAAAAATTAAATACAAATCTGTAACATTTTTCTCAAGCATATTTTCTCTAACTGTATAAAAAAAAAGTGTAGCGACAGAGAAATCCTTACTAAATCGTGAATTAAGCGATTTGTATATATATAACTCAACGACCATTATATTAATCTCTCTCTACCTTTACTTTGAATTCCTGACTTCGATGTTCGCGTTATTATTAGATTATAATCAATCAATTGAAACTTTATATAAATGGAAAAGAAACAGGAAGCAACATGAACAAAAACAAAAAAAAAAAAAAAAAAAAAAAATGCGCTAACTTCAAAACTTAAATTTTGAAAACAAAAAAAAAATAAATAAATGTTTAAATTACATCAGTAAAAAAAAAATTCAATTTCATCGACCAACAATAAATAAATTAGTGTGAGATGTGAAAAATTTATTATAGATAGCAAACCTGCGATTCGCTGAATTGTCTAAAGGAAAATATGAGTCTAGCCTTTTATAACTGTGAAAATAATAAGAAAAAAAAGCAATGTATATTTTGGAATCTACATGCTAGAGAAATAAAAAATTTCGACATTTAGGTAGAAGACAATATTCTCTAATGTAACTGAAAGTATGAAAATGAAATGCGCAATGTGAATTAGTGCATATTTTTAATAAATGGAGCTGATCACATGTATGACTTTCTTTATTTATAATCCCCTTTTAGTACTAATTGCGCGACTAACTTTCATTTATTTCAATTCTTTTTTAGCAAACCATTTACGAGGAATTCATTTTTCAAAAATTTTAATGATTTTTTTTTAATACTGATGACTTTCTTAAGGCCATGTGAGACAAAGACACTTTTATTCAAACTTAAAATTCAATATCATTGTGGTACTATAACTGATTAGTGTTAATTTAGATTAATTCTAAAGAATATTTTTTATTATTATTTAAGTTCAATTTTTTATTATTTTTTTGAGTTGTATATTTGAAAATATTCTCAACAATAAAATGTAGATAAAAAATATTAATGATAAAAAAAAATAAAACATTATTTTCATTTAAATTTTAAAACACATAAATTTTTAATATTTATTTTTATGCCCGCCATAAAAGTTTTTAAAATAAAAAAAATAAGACATAAAATTTTATTTTTATATTTTTTGTAGATTACAAGGAAAATGAGCAAATATATTTATCAAAAACCTAATGCCTTCAAACTATATTTTTTGTCAGTAAGAAAATTCTACTTCTTCGTGGAAGGTAAGAATTATAATAGTTTTTAAATATTTTTTAATAATTATTATTATTTTACTATTACACCGTACGACACGATTTGAGATCCACAAAAAAATCCAACATTTTCAGAAACTAAAATCCAAAAAAATACCCGTGTCTTGACGTTTTGATAGATCAAGTCGTTTGTAGTTTTTAGGGGTGAAAACAACCCCTAAATAAAAAATGACAAGATAGCTTTTAAAAATTATTTATTTTTTATAAAACTTGGTATCTGGGGGTTTTCGGGGTCGCTGATTAGTATATTAATCTGATGTCAGATTTTCAAAATTCAAAATGGCGGATATCAAATAAAAAATTAATAACTTTTTAAAAATTTCATCGCCATATTGAATCCGCCATTTTAAATTTTGAAATCTGACATAAGATTAAGAATCAGCGACCCCGAAAACCCCCTTATACCAAGTTTTATAAAAAATTAATAATTTTTAAAAGATATCTTGTCATTTTTCATTTAGGGGTAGTTTTCACTCCTAAAAACTACAAACGACTTGATCTGTCGGCCAGACACGGGTAATTTTTTTTTTTTTTTGGTCCTAGTTTCCGAAAATGTTGGATTTTGTTGTGGGTAAAATAAAAAGTTGAATTTTGTTGGACGGTGTTATTGACTAATATTGAAATATATATAAGTATATAAGAGGCATTTTACATGTAATGTCCTGAGTTAAAAAATTGATTTCTCGAAAAAATGTGAAACTTGGGGAAATTGTTCTCCTACCTGATAGTAAAATATCCCCAAAAAATGTTTTGACTTTTTTGAAATTTTGGGGGAGATAGAGGGGGTCAATTTTATCAGTTTTCCCTGACACCGCCTACTATTTGAATTTTTGCTGTATATAAATGCAATAAACAAAATGTTGGCAGGTATGTTTTTTTGAAGGTTTTTTTGTACTTTTTCCAATAGTAAATTTCGTTTTTCAAAATTTTTGAATTTTGAGCTTGATTTTGTATAATTAAACATAAATCGACCGCCTCGCCGTGCGCGCCGATATAAGATTTTTGACCCAGTGGGAAATTGCCAAGACTGAATATTGGCTAAATATTGGACCAGTTATTTTTACCAATATTGGTCCAAGGCTGGGAGTGTATAGAGACCAATGCCAAGGCTCGAATTTCAATATTGGCCTAATATTCAACCAATATTCAAAAATACAAAAAATCAAACTTCAGCCAAGATTAAAAAAATTAATTATTAAAACTAGAATATAATAAAATTTTTTGTTATATTTATATATTATATTTTATTATATATAATAACATTATTATTTCCCTTCGGATCAAGGGTTATATATAAAATCATCCGCAATAAACGGAGAAAAAGAAAAAAATATTTTCTAACGTCCTGATGGGCATTAACAATTATCATCACCGATTTTAGTGAAAATAGCAAACTTATGTATAATTATAGGAAATCAAGGTCAAAATTCAAAAATTTTGAGAAACGAAATTCACCATTGGAAAGAGCATGAAAAAACATTCAAAAAACATACCTGCTAACATTTTTTCTATTGCATTTATAGACCGAAAAAATTCGAATAGTAGGCGGTGTCGGGGAAAACTAATAAAATTGATCCCCCTCTATCTCCCCCAAAATTTCAAAAAAGTTAAACAATTTTTTAGGGATATTTTGAGCGAAAATATGTGAAAACAGCCAATTGCAAAATTTTTGTCTCCGATTTTTACACACTAAAAAAGAAATCTTGATTTCAGCCTATTTTTGAGGCTGAATTAAAGGTGTAAACGGAGTCAGACCAATTAAAAAAGGACAGACTTATGCAAAATATATGCACACTGAAAGAAATTTCATAGGAAAAAATAACAAAATGCGTATTACATTTTAATATATTCTTTTAGAATTTAGGGAAAAGTGTACTTTTTATTAAAATTCAATATACTTTATATTAAAGTTCCAACTTAAAATCTTTTTTCAAATATTAATAATTATTGTAGAAAGAACGTAAAAAGATTACCAATATTTGAAAATATTATATTAAATTTCTATTATGAACTTTCAAAAACTCATCGAGTTGTTGCATTATATGGAATGTAGCGTTCTAATATTTGTAAAACTTTATACGAAAAATTCAGAATGTCGGAAGAAAAGGGAAAAAAAGCGGAAACTGTCGGACGTTTCCGTTAATTCTCGGGAGGAAGAGGAGTGAGACTAGGAACAACACATTCACACTTACGATACAGGTTAATACACATACTAATGAACACGCACGTTCATTTCGCTTATACATGGACATTACACGATCGCAACGAAACCTACACTTACAATTCTATACGCATAACGATAAATTTCGCTGGGGGTCGGCATATATCGTTTTCTTATATACTAACTACTGAATATTTTTACCACTTGCGAGAAAGAAGTTTACTTATAATAACTTAACAATAAAAAATAGTTTACTAGTGCCAATGGTGTAATTTTGTAGAGGTTACGCTGGGTTCATTTTTATTATTAATTGTTTATATAGATTTTTCTTTTTTTTCAGATTAAAAATTATGATTGTTATAAAAATTTTTATTGCAAATAAAAATTAAATAATTGTAAAGATGACATCAAAAAATAAAAATTAATAAAAATAATAATAAATTTAATAATTAATAATAAATTTTTTATTATTAAATAACTTTAATAAAACATTTTTTATAAATTGAAAATAAATTTAAATTAAACAAGGAGGGGGTCCTTTATGTTTATTTCATAAACATTATGCTTCCTCATTGTGTGAAGCAAAAAATTCGCTTCCTCGTGAAGGAAGCAATGAATTTGTCCAATTCAATTGATTGATTTAAAAAATTTCGAGTTAAAAATGTTTTAAATTAATTAAATTTTTTGAAAAATAAAGAAAATTTTAATTAATTTTGAGTGTAACATAAACTTTATATATACGAATCGATTCGTTTTAATGCAAGGAATACAATTATTTTATTCATCAACTTGAATTTAAAAAAAACACAAAATTTTTTAGCTAAAATATGAATTTTCGATTTTTCAATTTTTATTAATTCTCAAATTTTAAATCAAATCTATACTTTATATATACCAACCAATTCGTTTCAATGCAGGGAATAAAATTATTCATATATAAACATGAATTTAAATAAACACATCATTTTTTAGCTAAAATGAGAATTTTTGATTTTTTAACTTTCTTTAATTCTTTAAATTTCAATCAAATCTATACTTTATATATATCAATCGATTCATCTTGACATAAAGAAGACGATTATATTATATATTACCTTAAATTTTTCGATTTAAAAATTTTTTCAATTAAAAAAAAATTTTTGGAAAAAAGACGATAAAATTTTTTTTTGGGGTATTTTTAAAAATCCTCTCGTCATTTTTGAGAGATTAATGTGTTAAATAAGCCTACCAAATTTTATCCAAATCCATTAAAACCTGTTAAAGATATCGTGTTCACAAAAACGATCCACACACACATACACACACATACATACATCCGGACAATTGATCAGGATCTCATAAAACATGTTTCTATATAGAGGAAAATTTGTTTTCACCATTTTTAAAAAGTTTATAAACGAAAGGACTACATAGCTTCCTCCACGAGGAAGCAAAAGAATTTAAAACACTATAAACATTTGAAACACGTGTTTTGACAGTTGATAGGTACGTTCTGCTGGTTAACAACACTTTCGAAAATCGGATCAAATCGGATCAAGTCGTAGAAGTTCGAGTACACAGAAAAAACTTGGACTCATTTTTGTTGCAACTCATTTTCTTTTGGGTATCGAAATGAATATGGGACAAACTTCATGTTATTCAAAATGATATTGGCTGGAATTTCAGATTTCTAAGTTGGCATCATAAGCAGAGTAATTTTGTATTTCAATTATTGTTTCTAATATTTCAACAACACCAGAAAGATTATTTTGACCAGTACGAATATTTAGAAGTTTTTAAATAAAAATTATTTATTATTATTTACGTAGATAATAATTAATTTCATAAGTTTTTAAATTTACCGCTATTATTTAAGTTGGCAGTACCGTTCCTGTTGTCAAAACACATGTTTTCATTTTTCTAACCTAAAAACATATTTCCTTTATTATTTTATTACGCGATTACAAGCAATTTTTAATCAAATATATTAAGTCTAGCGTGTTATTTACTTCTTTGTAATTATTATATTTCATGTTTTTGTGCAAAATTATTCGTTATTTCACAATATTTTTCCATTTTTCTTTTTCTCAAAATGAAACTTGCCTGTTTCATTTTGATACTTTTACCTTAGAACTCGAAATGAAACAACCAGTTTCATTTTTGTTGCGAATCAAATTGAGTATAGAATCTATACTCAATTTGAATTCAGGTTTTTTCTGTGTAGGACACGAAGCCGCAAACAGACAGAACTTCGGTTAAATTCGTAGTCTCTCGGGAAAATCCGTGACTTTTAATATAAAGTTTTACAAAATGTGAAATAAGTATACGGATATATGTTATTTTTCTTACTATTTTGTGAAATTATTTATTATAATATTTCGTATTCTGTGAATTCATAAAGAAAATACTAATTTTTAAAATAAATATACTAATTCTTATTTCTTAAAATAATAGTTACTCTTAAATTCATTATATATTTTCATAAAAACTGTAATAGTAATCAATATGCACTTTTTCCCTAAATTGTAACATTTATATTAAACTCTAATATGAGTTTAATACTTAGTAGTATGAATTTTCTTTCAGTGTGGGCTTAATTTAAGGTGTAAACGGTTTAAGACTTTGTTTTTACTGTGTAAGTTATTTACATTTTTTAATAGGTATATGCATATACTTTTACCCCCTAAAATATTTTTCAAAAATATTATTTATTTTGTAAATGAGGGAGGGTGGGTGAGAGTTTTGGGTAATGAAATTTTTTTTTTACTATTACTCGGAAACGAATAAAGATAATTGAGTGAACTTTGTTTTAAATTAAAGCTTAAAGTCTATATTTTCATGTCTAATCAAAGCGCTTGTTGTACAATTAAAACTTTCAATTGTTATTAACAATTTTTTTAAACAATTGCAATTTAGAATGTGTTCTCAATGTCAGACAAAAATAAGACTAGCTTCATTTTTTGTTACCAACTTCATACATACCCACACAGCACCGAAAGTTTCCTAAACCTGTATTAAAGCTGTGCGTGCCAAGTTGGAAAAATTTACCGTAAAGCTTAGCACAGGTTGTGTAAATATGTAAATGTCCGCAATTGAGTAAATGTTTAGCGTAAAACTGTACTGAATCTTTAAATTACGTATTTAGTACAGGTTTAGCGTAAAACTGTACTGAATCTTTAAATTACATATTTGGTACAGGTTTAGCGTAAAACTGTACTGAATCTTTAAATTACATATTTGGTACAGGTTTAGCGTAAAACTGTACTGAATATTTAAATTACATATTTGGTACAGGTTTAGCGTAAAAGTTGCCTGAACATTTAAAATAAATCTTTTGTAAAGTTTTATCATAAAATTTGCTTAAAAATTAAAATTAAATCTTTATTACAGTTTTAGTGTCTGATGCATAATGGTAAAATTACTTAGCAAAAAGCTGCCAATCCTAAGTGGATTGCAGAAAAAAGGTAAAAATAATTTAATTTAAATTAAATAATTTTAATTTATTGAAATTAATGAAATTTTTATTTAAAAAAGAACATAAAAAGTATACAATTTTGAAACAAAAAATTCTAATTTATAAAAACTTCTTTTTATGAGTGCATTTTTTTCAGATGTTCAGGAGATTTTAAGGATTCACCATATCACTACCATTAATTAATTTATTAATAAATAATATATTTGTGTTCATTGTATTTAAACCTTTTTTTTATTATACCATTTCCCACTATACTAGTTATTTTTTTATTTATATGAATTGATAGCATCATTTGCAGTTAATATTTTCCGCTCAGTATAATTTTTTTATTGAAAAAAACATTATTTCTACAAAAAACTTTAATGAAAATGTAATTAACACTTTTTGTAGTTTAATTTCGCACTAAATATTTAATAAAGCTTTAATTTAAATTTATAGACAATTTCTACACTAAAACTGTAATAAAGATTTAATTTTAATTTTTAAGCAAATTTTATGATAAAACTTTACAAAAGATTTATTTTAAATGTTCAGGCAACTTTTACGCTAAACCTGTACCAAATATGTAATTTAAAGATTCAGTACAGTTTTACGCTAAACATTTACTCAATTGCGGACATTTACATATTTACACAACCTGTGCTAAGCTTTACGGTAAATTTTTCCAACTTGGCACGCACAGCTTTAATACAGGTTTAGGAAACTTTCGGTGCTGTGTGGGTATCTGTCAAGCTTGTCAAGACAATATCTATATGATTTCCATTGACTATTTACCAAGATTTGAAAATTCTTAAATTTATATATATTAAATAGATAAATTAAATATATAAATTATAAATTAAATGTATAAGTTTGGGGGGTGGGGGATGATGTGTTACAAATATATAAATACTTATAAAAATAGTCAATTATTTGGAAGTGCGTGCGGCGAGCTAATCTCGCGGCGTCAGAATAATATTCATAACTTTTTAAATATTAAAGGTTACTCATTTTTCTTTTTTTGAATTTACTCGTTAGAGTTTTGCGCATCAAATCAGCCTAGTCTTATTTTTGTCTGACATTGAGAACACATTCTAAATTGCAATTGTTTAAAAAAATTGTTAATAACAATTGAAAGTTTTAATTTTACAACAAGCGCTATGATTAGACATGAAAATATAGACTTTAAGCTTTAATTTAAAACAAAGTTCACTCAATTATCTTTATTCGTTTCCGAGTAATAGCAAAAAGAAAATTTCATTACCCAAAACATTCACCCCCCTCCCCTAATTTCCAAAAAAAATATTATTTTTGAAAAATATTTTAGGGGGTAAAAGTATATCCATATACCTATTAAAAAATGTAAATAACTTAAAAATCGGAGACAAAAATTTTTCAATTGGCTGTTTTCACTTATTTTCACTCAAAATATCCCGTAGAACAACAATTTACCCAAGTTTCACTTTTTTTCGAGAAATCAATTTTTTAACTCAGGACATTACACGTAAAATGCCTCATGTAAATAAATAAATAGAAACAAGTTGTAAATTCAGATGTTCATTACATGAACATTTTGCTTCCTCGTGGAGAAAGCAAAATTTTATTGCCAAAATGTGAATTTTTGATTTATTAATTTTCATTAATTCTTTAAATTGACCTCAAATGTATACTTTATATATATCGATCGATTCGTCTTGACGTAAGGAATACGATTTTATTATATATAACCTTAAATTTTACTATTTAAAAATTTTTCAGATCCTTTTATTCATATTAACATCAGCATCTGTGGCACACTCATCTCTCACCAATTTTTAAAAAAAGAAGGTCACAAATATGAATGCCAATATCAATATGGTAACTTTTCTTCTTTTTTTCATGTCTTTCTGGTTGATCATAAAAAATTTTGATAAAAACATTCCGAAATTTACAAATCTTAGAAAATTCTGCGATAATAAATCATGGAATTTTAATAACAGAAGTAAAGGTCTAATTTTGTCCATTGACAATACAGTAATACATCAGCACGCGGATTTCTCATCACAGAAAATGGATTTGGGACATACTAAACACTTGCATCCATTCCGAAATTTTGCAAACATTTCAAACGTAGACGACTTGGTATTAAAGGCCTTTTACTATACAACAGATGCACTAATTGTTATTTCACTTCTAACTAACTTTATCAGTTTTGCAATAAGTATTGGCAGTGAATTTTCGAAAGATTTTCTTCGACAAAGTACAAGCCGTTTTGCTATTAAGGAATCGTTGCAACTTGCAATTCCAATTCTTCAGGGAATAATTACAACAGAAATTGTCACGAAAACCTCAAAACTTATAACGAAACCAGTAATGGCAAAAGTTAATTTTTCTCCGACTGATCGAAAAGAACTCTATTTTAATTTCTCTCTGAGCAGATCTTCTTTAATAGATTATCAGCTTATTAAAAAATGTAATGAGACTACCGCAATGCATATTTTAAAACATTATAGCTTTTCTAGACTACAAGACTTAAATGTTTTTGCGAATGATCTCAAAGAATTTGGATACACTCTTGAAAAATACGATAAACAGTGGCTAAATAATCCTAAGTTGTATGAAAAATTAAGGTTTTATTCGTATGTGGAAATTGGGTTATACCAAAGGAAAGCAATTGAACTTATTGAAAATATTTATAGCCAAGAAGATATTAGTTTAATAAACATTCCTCCAGGATCTGCGTTTGATGATTATATGGCTAATCAACTATTCGACACTATTTCCTTTGACGATTATTATGCGATAAGAATTTTTTTGTCTAATCCTAATGCAAACACAGATATTGATACTCCTGATGTTTGGAGAATAAAAAAAGCTATGTATAGCTTAGTAATTCGACAGTTCGATTCATTTAAAAAAGCAGAAAACAAGCAAATAATACTGTATTGCAAAAGAACGAATGACATTCAAAAAACCACTTTCGTTAAAGTAAGTCAGAGAATGAAGTCAACTAATGCATTTCTTTATTGCAATGAAGACAGTAGTGAATGGGATTATTATTCTCAAATTTTATCTGAAGAAAATGAATCCCATATACCTGTCTCTTTGCAATTTTTTAAAATAATACTGAATGATCCATTTTTAGCCATTGATGTGAAAAACATTGATGCACATTCCAAGCATTACATAATTCTTCCTTCAACTAAGTTCAGATTTATTGAGGAAAAATTTACTTTTATTCAGCAAACTAATATTCATTGTTTAATTATGAAGTCCCCTTGTCATAAAATTATAATCCATAAAGACTGGTTGGCTACAGTAGCAAATACAGTTTCATATTATGAAGATAAAATTAATGGTAAAAATATGTCTGAGCTTTTTGAGCGATTGCATTGCAAATATTAAATATAATAAAAGGCTTACAATTACAATAGAAGTTAAAAATAATATTCTGATTAATTTTCGCACGTTTGTGTGTATATTTTTGTAACATTTATGTTGTACTCTTTCAGTTGGAATGTACTCAATGCCGGCAAAAATTATTTATAGGAAAATATTCTATAATTTTTTTAAAGTATAATAATTTTCTTCAATGTTACAATATTTTGACAATGTATCTTTGTTTCAAAAACGGCATTAAACCGTCTTTAAAATGTACATTACTGCGCATATGTACTTTTTTGCATAAATTAAATATGTTTAAAAAAATTATATTCTTGATCATTTCTTTTTAGATATATTTAAAACAATATTTTGTAATAAAATTTGTACTTAAAGAAGTTGCAAAAAAATTTCGTTTATTTGAATGAAATGAAAAAATAAAATTATTATAGTAGTGTCACGAATTTTCAAAATGTAGTTGTAAAAAAAATAATACTATCAATTTAAGTATCAAACATTAGATTACACAAATCACGAATAAATGCAAACTTAAAATTTAATATCATTGTGGTACTATAACTGATTAGTGTTAATCTAGATCAATTCTAAAGAATATTTTTCATTATTATTTTAGTTCAATGTTTTATTTTTTTTTTTGAGTTGTATATTTGAAAATATTCTAAACAATATAAAATGTAGATAAAAATATTAATGATAAAAAATAATAAAACATTATTTTCATTTAAATTTTAAAACACATAAATTTTTAATATTTATTTTTATGCCCGCCATAAAAGTTTTTAAAATAAAAAGAGTAAGACATAAAATTTTATTTCTATATTTTTTCTAGATTATAAGGTAAAATACGTAAATATGTTGAAAATATTTTATTAAAATGTTATTTTTCTTATAGTATTTTATATGTACAATCAACCCCCTAAAAAAATTTTGCAAAAAAAATAATTTGTTGCTATCATTAACAATTTAATATTTTTTACCCATTTTTTTAAAAAAAATTAATTTCAAAGAAATTCATAGATCGGTTTTAATTAACAAAGCGGCATTCTACTTGTCTTGAATACATAAAAGTTTTAATGATATTTTTTTTGTTTATAAATAAACAATTTTTTTTTGTAATAAAAATCAATATTTTTGCCCAAAAAAAAATATCATTAAAACTATAATTCAAGACAAGTAGAATGCCGTTTCGATCATTAAAATCGATACCCAGATAGCCAAGCGTACTAATCGTTATTTACGAGTACGGAGTACTGGTATTATACTAGTTTCATACCAGTACAAAATAATTATGTATGTACGTACCAGTGCAGTACTAGTATAATAAAAGTATGTCGTACTGTTAGAATTATAAAATGTGAGTACTCGATAAAAGTATAGTACTAGTACAATACCAGTACGTCGTACTTCTGAAATAAGAAGCACAACATACTCGTACGATACAAGTATAATGCTGGTACGTCGTCCTGTGACTCTTTGCTGGTAATGCCAACCTAACCCCACTTTCTTAACAGTTGTCAAATATGAACGCGTCACTGAAAACGGTGCAATAAATGTTGGTGAAAAAAGTGGTTTATGATGCAGCAAAAGAGTTTTAACGTTTGTAACTTGTGCTTCTGTACTTATCTTGAATATCCGTGATTAAATTTATATTAAATTATCGATTTTTATAAGTTTTATGTTGTCTTGCTTTGACATGACGCTATAGTTTTTCTTATACATATATAACATATTTATAGGTTAGGATGTGATAAGATGTTTCACCCAACATCAAAACAATTTGAAACATCAAGTTTAAAATTCTTTTGAAATAATGTTTAAATACAAGCAAGCATTCAATTAATACTTAATAAAGTTAAT